AAACGAGAGAAACCAAGGAGAAGAAATATTGCAGCATCAAACAAATTTGATCCACACAGTAGGCAACAAACTTCACATCTGACACAGGAGAACAAATGCCACTGCATTAGCACTGGGTCAACATAAATTGCAATCTTTTAACAATTTTGCACCACTGTCTAATTTTACTCAAGCTGCATCTATCATCACCAAAAGCTAGTTCAAGTACCTGCAGACATAGTTCCTCTGATGGCCACTAGATGCAGCCTCCAAGAAAAGTACAAGTGTGTCTACAGCAGACTAATTTTGGAGGCAGCGGAATTCTATAGAAAGTCAACATGAAGTGCCCTTGACTTTTTTATTATTTTGTTCACCCCATTTATATCAGTAGGGTAGGCAACATAACAGAAACACTACCGTGTACAAGGCAATACAGTTCAGCAGTGCTACCACAAGCTAAATCCAACAAAATGACCCTACAGTTGAATCAACACCTCTAAAAGTGCTTCAAAGAAAACGTTATAAGCCATTATATTAGACTGCTTTAATTTGGTAAAATGTGGTTTTCATTTACCAACATTTTTCATTGAATGTAATTTTAAATATGTCTATTTGAACTATTTCAATAACTGAAGTGTTAGCAAGAGCTAGCTAGTAGCTTGTAGTTCTTAGTTTGCTAGCAGTTCTGTTTTCAACGAAATTGAATTGTACTTAGTACAACAACTTTTTTTAATTGAAAGTGGTAAAAAAAAAAAAAAAAAAAAACACTGAAAGTTGACTCACCACTGGACATGGTAGTGCTGATTTCAGACATCGTTTGGTCAGTGTCTTCCATTTCTTTGGTCAAAATTGGTTGAGCAATCATTTTAGGCCCAAAGAGCTCGTCGAACTCGGAGTATTTCATTACACAATTCGTGGACTCACATGCACAGGAGAAAAAGTTAATTATACTACTCTAATTTTTGTTACGATAATTTCTATTAACAGCCACATTCAACAGACTGTTTTTTGGTTATTATATTGGTACTGTTTGAATCTTGGTGGTCTTGCACTCAGCAGGTGTTTCTAATCAGCAGGCCGGTGGCGATTCTCAGGTGCTTTTCCAGTGCTGCGTTCATTGACTCCTCGTAAATTTCCTCGCAACACATTTGATGTAGTAAACAAACACACATACACAAATTTTGTCACATTAGGAAAATAAAATTTGCCAAAAAATAGTTTCACAGCTGTTGGAAATTCAGCAGGAACCTATATAGCAACTTAATCCTGACTCTGATGGCCATTGCACCTTTCAGGTATTTGAAGTTTCTTATCAGACAAACAGTGAAAATTCAAACCCAAAGAAGGGAGAACTTGTCAGTGGCAGTTCAAAATAATTAACCCAATGGCTGCAGGTGGATTCTCTTAAACCTACTTCAACCCATTTAAAATCTAAGATAAGCCATAGTGATTCACTGGAGACACTGGCACATCTTGCAGCCATCACTCTTTTGATTCAACACTCCAAACCACATTGTTAGTTGGTTTATGTGGGATAAAATCACATGTAATATTTTTCAGCATTTAAAGGTACACAAATGTCTACAAACAGACATGGCAAGAAGCAATACAATTACTCCTTTGATTTAATATTTTATCAATACTGCATTTAGATTAATTGTACCTAAAAGAACAGTGTGAACTGTGCAAGAACATCGACCGTGTAAGTATATTCTGAAACACAAGATAGATAGAAGAAAAATCCTGGAAAGAAGATGGGAACTTGACTAAAAAGGAGTATGAGGAGGGGAGATGGTGCAGATCGAGGGCAGGGGAAAATTTAGCAAGAAGGGAAAGACTGAAGTGAGTTGACAGGGTGAAAAATCATATGAGGATGAAGGATGTGAGCGAGCTTGAGGGACAGTTTGCAAGAGAGAGAGAGAGATTGCAAAGGGAGGAGAAACGAGAAAACAGAAGTTTGACTCTGACAGTAGAGCACTGAGCGCAGCTGATGGCCCCTAATGAAGTACGGCAGCTGCAGAGGAGGAGCCCACACTGACAAGCCGAGTCCCACTCTGACGGATGGTGGAGAAGACACACACACACACACACACACACACACACACACACACACACACACACACACACCAGAAGACAGCTAAGATTTAAACATACCAAAACTGAATACTAGTACTGAATGGCAGCTCATTGTCAGGATTCTCTGAATACAGTGAATGGTATGCATTTTCCCTTTACGTCTTCCAATAAAGAAATCTGTTCTGGTGTGGGGCTGGCATTAAAAAATATCATTATCCCTTCTTAATTGTATGTGTGAGTTGTCTTCCTACAAGTGGCAACAAATGGTTTATTTGATGCAGATGAGTGAGGGTGAAAAATTCATTCTTTTCCTGTCTTTCTAAGTCAATTATGTTGTTGCTATTTTGGTATCAGCATAAAAGTCAATTTTGTTTGATCATATTTCCATGATCAAACAAAATGATGCATATTTGAAGAACCAATTGTAGATATTTCCAGCACTGTTGATGACTCAGTAAAGTCCTGAAATACCTGTGGTGAATCATCTTCATTGTGTCTTGTGAAAGACAGACGTGTTGAGCTCAAATGCTAGAAAATGAAATAAGCTGTACAAAAATTAAACAATGCTAAACATATTTTAGCTCTTAACAATGAGAGCACTAGGACTACTTTTGTGCACTGAAATTGTACAATGAAGAACTACCTAAATACTGAACGATGCATTAAATCATTGGATGTAGAGAAAGTTGGAGTAAGGTCTTCTTAATGAAATGAAGTGAATGAATTATAGTCCACATCCATATGGTGTCTTTTATTTTGTTTGCAGTCCTCTACTTCCCTCTTGAGGATGAAGAAAGGATGTTCATTTTGTTTTCTACTGTGATTCATCAAGACAATAGAGGGAATGATACACGTGACAGGGGAGCTTTAAATCATCAAAAAGAAGAACCAAACAATGACTATTTCATTTATTTTGGAATACCAGCGTAGTATAGTAAGTCAAAATATCAATTTTATTGAACCGGATGGTCACACAACATGTCACTACGGTGGAATGATATAATAATCTCCCACTATGACCGGGTGTATATACTAGTTCGACATTATTTGAGTGCCCGGGAGTGTAATGAAAGTATGTTGAATATACTTTGTTAAATCATACAATGTTCATAGCGGTAAATGTGACGTTTATTGTAATAATTTGAAAAAGTTTACTTGGATTTGTCAAATCTTGACTTTTCAAACACATTCCACATTGATCCAATGTCTGTTTCATCTATTTTCTTTTTTGCCCAAAAATAAGACAGTCACATGTGATCATTTTACCACATTTTTAATCAGGTAAGTGCTCCCATGTTGTTGGATTTTAGATGTGTGCTGGATACTACCTAATATTTAAGTCAGAAACATACTATAGTATTGCTTACTGATGTCTTTCAGCTGTAATAAATATCCATCTTCATAAAGGTTACCATTGTTAAAGCAAGGTCTATTTTATATAACATTTATTAAGAAAAAAGCACAAGACTCACTTAAGGGAATCAAGTACAAGTACAAAGGTCAAGTGATATGAAAGTATTCAAAATATCACAACAGGTCAAAAGGCAGATAACAGCTAATTAAGCTATTAAGGTTTTAAGACTTCACTTCATTGTAGTCACAGGTGGTACAAGTCTCTTGTGTTCTGACTTTTTTTCCAAATATGTATCTATACCAAAAGAACTGCATAATTTACAGCCTGTGGTCTTTTAGTTGGGTAGTCAGTACTTAACATTTGACAATATATGGATATATAGGATATGACAGCAGATGGCAGCAAAACACCATTTTTCCTAGTATATATTGAAAACAATGAGCTGGATTTGTGTATCATTAGGAACTATTTATTTAGTAAACATGTTGCTTATCATGAGGACTCATTGGGGTAATAATTTCAAAATGAACATACTGATCACAGACCAGGTTTCCTCGTCCTAAATCCTAAATAATAAAGATTCAAGGTCAGCATTGCTACACTCCAACACTTGGTGCTCTTGAATATAACATGGCTCAACACACAGATATGGTTAAATAAAATATTTTATTTAACAATCGTTAATCAATAAAAATAAAATAAAATGTTACAAAAATTCTTTAAAATCAAAGAATTGTACAAATCATGGCTCCAATTTAACCTTGTATTGACATAGAAAAATACAAAAGGCACTGTGCATTAGTCTGCTGCATATATAAAACATTTTTAACCAAAAATAGTCCACTACTCAGGTGTACATGTTAATAAAAAAAAAAAAAGAAAGCCCTGTCTATTTCTAAATGAAGCTTTTAAATCCTGACATATCCATGTCCTACCAGTGCAGACTTGCTGCTAATAGGAGCTACTTTAAGAAGTGAAACAGAAAACTCAAAAATTTGTTGATTTTGCTAAAGACAAAAAATGGAAGGATATAACCGTAAGGAGTGTGAAAAGAGAACTCATCAACCCTAAATACAGTGCAAAAACATAAAACGCAGTAAATATGTGCGGATAACGGGATGTGCGCAGGTGTGCATTTGAGGAGATAGGGACATGCCTCGTGCCATAATTTTCTACCCAATAAGCAATCAATTTAACATATTTACTCATCACCTTCTAGCTGGACACCCTCACTGGTGGTCAGAGTTATTTGGGTACATTACATCTCCTCCGGTAAAACATTTTACAGATGGTGACAAAGAAGAAAAACCTTTGCTGGTTATTTGCAGAGGTCATTAAACACCACGTACCAACAAGAGTCCAAGTTGACATGCTAGAGAAGAGGTCTTATTGGCTAAAAAACCAACGTGGGTGTCCTCGAGCTTCATATTCACACGGATCCTTGGGATCCATTTTTAAGTCAAAGCCAAAAGAGTGTCCAGTATGTATAATTACTTTATAAAATCTACAAAAAAAGCACTGAATATTACTGGAATCTTGTGTTCTTCAAAATCCAATGAAAGGTAATGTCAAAAACAGACAGAATTGGGGCAGACACCTCATAACACTGAAATGGGAGTAGTTGAACACACAAATAAAGCATTCCATAGAGTGTGAGAAAGTAGAACTGCAAAACATTGGTTATTTCGTCACGTAAAATAAATCTTTTAATCTCTTGTGTGGTAAAGTGACGTTTTATGACACATTCTTTACAAACCTAACCTTTACTTTTGAGCTCTAAAAGCACAAGCATGATGTTTTAGGCGTGTTTCTTTTTCTGTACCTTTCTGGTGCTATCTATTGTGCAAATTCACTTTTCATTCAAAGCTTTTAGTAGTTCATACCAAAACAGCCTGACAGCTATTAAGGACACCTGTCGTTCTTTTACAATCTCTTTGGCATCCAGTTCGTGTCAAACTTTCTGTTATAACAAACAAATACACATCCCAGTTAGAAGGAGTCAAACCATGTAGCAGTCATAGTGCATAACAATTCCATTGGGCATCCAGTCAAGGTCTATTAATGCTGTTGTTTAAATCATAGGAAACCATGCTCATCAAGTCCTTTTGGAGTAACTGGATTCCACTTTGCAGTAGTCTTAGTGGTAGAAAAGCCTGCAAGACATAAGCCAAAGACTGAATCAATGCAAATATTCACATAAGGACCAGAAAGTCACACAAACAGTATGATAATATTAAATTAGTATACAGCACTGTTGGATACCTGATTCTGATCGGCTTTTGGAAGGCTCCGGTGGCTGAACATCTTGCAAAGAGAGCCCTCTCCCTTCAGCATCACTCTCCCCTGATGACGCATGGTCCTCTGCTTTCATGTACAAGGCAGGCCTCTTATGGTATTTGGCCCGGTAAGTGTCTGTCATACAGTTGTCCACAGAAAAGTAGGTGGTGGGTAGAACCATATCTGACAGAGTAGGGGAGTCGGTACCATCATCGTGTCCAGGCTTTGGACTGGGTAACCTCTCGTCGCTCTCACTGGCCGACAGATCATTCCTGTCTTGGTCCGATGACCCCGACTTGGAGCTGGCGCCGGATGAAAGCCTGTGCTCGGCAGGTGTCTCAATCCACCGACGGAGGGTGGTGTGCGAGAGGGGGGATGAGCCATTTTTGGGTTCATTGCGGGGGCTCGACCGTGTTGGCACCTCCCGGGGTTGGGAGTGGACGCCAGATGGGTCAGTGTGACTGCTGCCAAAGGTCTTGGGGGGTAAAGGGGGGGGGTGGTTGTGCATGAAAGAGTCTATGTGGGCAACAGTGCCAGTCTCTTCTTGTTCCGAGAAAGGTCCAGTAAGGTCATCTGAGCTGTTCCACTCAGAACTGCTGGTCTTTGCTAAGTAAGGAGGCACAGGGCTCACAGGGCTACTATCCACATTTTCCTCTTGTTCGCTGTCCAGACCATTGTTCTTTTCTAAGATCCCAGGAGTGTATCGGAAGGCTCTTCTTCTGTTACAGAGAAGCAACACAAACATCAGTATTTTACTTGCCCTTGTGCCACATCAACTGAAAACTTATACTTATACAATTTGAGCTCAGTTTTACCTTTGTATGGGCTGACCAGAGAGGATGTTTGCATCTTGTAGATCTGGAGATTTTCTTCCTTGTTCACCTAGACATTAATGAAGCCTCATGAGCATTTTACATCACCACACACTAATTTGTAAACTCATGGTCATTGCTACCAGATGGTCATAAAATAGAGCTAGGTAACATCTGTTATGGGTTTTTATTTAAACACAGCTACAATATTTTTTTTTTTCTGTGCCTCTCCAGCAAAGACATGTTATCTAACAGGGGTCATGCTGAGGCCCTTTGCCTGGTGCTGGGAGAGGAAGTATCAAAGCAGCTAGTCTGGCAGAGCGCCCTCAGGCCCCCGGTGTACCACTCTGACTGTCTGATCCAACCAAAGGACATGGCCCCTCAAAGGGAATTTGGGTTCATATCCAGGCCCTGTTAGCTTTCAGCTAACAGCACTAATATAACAATAGGACCCTGAATGAACTCTAGCTGATTTAGAAGTTGGAACATGACCGCAAACTAATGAAAATGGAGTAAAATTCTATTAACCTTTTAAGTTCAGTCATGTTATGATGTGATTTCAATGAATTATGCTGCAAAAAATTGGGAGATAATAGCTGATTTGACCCATTAGATCAACACATGTTTAAAAACAGGTCCCTGGGTGGGGGCTGGTGTGGAGCTTAGCCAAGTTAGCAGGGTGGGTGTGATTTACAAGGCCTGAGACAGACAACAGCTGACTAACAGGACAAGGAAGAGAGTGAGTGGCTGAAGACCATCTGTGATGTGTCAGCATACCCTCCTTTTTCCTGTGCTCTCTCAAAGCATTAGTGGCTAAATCCTTTGTGCTGGCATGCAATTACGCTGGGGTCAGACTCCAGACTCCAGATCCCCTCCACAACACTATTGCATTTTTAAGCCGCTAAGTCCATGTGGCAATTCACAATTTGATGCCGCTGATCTTCAATGTTGGCAAGCAACTGTAACAATATCATTCTCAAAAACAAAAAGGGATGCAGTATACAATGCTTTCTCCTTAGAAAACCCCATCGTCTTCATGGTCATGTATATCTTTGCCAAGGAAAAGCTTACGGGAGAAAGTGGCTGAATATCAAAAGGAAAAGACGACTGTGTGTTGTGGGGTTGTAAGACTGTCTGTTACTGTTGAAATCAAAATGTTTTTCAGGCAACAGCTATCAAATCATCACTTTAACTAATCTAATCTAAATTCAATGTGAATCAGTTCTTCAGGTTCAGGGTTCGGCTGATATCCAGAAAACATTCATTTCAGTGGAATTTTGCGATCGCTGCTGCAGCTGCGAACGCCAGAAAAACAGATGTATTCAAGGTGTCCTGCTGTTTACATGGCCTTCTGCGCTTGCCTGGGAAACCGTCCATGTACTGTGATTGCATGGATTAAACTCTGGTTCAGCTGCATTCAATGTAATATCAAAACTGCACCAAGTGCTGTACAATAAAATTTCCTTCTCATTCCCATGTTAACTGGAAAGCATCAAGTTGTTAACTAGGATTAAAGAACATGAAGCTGTTTCATATGCATACATGCTTTTCTGCACTTACAAAATGTGTGAGCAATCAGTGGCTGATTTATAAAGACCTATATATTCAGCTTTTAAACACTGATACTCTCCTCATGTAAATCACTCACAGACATCTCTCTGACCACTTCCCAGCATAGAGGATTACTCTGATAAAGTTCAAGAGAGACACCTGTTTGTTAGCTGTTGTTATCAACTAAAAAGTTATTCAGGACTTTTAATTGCAGGGAACATAGAAGTGATTTGACATAATTTCAATTATTCCAGCTGTCAGAGAGAGAAACTCACATAGGAAATAGAAAATGTGCCTCTATACAGACCCTGAAAGCAAACCCCTAACTAGGTTTTGAGAAACTGAACATGCAAAATTTCCCCAACAGCCCTTTGAAGTTTTGTTGATGTGGGGGAAAAAAAAAAGGACACAATTCAGTTCTAAGGCTCTCACATTGAGATTTGTAGTTCTCTCCGTTCTGGTGTCTGGGGTACTTAAAATTCTTGAACATCAATCACACTCACATGCATATTTACAGTTCAGCTTTTCATGAGGACCTGAACTCCTGAATGTAAGGAGGAAAAATGAACCCTGGAAAAATGCCAGGTTTTCAACAATTTCATCAGTCAGCAGCCAGAACTACAAAAAGTCGTCTCCAATTCTTAAAAATCATTTGGAACAGCCTTTGTTTCAGTGTGTGTTGAAATGGCACAGGCATGGGAACGGTAAGTCATATGCCACAATATAAATGTGCACTCATCCCATGGCATTAACACTTTGGTTATCACATCAGTCACTGGCTTGTTACGTGGCGTCAATAGGCCAACTAAGCTGAGCAGCATTACAGCTCTAAACACACTAACTCATGGACACACATGTGCTGCAGAAGATGTATGCAAACAAACACAATGGATAGTAAATCCATTTAATCGGATAAAGGATAAAAGTCACCATGACTCCATTTTCTTTTTTCAACCTACACATACACAAGGGTAGCGTTAAGTACACAAGTCTTCTGTTTATGCAATAATAACTTTGTAGATGATATGGATAGTGCAAACAGAGCCATAATAGCTTTACAAGTGTGTTTCTATGGACTCTTGATGAGGTCTGCAGGAGCCACCAGAGCCAATCAGGGTAAATTGAGAAAAAGGTGTGATTTACTGGCTTAATAGCAGTGTCTGGAATTCCCACCCCATCTCCTGACAACTCTGACCTTTCACACTACTACATGCAGGATGTACCGCTACCATTTCGGTATCATGTAGCTTAATGAGATTTATCAAAAACAAAATCCAAGGGTCGTCATTAAGGTGAGCAAAAAGAGCCCGACCTAGATTTTAGATGATCGTTTGTTTGATGCAACAAACGATCATTAGGATGAATGCCTGTGGTCAAAATGTCAACTGTGCTCCCTGCAACTGCCCTTCCACATAAATGTGTTTTTAGAAAGGATTTTGGACTTTAATGGACTACTGGAATCTGCTCAGGCTTCTCTGACACTGCAGCTCACGCCAGACTACCACAGCTGAACACAGTCCAAATTGACTTTGGACACATTTCCTGCAGCTTGTCGATACAATTTGCAGACAGCAGGGCATAAATATCCCATACTGATTTTAAAATAGCTACTGAAGAATAGATTTCAAAGGCCCAATGAGACAATTTTAGAACACTAGCACAAAATACAGCTGTAGAAATACAAAAATAGGTCTTACAAAAATTTACAATTCAAAGAGGAAGCAAGTGAATGAACCTGGTTAAGTGTGTCACTTCTTTTTTCATGTGTGATCTGTAGACACTGTCATATCTCCTTAAAGACACTAGGGGGCAAACAGCCCCCAAACCTTTGTACAAAATGTAGGTTTGTAGAATCAATTATGAACACATAATTTATAACATAAAGACTGTGGATGTGGGTTATTACATCATTGTTGTTGTTATTATATATATATGTATAATAACAATGATGTAATGTGTGTGTGTGTGTGTGTGTGTGTGTGTGTGTGTGTGTGTGTGTGTGTGTGTGTGTGTGTGTGTGTTAAAAGAAGGGATACTGCAGCTGCCAGCTGAAGTGTTTTTCCCTTTGCCAGAGATTGTTCCACATGAATCACTCTGCATGTGCAGATGCTCACAGGCCAATAACAAGACCAGCATTCAACACTATGCATTTCTGCTTCTGTTTCTCAACTCACCACACTTGTGTTAAAGCTATTTTTAACTCTGAATAAAACTAAAGACAGATACATTTGGAGCTGCTGTTTGCATCTTATGTTTCTATGCCTTAATCTGAACCTTGAAATAACTGCAGTGCCACAAAATGACATTTTATTTGCCTCATGTTTGAATACCACCTTCTGACAGTCCCAGTCATGGCATTTTCTGCCCGGCTGGGCACAGCTGGGTGGCCCCTACAAGCTCACTCATCTCCCCCTCTTATTCAGGATTAACTCAGTGTATTCCTGTTGAGGGAATTAGTAGGACATTTTTAAGATATTTATTAATTAAAAATATTGTCCTTCTTTTGACTCTGTTCTTATAATGTAGATCACAACCAAGCATATCCGAGATGAAGTATGTGATGAGTGTCCAGGCGACAAACCCCCTAGTGCTATTATTGTCATCTAATCTCCCTCCATCCTGTCTGGAAGATAAAAATAACCATTATTGCAATTTATTTGCGGCTCATTATTTTTTACTTCTTATTTTCAAACTGATTTTGTATCCCCTTGGATCTAAAAGTTGTTGTACTGCCTGCTGCAAGGACATTATTCACTGCAGTTAATAGCTAACAATGTCCTTGAGGTTCTGTATCTGTGTCTGTTCAGTTTTTCTTTCATTTAATGTGTAAGGAAGGACAAACAACCTAATACAAATAAGACTAAAAACATATGTTAGAAGTATTTCACTTAGCCTTGAATGAGACCAATTAATTTAATTTAGTTATTCAGACCATCAAAAACAAGTGAGCTTCACTGGACTTTTTTCCCCATAAAAATACACTTTTGCGAGACAAAGCCTGTTCTCAACTTGGGTTGCTGTTTCCTTTAAGCCCATGTACATTTTTCTGTGTGCTGCATAACATAAACTTTACTCAGGAAAAAAGGTCAAGGCCAGTCAGTGAGGAACTGGAGCACACTTATTTCCATACAGTATCCCTTCAATCAGGCTGTGACCTTAACACTACTGATGGAACAATAAATCAAGGAAATTGCTGAGTACTATCTTAATGTTTCAGATCCTAACAACACACGGAAGTCTATCGGGTAGAGGAAATTTCTTTAATGTCAGGGCCAAGCCTTTGTGGAAGAATGATGCTTTAATTTGTGACTTGTTTCCACTATGCAACACAAAGGATGCATATTTCTTCTGGACTTATATGCGTGAAGCTGGAAATAATGGCTGAATACCTAAAATGTTCACAGTTCTGTCTAAATGAAACCACCAAAGGTCTTAATATAACAAATCTTCACGCATGTTTTATATGCTTGCTTTCTCTGCTAGGGAACACACATTTCTCCAGTAATACACAGAATAAGCAGACACTGCAACAACAAAGTTATTTTTGTTCAGAAATAAGATACAGGTTTAAGTGAGAATGATTTACCTACCAGTGGAAAATGTAGAGCGCAGTATGTCAGCCTTCAAATCATCACTGCTTTTCTGAGGGAAGTGATCCCTAAAATACAAAATAAATTGAATTATTCATGCAATGTGGATTTCCACAAGATATTCCAACCACTTAAGAGGACTAAGATGGACCCCTGCTATGAGCAAAAAAGGGAAAATAAACCCTCATGACCTCAGCCTAAATATATATTTTTATGATGAATGATTTACAAAGGTGTGACCTTAAACTAATTCCTGCAACATTCTTTTCTGTGTGAAGACTGCAAATGTACAACCATGTTATTGTCAAAACAACAGGTCCTTATGATTTTTTTTCTTTTTTCCTTTGTTATGGATGATTACAATCCGGCACCTATTATATGCTATGCTTTGTAACTCCTGTGAAATGTATAAAGATGTTGTAGTGAACTGTGAAGTGTAAAAGTGCAAAGCCATACACTATACACACCAAAATAAAATTCTTTTTTTTTTTCATATTTTCAGTCACTTCAGGCCTGAACCTAGAACATCGTAACTGTATTTTAAAGAATTAATAATTGAAGAGCATTTTACTAATATACTGTCAGGAGACTGGCTTGAATAATGCAATAGCAGTTAAGGAAGTCAGCTATCTGCTGGCTCTTCCCTCTGCGTACAGGAGTTGTCAGCTAGTTGGGATCATTATCTCCAAACAAGACCTGTACTACAAAGCCGACAAATGACAGCCCAGCATAATAAGGTTGCCGTATCTGCCTTGTGTGCATTTATGTTAAATGGGTCTTGCTATTCTTAGAACAGTTTGTTTGTAGTGCTTAATTATTTAGAAAATGGCAGCACATTTTAGAGTCAAATCCTGACATGAGTAGGCCATGAGATGACAAAGCAACATTCTGCTGCTGGCATCACACAGCAAAAATTGTGTCATAGCTATTTCTGCGTCATACTTTGCGGTGTAAGATTTTGTGTACTTGGCTTTAAAAAAACACTTTGATCCAACAGTCCATTTTACCTTGTCAGGTGCAGTTCAGGTATGGGCCGCAGGTCCTTGGAAGAAAGGTTCTCTACCACAGGTGAGTCAAGATTTGCTGAGCCATTGCTTAGTCTGTCACTACTTTCATATCCAGATTCAGTTCGTTGGATCTTCCAGTTGTCATTCCGCACTTTCAGAGTTGCTGAGCCCTTTGACCTGTCCTTGTCACTGTAGCCGCCCCGGCCATCTGAGTCCAGCGAGCTTCGGCTGCCACCAGTTTCATGCCTCTGCTCGTCCTCATAGATGGTCATCAAGCTCTTGGGTTTACGTTCTTCCCGCCCTCCCCACGTAAAATCTCTGTCTCGCTCTCGGTCACGGGAGGGTGACTGACTGCTTGGTCTTCTCCGGGGGCTGTGCTGCCTTCGCTCCTGACTTACTGAATTACCATCACCGATGGCACTTAAAACGCTGTCCACATTTAGCGCCTCCCGCATGGGCTTCCACGGGCGGCTAGACCTGCTGTTGCGACTGTTCCCTCCACTTCCAGGACGCTCTCTGGAGTCTTGGCTGCTGTCAGTATCATATCCGTTGGACAGCTGGTCTAGTCTCCGGCTATGATGGCCACTGCTGGCACTGGGCACAGTGGGTAGCACTTGGACTCTGGAGTGAGAGCGAGAGGGTTCATGGGAGGACCGACCGCCAAAATGGGGTGTTCGCTCAGCCCGAGTGGGACCTTTTCCTTGGCTACTGTACAGTCGAGTCTCCAGGTGTTGTTTGAAGCCATTCTCTGGAGGGGAGGCAGAGCGGGAGTAGGTCCTGTCCTGACCTGGATCTGAGTTTAAGTAAAAGAAGTTTCATGAGGGGTTAAACCAAGAGAACCTGAAAAGCAAAGTATATTCTGAAAAGATTCTTTTAAGTCACTGATTCAAGAATGTAATACTTTAATAATGTAAATATTTTTAATTGAAACATGTTTTTTTAATTTTCCAACCAACAAATACAAGAAGAAAGCAAATAACCAATACTACTCAAATGTTTCCACCTCCAAAAAGTCAAGGTTCCTATGAATTCCACAAAGATTATTACATCAAATTTGTCAACTTTTAATCAAATAATTTGGCAATACAAAACCCATTCAAATGGCCTTTGAAAAAAACATTTCTCTACAAACTGTCTTATCTTTCCTGCTGTACCTGATGCCAAAAGACAGTGTCATGGATAACATCAACACAACATATCGCCAAGGCCAAAAATGCTGGGCTAAAGAACACATAGGTTGGGCAGAAAGTGAGGGAAGGGCATGACGACTACAGGGTTACTGACATTTATGTCTGCAGATGACAGGAAGGTGTAAATTACAACCGACAGGAGTCGATTTTCTTCTGTGGTGTGTACTTGGAGGGTAGCCACCTCATGTAGAGGCATCCATGGTAAAAAGGTTTCACTTTGGTGTTGTATGTATCTGTGTGTATATACATGCATACATGAGTGTGTTTCCCAAATGGACAAACATGTCTGAACATGATAGTGTAGTACGGATGTGTGTCTGCTATTCCAAGGACACCTTGAGCACTAACAGCCACTCTCAAAAATACATGGCCAGACATCCTTCCTGCAAAACTGGCTCACTCATGCCGCTATAGGTGCCCTCACAATCCTTTATTTCTCAACGCTCTCCATCACAGAGATTTCTGAACAGCACCTAATGGTCTTTCTTAGGTAATTAAAATTAATTTTGAAAATATGGGGCATAAAAGAATGAATGGAGAAACAAATAGTATCAAAGTGGAAAAAGGTCAAAAAGTTATTTTTTCTACATGGAAGCAAAACTTGTATTGTGCAAGTCCTCATTTAACAATGTATTGTTATAATGTATAGCTGACAGTGCTTTAGTCAGAGGCTGGGTCCTCTGTATTAGAGTCTAAATCACTAAGAAAAGCAATCTGTGGTAACAAGTTTTCACGTGAAAACAAAAAAGTGAATTTAGTACTAAACTAAACTGTGAACCCTTGGAAATAAGCCCATGAGATGGAGTCACTTTTGCTTTGGATTTTGCTGACTGTTTGCCACAGTTAAATCACTTCAAACATTGTTGTCTTGTGTATGTTTTTGCTTGTTTATATGATAACAGTGTGTTTTAAAGAGTTTCTGCTACCAGCTTAGTGTTGTCAACTGTACTAAAGGCTGTGGCTCAAACAATGGTAACATGTCTGAATCAATACAGTCAGAGATCATTTAGAAATCCCCTAGGGTTATCCCACAAACCAATATAAGCAGCAAAGTTAAGCTTTTCTTGAGTGTTTTTTTTTTAGCAAAGTGCTAGCCTGGGTATGATCCCTATTGTGGTAGTTTACATTGACTCTAGAGTCACCTCCCGCCTTGATATTTCACGGCAACAACACTCGCCTCCTTTAGTCTGCTGCACTCAGTCAAAACGGGATGTGAGCTTGGTGCTAACAAAAACTACTGCGGTTGACATGGTGGATTCGGGAGTGTGTTACAATTGTGTTTCATAATCCCCTCACTGATACTTAATTGAAAGTACTGATGTACTAAAGGAGTATTAAAGGAGCAGACCAATCAGCCGCCTGATTAGAACTGACACACAAACTCCATTTGTGAAGAAGTCAAAAGGAGAAGTAGTGGCACAAATATGAGTTTTTGAAGTTAAATTCATCTTCTAATTAAATTATACAGTATTTATCACTATTTGGTTTGATATGCGTGTCTTTGTTGTCCATGTCCATGCAGACCACAGAGAGGGGAACCAATGCCTTTTGAATATGAGAGAGTGGGATCAAGGCAGGCTCCAACAGACGTCAGCACTTAATCCCCTTTCTGACACATTGCTCCTGAACCAAGGGTTACATAAGGGCTTGGGAAGTGGAGGGCTAGCCTTTTGTATCATAAAGCCTGGCAATTCTCATGTGTATGTGTTGCATTGCATGTGCAGTCTACTTCTATAGATCCACATACTATACAGTATATCTGCAACTAACCTCTGTAACGAGAATCCAGCCTCCGTTGACCACTCCTATCTGGTTCTCTTCTGGACTGATGCATCCCCCTCACCTCTCCTGCTCTCTGGGCAACTTCTCGAGAAATCTCCCTGAGGCGACTCTTGGGATCACTGGTGGCAATTTTCACTATGACAAAAAAGAAGCAAAAAATTAATTTGGCATAATTTCCTCAATGAGGGACATGGGGTATGTAGTCAGTATACAATTAATACAACTTGTGCTGAATCAGGTGGGCATTTCCACCACCACAGACACCATTAGAAGTATTTTTATCTCACTGTACAAATAGATGGCTACTGTCAGTACATCCTTTTCCTTGTCACTGTTTTCCACCTCTTAGTCCCCAGTACTCTCAAGGCACTGAGCAGTTTCTGAGTGTGTAGACAGAGGCAATTTTACAACACATTGTTGTGCTGACGTATACAGTACATTTTGTGCTACATGAGGGCAAAGGCAAAAGGGTGGAAACATGGCCATGCAGAGACTTCTCTCCTCTGTCTCTGGCAGATATTCACTTTGAAACACAATGATTAGTCATGGCACTGGAAAACATGATCATACTGTGGTTCTGTTAGCTGTCTGAGATTTCAACATGAATCACTGTGAGGAGAACATGACTACCAGGTGTTTTTAGAGACTATGCTTTTGGAACTCCATATTCTCTTCAGCATCAAAAAAAACAGAATGTGTAACAGTTCACAACATGATTAACCAGGACTTCATCATTTAACTTCAGTGCTTTGGTTTTATTGTACTGACGTTTCCTCCCTACACCGCAGCTTAACCAACAAGTTTTTAAGTGAAGGGAAACAATGACGCACAGATCTCAAGGACCTTTGCAGCTTTACACAGCCACATAACAGAGCGCACAATAATATCAAAGGAGGTGCTATTTCACTGGTTTTCTTTCATTGGCTTGTCATTAAGGCCATTCATTTAACAAATCTCTTCTTCTCAATTTACACTCTTCTCCACTCGTGCTTAACTATGTTGAGAATTGACAGTTTTTGGTGACCTCTCTCTTCAACAAGGGTCTCTAATCTCCCCTCCTCCTCTGTATTACTAACATAACCAGATTTAGTTTTATAGTGAAGACATTTAATTATCTCTTCCTCTTGTTGCTATGCCAGATCTTTGCTTGTCACCACTCTGTGGACATATATATTTATAAATTAAGCCATCTTTCAAGGCTAAAAACGACAACCACCACACACTGTGACTCATCCCTCTAGCATGTTAGAATGTTTTTTCCTTCTCTGCAAGACACTCCATTTCAACAAGTACATACTGTGTGTTTAAACTTTAGTTTGTTTGGACTGGTACTTGTTTGTAATGTTGGAACAATTTTCTTTAAAAAAAAACTAAACAAAACAGAAACACTATTTAATCTGCAGGGGAAACAAGTAAGAATATCTTTAGCACAAGTCAGAGGTTTTTTCCAGTCCTGATCACTTGACTAAATAACATGTTAAAATGGGAACTTTTGAGGTGTGTTCCTCCACATTTTGGGTTATGAATCTCTCTCCCACTTATTGCTTCCACATTTTCTCCCTTACCTGGTCCCCGTCCTCCGCTGGTCTGAGCGCTGCCCCTGCTGAAGGTTGAAGGGGTCTTCTGTTTGAAAGAGCCTTGGCTCAACAGAGCATTCAGATTCTCCCTGGTGAGGTCCAGTTTCTTAGGGGCTGGCACTGGAGATTCAAGGCCTGCAAAGGAGAAAAAAGGAAACGTTAATGCATTTTTAACAAAGAAAGAGCAGACTATATTATTTAAGTTCACTGATAAAAACAAAAATTATAAATAAACAAATACACAGACTGCACCTGAAACTAAGACACAGAATTTAAATAACAAAATCCACACAATGTTCTTCTTGGTTTTTGGAGGATCATCCAGTTTGGTCCAGCGCCCTGTCAGCTCTGATGGGCAGTGTGCGGCTGCCACAGCTTGGACCTGGGGCACGGCCAGCATGGAGAGTTGGAGGAGGATCTTTAAAAGGGATAAAAACCTCCCCAACCAAACAAATCCAGGGATATATAATCCAACCAGTGGAGATGTTCAGCTGTTGTCATCAACAAATTTCCATTACTGCCTGCAAAGGCAACCAATATGATGTGGGATTTTACACGTCCTGTAACATGTTGTGTTTTGTTGTGTTTCTTCGAATTTGAATTCCACTTAAAAAGACTTGAAAATGAAGCAAATTTTTATTTAAACTTAATTGTATGTATAGTAAGGGAGTAAAAGCTCTGCTTAAATAAACCACCAGCATTGCAAGAATTTTGCTTTTAATAAAAACATCATGTCTTTATTAAAATTTCCATCTACACATTTAAGATTACATGTGTTCTTAGTCAAAGTCTTAACTCCAGCTGGGTATATAGAGGAAAATCACACTCTAACTCACCAGCCAAACATTCAACTCAATCTTCAGACTCTAAATTTGTATTACAAGGCATGCCACTCTGAGTTTAAACACCAAAAACGTTTGGCTAAACTTTGATGTTGCATTTAACCAGCTTGTAGTGCCAAAACTTTCTTCATAGTTTTTCTTTTATTCCCTCCACATCCTGCAACTTTGTTACAATTATATCTGCACACCTCAGCCTCATATTAATGGGTGTTTTACAATAAGGCATTATTATCAAATAGCTCACTTGAGATGGGATCATGGTTTGTGAATGCAAAGAAGAACACATAAAGCTCAGCAGAACTAATTGCCAAGATTAATGCATCGAAAAGGAATTGATGTCACCATTCAGTGAAAGGGACACTAACTCAACACCCCATCATACCTGATACAGTATAGATATTTAGTATAGCTCTTTTGCCAACAGAGCTTCTACAGTAGCATAGTAGATATAGTAGATTTTTAAATGCCACCATGATGACCTCTGAGCTACTCCTTTTTAGGGTCCTCATTCCAGTAAAAGTTGGCACAGTCAGAGTGAACAAATACAGACCGATTCTGAAACAACCCTGATGGGATATGTCATACCTTGCACTTGGGACTGGCTGCTGTTTTGTCTTGAGGCATCAGCCGCGGTGATAGCACTCCCGTCAGGGTTGGAGTAAAAGAGGAGGAGAGGCTGGAAATGACCTTTGATACATTTGCTGACCACATCTTTCCACCTGGAGCCGATCTACAGACAAAAAGACAAAAAAAGGCTGATCAATGAGCATGAAAAAAAACAAAAGACAAGATATTTAAGTGAAATAATCTGCCATCTACATGCTTTGTTTGAGATCAGTTGATTTGGAGATATTAAAGAGTGTGTAAAACATTGGATTTTTTGCTAATGGGTCCTATGTTTCAGCAGATCGAGGATGTGTGCATTGTGCAAATCAAGTGGCCACGGTCCAATTTAATTTCAGAAAGCAGATGGATTGTACACATGATGGGAGAATTGTTGTGAGTCCATCTGTTTTCATTTTAAAAAGAGGTATCAAAAAAGTTCTGTTGTGTAACTGTGATCTGATATAAAGCATTTAACTTATTGCAAACTGAACAATTTCCACTAATACCCAGGTCTACTGACATCACCAGAGGGTCACAGCCTGAGTCAATCTTAATCAAACAGAAAATGGTCTGAAAGCTTTTATAAAATTCAACAACTTTATAACAAAAATAACAATATTAAATAACAAAACCTCCCCTTTATTGTGCATAGTCTAATTTGTGAGTGAATATAACTGAGGTTAAATCACACATTCACATTAGTAAAGCTGTATAAGATGCGTGTCTCGCCACAAAGGCACCACAAAGACAGGCTGCTGGCTAACAGATGCTTGTGTGCTCCTTAATTAAGCAAATGACGGGGGAAGAGGGGGCAGGAGACGGTAGGGGGAGGAGAGATAGAAAGATGAGGTAAAGAGGAGCCAAGAGCAAAGCTAAACAAAGGAAAGATAAAGGGAAGAGTGCTGCAGAGGTGAATAAAAAAATAGCAAATGGATTCCAGATGAAGGGATGTTCGCTAGCACAACCTCCATTGTATGCTAAATGTTTTCTCTATGTAAATCACTACAAAAAAACTCAGTTCTTAGTCACCTCCTACTCCTGGCTTGGACCAAAAGGTGTGAACTTGAGGCTATAAATCAACAGCTGTGTTAAGGGCACATGAGGATGTAATGATCTTCGCACCTGAATGGTTTATTGACACAGACTAAATGTATAGCTATGACACAACCTCATAACTACTTAACTAAACTGCTGAAGCCTTTATGTTGCTGTTATTATCCATCATTTAACACTGATGCAAAGGTGTACAGTTATTCTGCCAGCTAAAAGAAAAAATAAACACCTGCCAGCCATCCAATCAAGAATTCTCAATGGCCATGGTATAGGTACAATTACTATTTTCAAGTAACTGTATTTTGTCGTTCTTATTATAGAATTTTTATGCACTGGTAAAGCAGTGATTGGGTTACACTACAGTAGTCATTTAGCAGCTGGGACTTGGGGAGTCACAGAAATGCTGGCAAGTTTCGATCCAGGTATGGACTTGGCAAGCGCTGAGTACTGTAGCTCCTCCATCTCAGTCGGGGGTGGGCGGCTGCACACACAGCACAAGCTGCTGATGGATTGACACAGAGCCAGGCAGCCAGCCGCTGCACCACAGTCCCCATGAAAATTGTCAGAGTGTAAGACAAAAGATATGCTCACATGTGCACACCACACAAATGAATCACGTGTTAAGAAAGGGGGGAGAATGGATGAAAGGATTCACAAACTATATACTGCACACACACATACACAAAACCATGTGCCTGCAAAACACAGACACACAAATAAACCTCTTTCTCACACATAGACAGCACAAACAAACACTTTGACCCTCAACTTCAAACCTTCAACTTTAACCAGTGAAGGAATCTGTAAAAATGTCTTTACTGGTAAAGCTACATGTAACTACTGTTTTGTAATGACAGAATTGCAGTAGAAATAGAGGTGGGGGGTTGGGGGGTTAGCTGACTGTTCACTGCCATAAAGGTTCATCAACCCAGAGGCTCACAAGGGGCAATCGATGTGGCCCTTATTGGGTGAAAAAGAGACTTGGTGATGGAGATAAGAGACTGTGAACATCACTACTCTTTGCTGCTGCTCGTAAAACAAACCATGTTTTATTATAATAAAAATAATAGCACATTTTTATAAAAATGTGCAACATAACAAATTAGACAAAGACTAATGGCCTACTGTCTTTCATTAACTGGATCCTTGTATAAAAAAAATAAGGTAATGCTTTTAGGTGTGTGTTGGAATAGATCTATGTTATCATAATAATTGTGTTGTTGTCTACGCTTATCAATTTTTGATATGATTAACTGATTATTTTTCAAATCTATAAAAAGTCAACAAAATTTCCCAAGTGACATCTTCAGATTGACTTTATTGTCTGATCCCCTGTTCAAAATCCAAATAAATTCAATTCACAATGATATAAAACAAAGAAAAGCAGCAAATCTCCACCTTTAAAGAAGCTGGAACTAGTACATGTTTTGCATTTTTCCTTGGCTTAAAAAATTAATTGATCACATTTTCTGTGTATAAACTGATTTAAGTGACCAGTGATTTCCGCACTAGTGTACATTTTCTCACCTCTTTCACTGTTGCATCGTCAAAGAAGACCCATTTGGAAGATTTGGTGTGGAATGCAAAGGCACAGTAGTGGCGGCTGGAATAGCAGATCATCCCAACGAGCAGCAGCTCTCCCTTTTTGGCATGTTCATCTGTTACCCTGTAGAAGAGCTACACACACACACACACACACACACACACACACACACACACACACACACACATAAATATTTACACCAGTTACTTATCGCATCATCGTAAGTGGGCAGGCAAGTGAGTGATGTTGATAGCTAGTGGAATCAGTTACTCCATCTGTTAACAGATTAAGGTCTGAGGGAATGAACTGACAATCAGTATGAATAAGGGCTGGTTTAAATCAGCACTGTCATAGCGGTACTTCATATCTAGAGTAACAGTACAATGCTCCACAGTATTCTTACTGATGGTCTAAATACTAATATATAGTGGGGTTTTCTAATTTCATTTGTTTCATATCAGCAGGGAAAAAATTAAGTAAAAGGGTCCAGAAGACATGGAGAGAGAGTGGAGAAAGCCTTGGTGAAACGGTCACTTGTTCCCCCCTCTCATGTATCGTGCACAACCAGTTCTCTGTCTCTCCCTTTTGACAGTCTCAACAATAGATTTCAAAGCAAATGTTGGGGGTGGAGGGCTCCCTTTAACACCCAATAAAGTCACATGAAACACTCTCTAATGAATCAAGGCCTTTGTGGCACAGTAATGGGAGGGGTGGGGGGTGGGGGGGTTGTCCTGACAAATTCTTCTGATGGTATGCTTTGGAAATGCACAAGAGGGAGCTGTCAAATGAATGGTCTGGATACTTCGATAAAAGAAGTTATGCAATGTTTGTAGCATATGAGCATGCCCTGATCTGAACTATACTGATTGATTTTTTTTTTGCTTGTGAAGCCCATCCACCAAACACAGTGGACTGATGTGAGCAGGCTACTGAGGAATATTTAGTAATTTGTGTGCCACTGTGAACACCAGAGACAACCTTACCATATGCATGTATAGGGAGATGGGATTTTATGGACAAAAAAGGAGCCCACGTTTTTGCCTACTTATGATCAAGAATGTGTGAATGTAAACAGTACAACAACAGCAGTCTCAAACATATTTTTGTACCCCCTATCTCAGTGCTGTCTGTTCAGCCCACATGTTCCCTCAGACAGGCATGCACACACACACTCAAAACACACAAAACACAGACATGAGGGGAGGGGCTTTTTGACAAGCTGACCAAGGCCAGCAGGGGCTTTTTGATCAGTGGCGCAGGCCAACTGGGTATTGGGCGTTGACTGCTTATGCAACGGCCCCGACTTACAGAGAAATAAATCCCCACTTTATTTCCCACATATGTTCGATTGCACCAAAATAAACTGACCCTAAATGGCAGCTGTGAATGGACTCATTCCAAGAAGATACTGAAAATTTAACCATGCCTGGGAGAGTTATTTGATATTGTGTTAAATAATTAATTACTTAATCTGAAAGGTTCAATGAAATGTTCTGACTGTATGTAATTTTTGTCTTTTTTGTCTCTCTCTTAATTTTCAATCTGACCACCTGAAAAATTAAACAAAAAAATATCCTTGACATTTTATTTTTGTGAAAACATCCCATCACTCTCAACAATCTTCATATTGTAATTCCACACCACAGGTCACAAAATACAAAGGGAGTAATAAAAATAAATATAAAATTGAAACACACATAAATTGTTGAAGAAATGACACTCACTGCAGAGAGACTGAGATGAGGTCCAAGCGAGCGGATAACATCCTCAGTGAGGTCAGACTGGTCAGAGTCCCAGACGAAGCCTATGGTAACTATCTCTGGGGAGTTCATGAGGACCCGTCTGATATTAATCCTCTGGCCACAGTTGCTCTGGAAAAGAAAAACAAAGACACAGAAAAAGATAATAATAATAAAATAGTACCCAAAAGCAACCAGTTCACCCAGTTACGATGTAGACTACAGAACTGGCTAGTCAGTAAAAATTAATATCAAAAATAAAACGCCTGAGATTCAGGGGAGTCCCTGAAGACTGCCCTATGGTTGTCCATCAAATATAACAAACATTTAAAGGAGACAATGGTAGCCATATTTCCGATGAAAGGCTTTTGCAGCAAACTGGTGCACTTTGAAAACTTACTGGACAGTTACGAAGGTCCCCTATCGTACTTGCTGCTTGTAACAGATCCCCGAAAGACTCGTCTCTGCGCTGCAGCGTCTGTTGACTGAGAAAGAAAAGACGAGGCGTGAGAGACAGAGATTAAGGTATGTGGAAAAAAAACTTGTGTGTGTGAAATATCAGCTAAAAAGTTAAACTACTCCCATGAGACAAATATGCAGAAAGACATGTGAAAAGCAAAAACAGAGTGGAGCTGGACAGATGACAAAGGGGAAGCAAAAAAAGTTTCATATTGCCTGTGCCTTACCAGAGTGCGGTGGTAGAGACATAATGCACCAGCTCAGTAAACGGCAGTGGGTCGGAAGTTGCCCCACAGCTATGGCACACAGACTGCACAGGGGAGAGAGATGGAGACCAAGAGGGTGACAAACACAAGAAAAAGTAACAAAAAAGATAAACCGGTGTGAATTCAGCATGCGTAGCCACTGCCAAGGACCAACTGTCAAGCCAACATGTCATTTTCCAAAAGGAGACCAGAAACGTTCACCCTCCTAAATAAACTCTCTTTTATTTGTATAAATCATGGCAAGAGATTAAGACATGCCAGTCTTGCTGCTTCCTTTGCATTATAAACTATGGGTTCTACCGAATCTTTTGAAGTCCCCAACTCAAATGATTGACATTATTGGGCATCCAATTTAATTTCAGAAGTTATCAATCTCCCTCTGACACAGGCAATCCTCATTTAGGCCGACATAATATTTGCTGGATTTGGGTGCCCTGAAGTCGAGGTGGAACAAAATCCACTGACTGTGCCCCTAAGGGATTTAGTCCAAAGGCGTATTATCTGTTTGATTCAGAGATAGAACTGGTTTGGGATAGGGACAGAGTTAGTGATGGGCATCACAGCCACAGCGCAGGGTGGTGTCTGTGTTGTGCTCGAATTTATGTGTACACCATCCGTGATTTATCTGGTACTTCTGCTGCAGCACTGTAGAATCTGACCAGAAACACCCTCCTTATTCCACTGGGGCGACCCAGTATTCAAACATGACGGATTGGATTTCTACTGTCTCAGACAGTGATTCATGTACCTGTCTATGTGTGTGTGTGTGTGTGTGTGTGTGTGTATGTGTATGTATGTGTGCGCGCATGCGTGTGTCACTTAATCCTAAGACTGGCTGGTGTGTGTTCCCATTACTGTAGAGGGTGTGCAAAAACAAACACTGTATGAACTAAAACATCTACAGCAAAAAAAAAAAAGAAAATCATAATTAATGCTTCTTGTAATGAATTATCACATTTAAACAAAACCTTTTTCACAGATTGGTGCAGCAGAAAAAAAAAACAATAACATCTTAAGTAAAATAATATAATTCATGCTTGATGATTCATGCCGTCTGACCCTTTACTGACCTGCTCATAAAGTGACATAGCAAACTTCTGATGCGTGATGCAAGACTTTGAAGTGCAGGCATCTGTCTCCTCAGGCACAATGTGCAGGTGGATCCTCTCTAGTATGTTCTCCTACGACAGAACAGGAGATCCATCAGGTATGGGACAAACATTTCCAACTGGCTTGTTGTAAAGCAACTTCTTTACAAGTACCACAGGCTATCTAATCTATTTACTCCAAGAGAGGTATTTCGAAGAGCAAAACTGCAGTGCAATGGGACACTGCAATTTAAGAGTCATGTTGTAAACCTGACATCAGAAGGAACACATTTAAAGAGCAAGCTATACTCCATTTTAGCTCCCTCCTGTTTCTATGGAGTGCTTCTGAGTTTATAAAATATTAAGGCCGCAGCATAGGCCTGCAAAGGTTACAGGCACAACTTCACAGCCTGTTAATCTGACACTGGCTAACTCCTCACATAAATTCTACTCCAGCATGTTGCTGCCAGTGCATTACATGGTGAATGCTCAAGGGCAAAGATCTGTGTGGGATTAAGAATTAAGATCGTCTATAAAAGATAGTAACTTTGGCACGTAAGCTTTGGTCTTAGAAGTAAAAAGTTGCTGTTGAGTTTTTATATGAGGGGATTTTGCAAAGAAAGAAGGAAACAAGGCACAAACATTGCATTCTTTGCATTTAACTTCATCATGTAGTAGGTTTGTGGGTAATTTCTTATTTTAGAATCAAAGGGACTTAATGCTCACACTTGTGACCCAGTGTTCACATATATTACAGTCCTTTCCACTTTTGCTCCAGAGACATTAGATTCTCTCTTTTGTTTTTCCATTTCTGCATAATTGGACTTCCTAAGTGGGTAAACAATGATTGTGGGATAAAATCGGAATACATCTGTGCTGTCTGTGTATACTGTCAGTAGGCATAGGTTATCAACATCGTGAGAAAAAATGAATTAATTAATGCTGATGGACAAATGAAAACATGGTTGAAAAATGAAGGATAAAAAATGCTGCAGGATCTGTTTTACATTTGTTGGTTGGAGTCGAAATAAAACTGGAACAAAAAAATGAAAATTACACTGCAGTTATGGAAAAACAAGTTCTAGCCGAACAATGCTTTACTGTGCCAAAATAAGCAGAAAAACTAGAACTGATATGTAAAAGTGATGAAGGATGCATGAAATCGACTTTTAAAAAGCACAGAAATTATGTGACATAATATGGTAGCACAAAACGGAGAGGTTCAAACACAACTCTGGCGCTTATATAACCTGTCATGATAATATTTAGCGGCAATGTGGCAGGGGTTGATGGGAGGGGAAGGGAGGGACAGAAGCTCTTTCAGTGACCTCGCCAAACAGTTTGTTACAGTGCATTACTCGAACTGTGTGGCAGGGGAACACACAAACATACACACATCCCTCTCCATACGCTAGTCTCCGTCCCTCAGGACAGCCGGGTTGCTACAGGAACTTACAAAGCACTCTGCGGCATCATCCATGAAGCCCAGCTGGAAGCGCTGCTCGTCCTTAAAGGTCTCTGCCAAGGCGTGACGCAGGTTGTCAGAGGGCAGGGCTCGCTCCCGACTGTGCTGGAACTGGGAGAAAATGCCCTAAAGAAGAGAACAAAAACTTATTTGCACATGGACTATGGGACATTTTGTTTATTAAAAGCATTCGTGTCACCCTCACTGCTCAATACACAGTCTGAATATGTGACCCAGCGATTCACCGCATCCATAAAACAAACAGGAACTACACGGTTACTTCTCAGTGTTAGCTCCTGTTAAATATACTGACTACACCAACCTTTAACGCACAAAAGATGCACGATTCTCCTAAACAGAAGTGTCCAGGTAGCTGCCGCAAGCTGCGTCTGAAAATGTCCAGCTGCCATAGTACCTAAACAAGGGAAAGAGGAGGAGGTTTTTACACTAAAAGTGCAACCCTCACCTTTGTGTTGGAGCATTTCTTACAGACTCAAACAATAAAGCAAAAAAAAGGCACAGGCATGAAAATCAAACAGACATAAGAAGCTCCAAGATTCATCTTTTTAAACCAGTTGCCTTTCAAAAATAATGTTAAGAATAAGCACAGGGCTGTTTCAAGTGGGTATTTATATATGTGAGAAAACTTATGGCATTTGGGTGTCAGGACAACATTTACAAGGAGTGGGATAAGGAGTGGGTGAGAGGAACAATTCTCTCACAGAAACAAAGCCAAAGGCAACAATAATCTTCAACCAGCTCATCGGTTGTCTCACTCTGAGTCACAGTCTCCAAGAGTGACCTCACTGTGTGGCTGACTGCAGTAATGAACTAGCACACCAGCCAGCATCCCACTAGTCAAAAGCAACCTTAATATTCAGTATATTGCTGGGAAGCTCTGACAAATGTAGACAGTGACTAAGCTTTGAAAATTCTAAATAAAAGATGATCATATTTTAGAGGGTGGAACATGTACAGCTGCTGCAGGAAGGGAGCAACAAGTGAATGAATAAAGTTATACAAGCAGCAAAAAAGAGGTTAGGAGCACCTTAGGATTTAATACTATTTAATATGATATTTTTTACAATGGTTACTACTGTTGTGCAGCTTTAAATAATTAATTTTTGCAGAGAAATTGAGTTTTTGTCAAAGATTTGATTTGACTTAAACACAAACTGATATCACCAACAAACAGTCAACAGGACATCCCTACCTGCACAGCACTGTTGAGGAAGCAGCTGTTCTGGCCTGGCTCATTCAGCAATCCTTTGGTGGGGGCAAGAGACAGCATGCTCCCCGGCTGGTACGATTTCCCCAAATTCCCCCCCGGCTTCCTGAAGAACTTGACCCATGCCATTGGACAGCGGGGTCTGCCTTCAGACAGGTGGGATGGTCAGATGACAGGGCAGGTTGGGGCTGGGATCAGATCCCTTGGCCCCTGAAGGAGTGAGTCCCCAACAGTCTGGGGCTACGTAATTCCACGAGCTGCAGCAGCTGTCTTGCTACACATGGGTTTCTAGAGCATTTCTGCAGCTCATATAGAAGTCTCTTTTACTTTATCTGCAATTTAAAAGTCTTTGCAATGCAAAAAAATAAAAAGTTAAATGAGAGCACAAAAAAATTACAATCCAAGTCTTCGTTTTGGGAAGCTTATGATGATCCGCTGTATGATGCTTCTGATGAGATCCACTTTGACCACAGGGGAACACGCCTCGGTCATCCTGTAGTCTTGATGGTTCGGCACAAAGCTTCACAACAACTTCAGAAAAGAAGGTGGACTCCTGTAAGCAAACTTTGCCACATGGTCCTGATGCTAGTGAAGATATTCAGCTGCAGTCAATTGTCCCTTTAAGAGGTTCATCCATAGTAAAGTTTTATCCAGGCTGGACAGCAAACACAGCTGGGCTGTGTTAGAGAAAGAGAGAATTGAGATTAAATGAGATTTTTAGATGGCATTATGGAGCTCATTACAAGTTACTGCTTTTTCTAGTATTTTTAATTGCTCTTTTCAACTCCACAGATAATGACAAAGTGATTTTTTAATAACAGAGAAATATACTGTACATCTGAGGCTACAGCTGCCTTTCTATTCAATATTCCAGGTTAGAGTGGACTTTTTAGACATGTCAACAAAGCTTATACATTAACTTTTACAAACACCCTTTGCACTGGAGGCGTGTCAAACTGGTAAGCCCTAACTTAAGTTGCACATTAACATTCAGACAAATGTATTTCAATTTCCTGAACAACATAGACAATAATAGCCAACAGATACTTTAAAGGAAAAACAAGATCATGTTGAATTAGAGCAGAATTTGCATAAATGTGTTGACTTGTGTACAACTGTCCATTAGGAATACAAAGAGTAGAAAAATACAACACGGCAGTACCACTCAAACAACCGTGAAAACCTATTAAGCGCAGCTTGACTTCATTCAGTTACAATCACTGGTGCTCAGGAGAAATAAACCTCCAACATCACTCGCTGTAAAGATCTACTGTCACTCCTGACAACAGTCTTCCCCAGCTCTCAGTGCTGATAACTGCAGACCACTAAATATTGATTACTCTACCTACAGTGGTATAATCCCTAATTCTTTGTGTCATTGATTAATTACATTTTCCAGTTCATAATTTAATCTTTAATACATGAGACAAAATTACAAATTTCTGCCACAAGTCATCAGGCCCCCAAATCCCCAAATTTTGCCTCATTAGCAGTTAAAAAATAAAAATCAGTTTGTCTATAATAACAGAAAAAACAGCAAATTTTCATACTTGAGAAATTGTAACCAGAAAATATCAGATTTTTTAATGTTTGTTTTTATATCTACACTGCAGTGTTTCCATGTGTTGAATTGATTTTACATAGTTTTAGTGTGGAGTTGTAACTCAGGTTTAAATGCCAAACTGATGTTGTTGATCAGCAATTCATAGCGTGTGAGTTCAAAATTTCTGTGGAAAAATACTGCTTCAAGTTTCTTTCATGTCCGATTTTGTCAGTTTGCCTGGCATTGTCATTCTTTAATTAACAACTACTAGGCTGTCCTGTTTTTTAACATTAGATGAGCAGTGGAGGACATTATAACAAACCATGGAAGATGCAGCTTTAACAACATGGTGAGAAATACCAACAAAATTTGCAGTGAATGTGCACTGTGTGCCTGTGAAAGCAGTGCTGAACACAGACTACTTGGAGAGGTTTGATGGATGAATATGCTTGTGCTGAGTGAGGCAGTGAAAGCTGTGTCTATGTTATTGTATTAGTAAATGCCCCAAGAGGTATATATAGTCATAGCCTGTAATGTTTTGATCTTTACTGTGATTTTCAGAGGATATTCTTTTATGTCATTCTAAATGATAACAAAGCTTGTTGTGTGACTTTACGGAAAACTGAAGTTGTGGCAAAGCAGATGTACTTCAAGCACCTAAAAAGTATAAAAAAGCAACAATGAGCCATAGTTCCTTGTGTGATACGTGATGATTCAGCCTCCTTTAGTCCCTCACACCTAAAAAATAACCTCAAAGACTAAACCTCAAACATTTTGTTATTCAGAGCGAGGACAAAAAAAAATACTGCCCTACTTTTTACAAAGAATGAAAATTCCCTCTTGTAAGTCTCCAGAACCACACAAAGTTTCAGCCAAAACCAGTTGGACCACATTGCCATCCTGGTATTTCAGGAATCCTCAATGGATGATGTTGCAACAATGGAACTTCACAGCAGGTTAATGGTGCAACCTGGTGAAGTTTAATATTTACAGTCATCTTCACATGATTTTACTTCACATGCTAATGTCTCTGCCCCTGTACTGTGCAAGTGGCCTCCATAAGAACAGCATTCCAAGGCAATCACTTAAGCTCAGAGTTGCTCAAGAGCTGCTGTTTTCAGATTAGTTTCAGGGGTGGAGGGGCAAGTGGAAAAGTCTGTACTCCACCTTTAAAGCCCACCTTTACCAATGACATCGCACGCCCTGACATGTTTCATTATAAGCTGTCTCCAAGCACATATGTGAACATCTAGTTTGTTAACATGCAATGAAATGTGGGATGTGTCTTAACATTTCTTTGATAGGAGAAACTGGTAAGTTGAAGTGAGAAGCGTGTATACATTTCTTTAATCAATCATTCTTATTCTTAAGAAGACCTTATTATTTTCTTTTATTCTTAATATTGCAGGGTGTCAATCACTGTAGCACCCCTGTCACTCCAGGTCAAATAAAACTGATTCATTATTACTATTTTTAAAAGATAACACAATAACACCCAGCATGTCTGGGTCACATCTCAGCAAGCATAAACAATACTACACATCCTGACAACCACATTATTCAACATCATTTTGATGGCATGGAGAGTGAAGCCAACGCGTGTTTTGCCATGTGACATTGCTGACAACAGCAAGAGTAAATACTTAAAAAAAAAAAAAAAATTAAAATTAAATCCTTTTGCTAGGTATTTTATTGCATTATGGTGGTCCACTTAAAAAACTGCCAACCTCCCTTATGCAAAACTATCTTTTATCCTGAGTGAAATTGGCACTCACTGACCAAAATTCAGGGACATAATTTTAAAAGATTGTGCTCTTTTGCTTAAGCGCAAAGAGCATCATTTCTCCAAACAAGGAAAAAAATACCAGGTTTCCTTTAAACATGTTTACCCCTATTTAATAATAAAATTACTTTCACTGTCACTTCATTTTCTTCTGTGATACAATGAGCCATTGCTGAAGAGAGCTCAGCAACTATTTCAGCCTCCCCATGTAGTGTTTGCACTGCAGAACACAGAGCACATTTTTAGACACGGACTTGCTGAGTTACAATCCAGAGAGGTTAAAGTGGCACATATTCTACCTAACCTGTTAGCAGAGTTACAGATGAAAGAGTGATCAGTAGAAAAGAATAATGCACAATACCTTCACAGGTGGCTACGTCTGCATGAACATTCTTACTGTATTTCGTATGTCTGATGTCTTGTATTATTGTAATAAAAAGACTTATTCTCAAAAACTTAAAACAGATCCTTCATAATCAATTTCAACTGAATGCAGCCATATGAAATATCTGCTTCTTTGTTTATAAACCTAGGTGGAGAAAATGACTCAACTGGCTGGTCACATTATTGTCCCGAAGCCAAGCTTATGTCATTGCCTAATGCAAGCCAAGATGGTTGTTGACACCCTTCCGCTTTAAGTCTTAGTGGTGAATTACACCATTTTCTTCAGGCTTATTTTCATTTTCTTCATGTTGATCTTTACAAGTTTGTCCATATTTAAGTTGTTTTTTTTTTCATAAAACTCTCTGGCTTCATCTCAATACGTAACTAAAATGAGCTAATTTTGATTCTTTGTTCAACAATGGCCCCACAAAGCAATTCATTTACTCAAGCTCTTTTTAAGTTATCTGGGTTTAATAAACCTAACACTGGTAATCTTGGAAAGCAATTTTCTCAGTTGACCCTGGGGTTTTCCAACTCAGCTATGTTTTCATGCACATGAAAGAAGCTGGGTTCAATCACATGCAACTCTGACAGGTCAAGAGCAGTGCATATGGTATGAGTTGAGATGAAATCACTGATCACTGTGGGGAAATTAAATTGACACTGCAGAAAAAAGTAATATTCAGTGAGGTGAAAGATACATAATCTAAGTACACCAAAAAAAAGCAACACTAGAAATAGCAGAAAAAAGGACAAACTTCAAACACCAAAAGGAACACTATGCAAAGTTTGGAAAAATATTATTTATGCCTTAATTCATGAATTTCCCCTGGGGGAAAAATAAAGTATCTCTCTATCTATCTATCTTAATTTGCAGTTGCTGTTTTACACGTTAAATCACCCTAAGTGGAACACTAATGTAACTATAATAAAGAATATATTTAAAACATTTAACTGTTAGCAGCCAAATTATTTATCCTTTTGGTTCACAAAAGAAACAAGACTTGACAAATATGTGTGACTAAAATGTATAAATAAATTATTAGGAACTAATTTTCAGTGTATAGAAAAAAAAAATCACTTCTCATCAAGGCACAGTGGGAATACTTTGTATATTTACATAATCTCATATCATTAAGGCAATAAAGTCTATTTTCTTTTCGCAAAGTCACCTCATGTTCTCTGTGGCGGCAGAGAAAGAACTGTTGCGCAACAGGCTGCACTGAACCAACAGGAATAACATGAACGAGTGTATTTAATATTCAAATGTATTTCCTATTAATGACTGACTACCTACACTTTGCAAAAAGCCCAGTTTCATAACCAGAGTGGGACATGTGCTGTCCTGCAAATGTTGAATATATTTCTGATTTCCGAGTCCTTTCAGGTTTGTCAAGATGTGAATCTGTGCTCTTTAGCACTTGTTACTTAAATGTGAATGCTATATTTTTGTGCAAAGTGTGTCCCTATTTTATTTTTATTTTTATTTTTTTAACAGATTTGTGAGGAAGTGGGATTTAATTCAAGCCATCCAGAGTTAATTTTGTAAATTTAGCTGGCCAACCATCACACTAATTCTACTTCATGAGACCGACCCTGTGTCTTTACCATTTAATAGCAAAGAACTTCAAACAGACAAAACTACCAACACAACATACGTTCAGTAAACTGAAACTCTTACTTCTACGAGCATAAGTTAATAATACCTTAACTAACAACTTCATATTTGTAACCTACTGACTTAATAACTGTAATTATCAACTTAATAACCATTGATGATGCTGAAATCTTTTTATGTCATTGTCAAACCCCATCTGCCTGTGTAACCTCATAAAACTAGGAGAGAAGACAAATGAACTGTCACATTGCTGTTTGCTATTGTACTGTATTTAACTGCATGTACAAAACAAAACCAACATCATTCTCACTACGTTATGGAAGTCTGTAGCATAGATCTGAGTGGAAGCCCAACAAAAGTAATTTCACTTTTTCTCTCAGGAGCACCAGTACAGGAAGTCAAGCTTTCCTTGGTAAACAAAGGCTTTGTCAGCCTTGTCAAGCAAAGCCCAAGATTGACTTTTTTCCCCTTGTCATAGGGAAAATGCTAAGGCTAGCACCTCAGAGCAATCAGCCAAAGAGTGTGTTGTGCATCAGCAGCTTTGACAAGCTTAGGGAGTCAGTAAGATGTGGACATGTTCGGTGTGAAGGCATGGGGAGTCTGATGCTATAATGTATCTATTAGTGATCTGTTGATGGATAGCCTCATTCTGAATAATTCAATTGATCTCCTTTATATGGTAATGCCAAGAGCAGCTGATGAATCAATCTGTGGGAAATTGAGTCACACTAATTCAATGTATATAAGACGTGAAAATAGAAATACATTGTGGGAACAGCACAAAGAGATAAAGAGTGTATGATACATATAAAAACCCAACATTAAAGTTGACAGTTCTCTCTACATCGTAGGTCTTTAAAATAACCTAAATACATACAGTGGTCACACACAGCCTTTAAATCCATTTTAATCCATCCTCTCCTTGATAAAACACAATGTGCCCCACAGCACAGTACAACTTCCCACCTCTCTACAACTTCTGACATTCTGTGAGTTAAGTCAAGGTGCAGTCTACCTTTTTCTCAATGCAGATCAATATATCTTTCCGTCAAGCTGGTGCATTATCCACCTGGTTAGAGTGTCCCCTCCTGTTCCTCCTCAACTCTGACTCACTGTTGATGAATGGCTTTCCTTACTGGGGATTAGGTTCTGCAGAAACTCCAAACCCGATGAGTAGGAAAGTATTGTGTACCTTTTTTCTATTTTTAGTAAAATGTGATTTTTTTTTCCCCGGGACTTACTCATCGTCTTACATACAACAAGAATTTTTTTAACGATTCAATTTTATCTTTCGAGAAAGAACTTCAGTTATGTTGATGTTGAAAAATCAATGTTTACCCCTTTTAACCCCTACACTTGAGCAGCCCACACAGAGTTTTTATGTAAAACACGAACTTGAACTACAGCCTTGCAACATAATTAAAATGTACTTAAAATTAAAGTACAGTGTTGCTAGAGCAACAAAGAAACACCAATGTTTTGATATCTTTTATGTAAAAACAAATTCAATGAGCAACTGTTTCTTTATTGTATGATTTGTGATCCATTGGCTACATCTGAGAGTTGCCTGGGTGATGTTACGCTAAAGTTTGGGAAAAGGACAAAAAGTATCCTAATGAATGAATGGAATAAAACTTGCTGAAGGTAACAGATTGTGTTTGTTGTTCGAAATTGCAGTTTCAAAGGCTTCACTATTTCTCTTAAAGGTGCATCTGTCTGAATTCTACTTAAGAGCCAAGTTGCCCACCAGTGAACTCAAAACATTCACTGGGACACAGTCACATTTAACAAGTGGACAATTACAGATTTTTTTCATGTCTCGGCTTAGCCTTGGGTAAAAAAAAAAAAAGCTCTCTATTTCTGGTGAAGTCACGCAAATTTCTTAGGAGTCTGACTCATTTGTTAAATGTAGGAACGAAGTCTCACAGCTGACAGTGTCCCACTCATATTTGTAATTCCCCTATTTATGTGTGTTTTTTTTAAATAAAGTGATGAACAAAGTGTCTGACATCAGGAGAAACATTTCTTCTCTGCTGCCGACACCATGTTTTAATTTTCTGTAATTTAGTGCAGTGGCTTTCCCAAATTCTTCTGTCAGACTGTTTATCATAATTAAGTGTTCGGACTGCGCAAACACACAAAAGTCGGGAAATATACAAGAGCCTCATAATATGCAGCCACTGCATGTCGGAAAAGAAGCAACAAAACGTAACCCCGCACTCTAAAGCCTTAAAATAACAGTGAAACTTGACTATAAAATTCCCTATGGACTGCGGACAAGGTTTAAGCCTTCAGGCATCAATGCACCGGTCGTTTCCTGTGTGGGCTTCCTGCTCAAAGGCTTGCCGCTTTCCAGCACACGGCCACCGCATTCAACTCTGTGAAACTGAACAGGTCACCTACACCACACTGAGTCACCTATTATTCCTTAGTGTGTCCAACAGAGGAAGAGGGAGAACAAAAGTACATGTTCCAGGATCCCATACTGAATAGAATCTGACTGAAATATGACATCCTCCTCTCCGCTCTCAAGATTGCTTCCTTAATGTCCTCCCACTTGTCAGGAGCTTGCCAATAAATATCAAGTACAATGATAGCGGCCACAAACTTTTGTTTCCTTTTTTAACTTAATATCTAAGATAATTCATTCAACTTAAAGCAAAATGTTAAGCTGTAAACCTAGGTCTAGCAGGTCTTTTAAACTAGCAAACACTTGATCAAGAAATGGTGCAATAAATAACATTACTTAATAAAACTACACTTATTCCAAGTGCTCTTCTCCACATGCTCACAAACAAAGAGGTGACAGAAGGCCTTTCTGTCATAACTGGTTCTTCAGCATGCTTCCATATTTACATCACCGTCTTGGTCCTTGAGGAAATGTTCCACAGAAGTGAACATAAAGGATGAGTGTGCATGATGTTTATAGGGCCGATGATCTCACTGCTTCATCATCACTGTGCTTATGTGACTGAGGTCTGCTGCTCTGCACTGGTCTTATCACTGGAATGAATTAAAGTGGGAGAAACCAGTTCACAGAGTGCACTGGATGGGGGTCTGCCAATGAGTTTTGAATGAGCTCCTATAAACTTCAGACTGTTTTGTTCAAATATAAAAAAGATGGTGTACAGAAATTACTCAGTAACAAACCATTCAGTCCACACCAACACATAACAGGAAACTTGGCAGTTAGCTTGAACTGTGGTTGTTTATCCTGAGGTGACACAACACTTTGAGAGATATAGGAAAGCTGTTATTTTCACATAATAAAAGTACCTTACAGGCATATTTAAGGGCCAGTAAATATATACTCCAACAGACTAAGGAGATTTCGTGTGAAAATAAAAGCTGAATACGTGAGAAGTGGTCACTTAAGCCTCATTTTCGTCAACCTAGCTTCATATTTCATTATTTGGTGATAAACTAGCTAGACACAGAGCTAGCTGTCAACAACAAAGCGACTACGGACGACCTTCTAAAAGGAAATACCAACTAAAACCTAGACAAAATAATCTGTCAAGATGACAAAACAAGTGTCCTTGTGTTTTAAACATCTTCCACACAACAGTTTGTAACTTAACAAGTGTGCCAACTAACGCTACACGACCGACTAGAGGCAGCTAACGCTAGGCCTACCTGGTTTCCGATTTACCTGTGCTCCAGGTGAAGTTTCCGCCCCACGTAACATAACACACACACACACACTAGGGAAGTTTAAGGAGCTACTAGTGAAAACAAAAAGCCACTCACCTCAGAGAGAACAATAAAACAAAGTGTGGTAATATCCTCCAATGTGGCTAGACCAAGAGTTTAGAACAAGTATTTTGGTGGAGTTTCGGGGGAGGAACTGAGAAGCCGTAGGAGCCGCTGGTTGAAATGTACTTCACTGGAGAGACGCTGGAAACTAAAACACATACCACAAAACAAAGTGTTATGTTTTCGCCGTTGAAACTTCACTCTCTCTGGCTTTTGTGGGGTTTATTTTCTCTCAGAAATTCCACTTCGAAAACAGCAGCAGTCTCCGTCCACTTGCCAATATATTCCGGTTTTCAGAGGCGTGTGCGGCTCTGCTGCAGTCCGCTGATGCGCGGCGGTAGTGAGCAATGGTCGCTCGGTCGACTTCGGCACCTGAAATACTGGATTAGAGATGTTTTCAGAGCTGAGATGTCAAACCCCGCCTCTTCAACACTGTATTTACTGCAGTCTGCCATGCTACTGTACACCGCTGCCACAGCCACAGCGCATACACACACACACACACACACACACACACACACATACACACACACACTGGCGCGGGCGGACACACACTCCAATATTTGCAGAGCGCCAACTCTGCTGGCAGGCTCGTTAATGTTGCTTTATGGTGCAGGGGTTTGCAGTTTGTAGCGCACTACAGTGCACAGTGTTAGTTTACAATTATCCTACTGCAAAACTGCATACTTACTTCAAAATTTGTTCAAAAGTACCCTGTTTTTCTAAAAGTGGGAGAATCACTCAAAATGCATCAAATTTTTGGTTTTAATTTTTGTTTTCTGCAGCTAGGGATGCAATGAATGTCAATAAGCAAACAAGGGCAACAGCATCTCTGCTATGGGGAATGATGAAGCATGCTTTCAGAGGTGTTAAACATTTACCTATATGCTTATACCCCAACAATGTGGTGGCAATTTTAAGACTATGATGATTATGAATGACTGAGAGCGGGGGAAAGTGATGTAAGGCTCTTGTTACCCAAACACCATCTGCCTGATCCTGTTATATAAAGAAAGCAAATGAAAAGGGGTGTAGGCTACAATTAAAGCTTTTCTCCCCTGTTTAGAAGCAGGAGAGTAGTGAGTGTAATAGCCCTATCGTGTTTCATGGTTCAAGCTGACCACGTTTTTATTTGGAATAATTATATTAATTAGAATAAGTAGTTTGGATTGCCTCCACAAGAGGGCATATTATAGAGGTTATATAATTATGTGGCCATAAGCTATATTTTTGATGATCTATCAGTTTATTTTAATTAATAACATTTTCATTTATGCCCTGACTTGATATAGCCAACATGACACATGCATGTTTTTGTTCCATTGCTATGGGGGAGGCATCTGTGTAGTATTTGTAATCAGCACTCTTTCTGATTTACAAAGGTCAGTCGACTTTCTTGGCCGATTTGAGTGACATCTTTGCAAATTCTATACGTTTTGAAAAACATTTCACCAATTAATTTGCTAAATACTGCATGTGGTAATTCAGTTTGGTAGAGATTCTATCAGTTGTAAAATGAAGTGCACCAATGATTGTAACCAGGCCATATATCCAACAAGCTTTGTGTTTAAGAAAAAACCCTCTTCTTTAAAAATAATCAGCACAATCACTCACTAAGGCTGAGGAAACTGTATGCAGTGATCAAGTGTGTGGTGAGGGGTCACAATGTATCAGCGTGGTCCAGCCTTTCCCTAGGAAGTACTTGAAAGGGCCCAATGAAGAGACAATGCCATTTCCCTCCACACACATTTCCTCAAGGGACATATAATGCTTCCTCTTAAAATATAAAAAAAAGTCTGAGTGCTGTAATGTGTAATAGGTAATAATTTTGAGTGATATCAGCTTTCAGGATCTTGATGTACTTATATCTTGATAAGTATTTAACTCACCTTGTAACTCTATAAAGAGCAAACTTACACTTTGGGAGGTAAAATAACACAACAAACCTGTTGACATTCTGTAGGGGTTAATGCAATTTTTTCAAATTACTCATTCTTTTTTCTGTAATTTTTTTAGACAGGATAAAAAAATTCTGTATTTTGTTATCAGAATGGTGCTCACATAGAGAAGTTACACATTGTGATGGTGGACATTCCCACACTGGCTGTAGGCCTCCTTGCTTTGAAGAGCACCCAGCGAATATATTATAACTCGTTATAAATTATAGATAAGACAGTTCAAACAGATCAAGTCTTCAACAAGTTCCACAAATGTTAAGTTTTCTTTTCTGACCTTGGTGGACAGTTTGCACTCCAGCCGCTGGATCTGACAATTTGTGCCCTGTCAGCATTGCTGCCCGACTCTGAGCCAAAAGTCTAAAAATGACTGTATCGTTGCACTGACACATCTCTGCCTGGCTGGCATGCACTTTGAATGGCTGCTGCAGAACAGCGGCTCATTGGTTTTGGACATGGTGTATTCATTTTTAACCCTTGATATGTGTATTTGTCCTAAGTGTTCTCTACTTTGCAAATGTATGAAATATTTCAATTAGATTCTCTTTGATATCCTGCTGAACGTGAGGTTAAATTATTCTTGCTCTTAAATCTAGCAGCCTAGCAAACACAACTGTTACGCAAGTTTGATTCTGTTGTGAAGGACATTTTAATTTCAGATTAATTAGCGAGACTTTGCCAGCTCTGCATGGAGACAGTGCACATAGTAAATGTCCCACTGAGAGCTGGTGCCATTGCCCCGACTTCTCACCTTCAGAAAGCCCCAATGAACAGCAAGGGATTTGCTGAACACAGTGGATAAACACAGCCTCAAATGACAAACCTGTGTCCTCTCTTTGCCTTTTTGCAGTTTCACCAACAACAATAACACTAGTACATATCAGTTTTGAGGAATCAAGTTTACTTCTAATGTGGCACATCAGATATGATTTATTTTGCCTTTTCTCTCACTACACAGCCACAAAGTTGCCATTGACTTTTTTGGTCTGATAGATAGATTCAGTGATGATTTTGATTGGGTCACTGGGCAACTAAATTCCATTTCAACCCAAATGTGCTGTGCCATTTGAAGTGGGATATTTTTAGTAATGGGCTCTGGCTTTTCAATCCATATTTACTGTACTCTATAGCACTGAGACACAAAGGAAAAGTGGGGCAACAATTCCAAAACCATACAACTAAAGTCTGTGCTTCCAGTTTGGTCCCTTTTAAACCAAAACAAATGGAAAATGAAACAGCAAAAGGTTGAAATAAAAAAAAAAATGTATCTGATTAATCACAAATAATCTTTCCTTATACATTTTCTGATTCAACAGTGAGAATAAAGTTTAAGTAGATATATCTTTTAAGAAATAAAGCTACAACTTCTACTACAGGTTTCATCTGCCATACTAATAGTAACTGCAAAACTGAAGTGTATAATTAAAATATAGACCTGGGTACAGCCTGGGTAATAATAAATGCCCTAGTTTGTGTGCATATTAGTGTGCGCATACGCAAACTTGGATGTGCGTGGTATCATGGGAAATGCAAATAATTCAAATGGAACAGCTTGTTCTAATGAAGTAATGGAGGCACATGAGGACACAAGTTGTTCTGCACATGTATGTAAACACAAACAAATATGGGATATTTGTTAAGAATACATGTTGTGCGTGAGTTCAAGCTGTGAGACTGTCAATCAGACTTACTCCCCTTTAAATGAAAACGCCCTTTTGTCACTTTCTACGAAGTGGAATGACTGAACAAAGCGAAGCTTGTAATGTTTTCTGTGAAAACCATTTGTTGTGTTGATATTGAATTACTACTAATGAGGAAACACACAGAAGTGAATGCCCTGTTGTTACGTAAGAGATTAGACATGCTCAAATACCACAATGGGGGCCACGGGAGGCGACGCCTCTGAAGCAACTCGTGCTATGTTTAACTGGGGATTAAAATCCGGTAATGATGAGTTTTTTTTTTAGAACGAAACCACTCCACAGGTTTCAGTACAACAATTAAGTCAATGGTTCTTGGTGAGGACTTGTTGTTCAAACATTTTTCAGCGTATCTTTTAGTTGGGATATCTGGAAATGCATGTCAGTCCAGGCAAATTTCAAGATAAAGGCCTGCAGAAAAAACAAAGAATCCCTGATATAACAAAGTTTCCTTTAGTGCATCTTGTCTACATTGTACATTATTCACTGAAATGGTATTTGTGTGCTATCATTGTGACTTAGCATTACTACAAACACAACATGATGTTCCAGCATGTGGCTGTATTTCATAATACACCATGGGAGCAGGTGAGAGATTTTGCCCAGACAAAAGGAAAGGCCCTTCTGTGCGCATTTATCTTACTTTTTATTCATTTGTATTCATTTAAATTTGCTTTCTAACCACCGAGTAGGGCTGTGCTCATTGTTTTACTGCAGAAAAGTGGATGACATAAGCATCATTTTTTGGCAACTGACCATGTTACATTAATTCTGGAGTGCAGCCAAAGGGGTGACTGTGATATATTTCACTGCTGTGTTTGCCGTATCCGCGGTAGCTGCAGCTCACAGGGAAAGCATGCTATCGCCTCAGTGCTGCTGTCGGTTAGGGAAAGTAATACCCTTCATTGACTAAGATAAGGCACACTAATTATTCTTTCTGCGGCAACATCATCAAAAATGAGCTATTTCCTCCCTTACTCCACATTAAGGATATTTAAAGCTTTTTTCTGCTCTTTCTTAGTTATATTAGATGAGAAAAGAGAATTTTACTGGTAACCTGAAGGTCTCAATGCTACAGTTTGTTTATTTAATGGTTGTGTTAGAAGTTGTGCGTTAATAATTCTTCACTGACTATTAACTGAAGAGAGGAGGTTAACATATATTGACCAGTCAGGAATATAGATGAGTCTCCTGAGGTAAAAGTCAAAGGCTGGATTGCTGTGAGAACAAAGCTCTAATTGGTCTCGAGGGGTTTTCCAAGTAAATAGGAACACAGTCTTGAATGTTCATTTGTCCAAACAGGCTAATTACTTGCCTTGCTGTGTGCATCCCTCCATAAAGTGGCTTCTACTGTAGTGAATTATTGTGCATTTAACCTCTCTGCACTTGATGAAAATGAGTGCACATTGCCCAGAAATCATTTTCCCTTCAAAAGTTCAGCGATTCATTCTGGCATTCACCTCGTGATCCCATCCAATTAAATGATGGCCACAAACTTAAACACACTCACATACACACACATGCACACGCACACAGCCAGACAGTATGTTCATCACTGAACATGCACGTATGCAGGCATCCACCCTGGCACACCCTGCTGACACTTGACGGATTCAAAATTTTCTCAGAGCGAAACATAGTTCAACCCATTGCGTCATTTCACCTCATTTCAGGAGTGGAATGTCCACCCTGTCACCTTTCACCTCACCTCACTGGCAACCCAACACCACCCTACTGACCCCTGGGATGTTTTATTTTCACTCATATTTTTAGATATCCCATTGGGCTTTGCACTTTCCTGTGAAAATGACCACCTGCTGCGCACATCCATCAGCCTGGGCAAGTATATCATGTCATCAGATGAGAAAGACTTGAACTAAAACATTTACACACTGTAGATTAGCTGTGCTTTGCAGTTACTTGTGGATTTTTATGTCAGCAGGTCCTCTAACACCATACTGCAAGGTTAATCCCAGATTTCCGACTGTGTCTGGTGGAAAATTTGAGTATAAACTCCACCTACAATCTGTGTCTGTGTATGCTAAAACCTCTGAGGGAGCCATATGTCTCCCTCAAGGTACAGTTCAGCGCCCTTGCAGTTTTTATTTCACAACACATTTGTTTTCTCACTCGACCCACGCATACTTAAAGAAATCCTTCTGGGATATTGGCTGGTCATGTGGCTCAACCTTTTAGCAGCTGTCCGTGTCAGCAGCATACTGCACACTCAGTGTTCGGTGCTGTGTGTGCAGATGAAGACCCGAGGGACTTTAGCTTTAAAACATGACAGTGAATGCAACAGCAGCAGAGTCCATTGTTAACTGCTGACAAAGACACTGAAGACCAGCTGCTCAGTTATAACCTCGGCTCGGTCACAGCGTATACAATAAAACGTGAATGGTGAAATTTAGTCGAACTTGATGTCCGTTTCATTCCATGCACCTGTTGAACACACGCGCACATACACACACACATACACACACACACACACACACACACACACAAAAAAAATGGCATGTTCCCATCTTATCAGGGTTCTTGTTACGTAATAAGTGGTCACTCCAGTCTTACATTCCTATCAGATGTTTGTTTGCAGTGTTCTCTTCAACAAAAGCACTTTCTAAGAGGACTGCACTATATGAGCTCCAACATGCTATCCCCTCCCTCTCCCTGGTGCTCTTATCCAGAGTGATTTAGAAGGAGTGAGGACCGGCGGACACTACAAGCATCGATTGCTGCAAATAACTTCAACCCTTCAGTTTAGGGACATTCTCTCTGAGCAACAGGCCATCCTATTGTCCAGACCGCACAGTCTAGTGTCCACCGCCTGCTGTGCCATCTCATGCCAAGGCAAACACGCCTGAGGGGAAACTAGTTGCAGTTAGAGACTAATAATCGAATCGTCTGGCTCCCCGACCCTCAGCCTACGCTACAGTCCCTGCCAATAATATTTCCGTTGCTGCATTTTGATAATGGCTACAATCAAAGTTCAAAGAGAGTTCATGACTGCCCTTGATAAACAGTGCTCAGTATTTACAATGGAACTTGGCAGAACTACTGGCCCTGTTGGATGCTGGGTGGTGTGCTGTATACACCGTTCCCCCGATGAGGCTGGCAAGAGGAATTCAATAGGACTCAAAAAAGGAGTGGCACCGGGGGCTGCACATTCCAAAGGGTCTCCAACAGAGGCGAGGAATGCTGATGCTGGACTTGCTTGCATGGCTGTAGGAAATCTGAGTCATTACCTAATTCATTTTTGGAGACAGAGAAGACATCAGTAATTTTTCCAAAATTGAACACATCCATTTTCCAGACAAAGATTGCACCTGTCTTCCAGACAATCAGGGATTTCATGAGAACGTCAGGCAAATGATCTTATTTCACTGAATTTTTGGCTCAAAAAAAATGATTGTCTGCAGGATCAGGTGCCATTTTTGGTGCTTAACAATCATTGCTCTCCATCTTCAAGTTCATGTAATCGTAAGTATGTATTTTACTATGAACTTTTTTTCACTAGATTTTCTCCTGATGAAGTCTGACTTCCTGAAGATGGCTAATTTTTGTGTTTTCAGCCACAGTGGCCATTACTGTCTATGCTAATCCTAATTCTTATTATTTCCAATTAAACCACTATTGTTGCATAAGACCTGGAAAAGATTTGCTGATTAAAAAGCATAAACGAAGAGGGTGTAGAATATGTCACTGCCCTGGTATCACAAACACAACAACAAAGGAGAAATGTATTTCTATGAAATTACTGAAACATATTCAGAGTATGCAGACGCTGGCTGACACCACACTGACACCAGAAACACAGTATTCATTAACAGGCTCGTAAACCACATCTATAACTTACTTAGCTGATGTCAAAGCTCAGTGATATGTTACAAATACCATGTAATCTAACATATGACACCTTGTCACAGTGATTGACAGCTTCACCAACAGTGAGATCTGACCTCCTAACTGAGTGTTAGTCCTCCTGACTGTCCATCATTTGCATCTTATGCATCTTATTTTGATCAGTCAGACTTCCGCTGTAAAATGTACAATCACAACAACCAAACACCAAACCTACGGTCACCTGTGTAAACTAACACTCTGGATGTCAAAGCTTAACGTGTGATCACAGGTGAAATAAGCTGATATGCTCTTTTATGGATATAACCTTGTGGACAGTCATTACACAGTACACAATACATACAAACATAGTACATATTCTTAATTTTACTCATTAAAAGCAATTTGCACTGAAAGAAACAAGCTAGCGTGTTAGCTTGATGGTACTAGCTGTTTTGCATTTAATGAAGCAATAATATGAGATAATACATTTTATCTTCACTATTAGAAATTACTGATATGCCAATGTGAAACATCCAATGTAGCTCTCTTGTAAAGCCTGCTGGCAACTTTCAATCAGCCAAGTCTGTTTGCTTAAGCCTGCTGTATCTGAGATAGGTTCCTGAGTGCTGTAGTAATAAACAGTAATAAGAGACAGATAAGAAGTGGGCACAGCTCAACCATCAATCCCCGCTCCTTCAGCTGGGCATAGCCAAAAGGTGAGAGACACATCAGTCAAGCTGCTCATGTCAGTGAAGCAGATTTGATTTGTCAGGCAGTGTAACCTTGAGGCGCGTTACAGTGGCTCACACGTATCTTTGGCCTCTCACACGATGCGATAAGTGATGGGTTTGCATACGACTATAGCACACAGGCGCAGCATCATTCACTCAAGTGAGCCTTACGTGTAGCTCAGACCATCTCACTGTGAAATTATCACCAGGGGGACTGTTGTAGAATACGTTACAGATTTGCATCCATTTCCAAAAAGAGAAATATCCCGAAAGTGTGTGTTAATTCTAACAGCAGTTTTAGCAGCAGAACATGAACCTCAAGCATGAAAAACAAAACACTGAAAAAACAATGTAGGACTTGTTGCTTTCCTCACCACTTTATTGAGCAAAACTTGTGTCTGCAAGATAAAATACTCTTATGCACATTAATATACAACAAATTCTATTTATTCCAGTAGTGTCTCTGCCTACTGTACATTAACTCCTGATTAATTCATTTTTGAGTACAGTGCAACAGCTAACATCCCTGGGAAACCAAGGGCTGCTGCACACATGGTAACTTCAACCAGGAACGCCCAACAGGACGCTTTCTCTCACCCTGACTCTGATCTGACCCAAACATTTCCCCGCCCACCATAACCTTGGGTGCATCAACTACAGCATCTCTGTGTGACTTCATTTTGGGTTCAAAGGTCTTCTGACTCAGGGATGAGCACAGGCTCAAGTGGAACAGTAGGGAGGATGACTGGACCGCCTGCCGACACCCAGCCCAGAGCGGATCTGTTGAAGGAGGGTCGATTTACTGCCGTCTCCCCCTGTAGCTCAGGGAAGTCGGGGAGGGGTTCCACCTGGAGTGGCTTGATGGGAGCAGGTCTGGGTGTCTTGTTGAAGCCACCAAACGGGGTTGCCACCCTGGAGGTGACAGAGTGACAGTGTTAACAGTAGCTGTGATGTGCTAATAAAAGGGACTGCAGTGACATTTAAAGTGATGCAACTAATTAAATCCAACCAAAGGATTTGACCAGGGGACATATTCTAAGAGATAGCTGCTTAGAGTGAGAGGCATACTTGCTCTGTTCATTGTGACTTAGATGAAGGACAGTACTTGTTTTGCTCATTCATTGCATGGATGGTAAATTAAAACTTCTAAAGACAAATTTTAAAGAATAAAAACAAACAATATTTCTGTTACAAATAAAACGATTCATTTAAAAGCAATAAAACACGGCCTTGCTCAATCAGGAGTTTTGCTGTTACAGCCTTATTTGGTGTAGTATGGCTAGTAGCTTCAGATGCCCAATGTAGGCAAACTTAAGATTTATGTAATTGTCATTACTGAGTCAGTGACTGTGACTGTAATTCTCCTCTACTTGAGCTGCTGTTAAACTGTTCCTGTATTTAAATTAGGTATTTTACAGCCAGTGGTATTCTATGACACCATCCTCCCATAAGAAACAACCCCATAAGTCGTTTGTGCAAGCAATCCGTTGCAACCCATTGTTGTGTTTTATTGACAACTTTTCTGTTTTAACGTCATCATTATGACGTAAATGTTGACTGCATGATGCAATGACTATAAATGAATAATGACGCCATCGCTATTTAGATTGGTTCCCTGTAAGCCTCGCTTTCACTATGTAAATCATTTCATCATCACTATTTCAGGAAACACTACCATGGGTTGTATCTGGACAAACGACCTATATGGTCTTTCAGGTTAGAAGACTTGTGGTTTTATTGATGACTGCCTCTTCAACTGTGTGGTTGTTACCTGTTGAAACTTTTGTACCCTGGTATTTCTGGTCGGGCCTCTGGCTCAGGCATGCGGGAGATGAGAGTGTCAGCTAATGCCGGGTCACTGATGATGGCCTGCTCCCAGGGTGAGTGGTAGGACTTTGGCACGGCCGTACAGTTGAACTTCTCTGTAGGGATGTCTTTCAAAGGACCTCCATACCCTGGGTGGGTTATACAACACAGTGATTGAACATAGGGCTTCTGCATGTCAAATAAAGTGCAGGCATCAATGTTTCCATTCAAATTTGACATTTTTTTTAATCTACCAATCCTGTTGTCATGTTTGGTAATTTCTCCACACATGGCAAGTAATGAAGTGAAACTTAAGAGCCGAATTCAAAACTACTTCTTAAACCACGACAAGCAAACATGCTGTCCCCAGAAAGCCAATTGACCACTTTGATTTCATCTCGTATCTAAAGATCACAGACGTGTCAACTGGTCATGAGTAAACTTGCGTGGAAGTGCATGCAGTTTGCTGATGTCTCTTCATATGATTTTTGGGTACTGAAGTTAAAAACGTTCACATCTTGCTGTCATGGAGCTATCAAAAGGCAAAGTTGCTTTTTTATCTTAAGTGTTAAATCTAAGCAATCTGTTTTTTTTTCAAACACTGACTGCAGTTTTCTTTATTTTCAAAAATATAATGAACTAAGTTGAGATGTGTGAAATCAGACTGTGTGAGTGTGTGTTGTGCGTATGTGTCTGAGTTCTCAACATTGTAATACCCTCCACAGTTTTTTTTTTAATTACTCCCTGCTGAATTCTTTATTTTCAAAAATATAATGAACTAAGTTGAGATGTGTGAAATCAGACTGTGTGAGTGTGTGTTGTGCGTATGTGTCTGAGTTCTCAACATTGTAATACCCTCCACAGTTTTTTTTTTCTTTAGCCCTCGTTAAAGTTCACAGCAAAACAAATCAAGGGGCAGCTTCCCTGTGTCTCAGTGTGTGTATATGTGCACGCCTGCATGTATGTCTCCCTGCATAGTCTATGTGTGTTGATGGGAGAGGCCTATCCAAAGCACTATCCTTCAAACCCAGTGCTTCACTCAGGGGGGCTTGCAAGCTGAGGCATTACATAACACGAGGCATCGTGTCACGTCCTAAGCTCTCACAATGAACAATCCCCCTTCCTGAGTTTATGTTTTGCCCTGAGGAGGAAGCAGGAGAGACCAAACAGACCTGTGGGGAAGTTTACATATTTTTGGGGGAATCTATTACAAAACATCATGTAAAGGACTTTCTGAGGCCCTGGAATATTGTTGTTATTGTCGGACATTTTGCGGATTTAATATTTTTGTGGACTCACACACCCAGCTCTAATGTAGTATGTGTCGAGTTGAAAGAGGGATCCCAAAAATCCCTGAAAGGACAGAGAGAAAGACAGCGGGAAGGCTATTTGTACATAAATGATTGTCTAATTTTCTAAAACAATGAAATGTGGCGACATTTAGAAACATGGTCCTATAGCTAAAGACAAATATTGCTATACACTTTGTTTTGAAAATGGCACAAAACTATTTAAATGCCCTATAACATCAATGCTATTATGCATTCTATTGTAAATTATCATATTAATATAAACTCTTTACATCTTCAGAATATTTCCTGCCACTAATCGACTCATTTAAGCTCTATTAAAATGTAGGTTTTCACTGTATTAGCAATAGATTTTGCTACGTGTACAGGGACATGGAACACGCACCCCTGGTTGGAGGAGTGTGCTATTTTAAGAGTCCTTACCATTTGATATCTAATGCACTTTGGCCTGATTTCTGCTACAGCTGGAGTGACTTCATTCAGACACTGAAGGGTGGCGTCTGGTCCTGAGCTCCAGAAATAACACCCCACCCCTGTGTAGATGTACTCATCCCTAAATCAGTGCTGCTTTTGTGTCAACTGGGCACAAATTGAGACACGAGGGAGGATGTGAGTGCAAAGCTGATGGTATCAGTGGCACGGGAGGCAAACAGGAAACACTTCCTGTTGGTAAAACTCAACAATTTAAAAAACAAAAAAAACAAAAAGGATGGTCAAAGCTGATTGTAACAGGAGCGAGAGAAATAGGGGAATGTGGAGGAGTAGACATGAAGCAAAGGAGTAGGATGAAGATAGAATGAGAGAAAGAAAGGAGACAGGCAGAGAGAGGGTGAATAAAAACGTGGAATCATATTCTGCCTGAGGCCAGCAGATTCCAGGCAAGAGGAGAATGTTTTCCTCCATGATCAAAGTGAACGGTGTGAGTACAAACAATGAAAAACAGTTGAATCCTTATCAAAACATGTGCGGTTGTGTGGAGAGCACATCCACACAGTAGCAATACCATTTATCCTGCAGCTGTAGTGCATCGTTCTGTTCAAACATGCACTAAGTAAGGTCAAACTGGTTTGTCAACTCAGCTTTAACTGCAGTTTATCACTGCTGCAGTGGTCATGGTCGTGGGTCTTTGAAATGTCACCAGTGTTACCTACCTGGGGCGATACTTTCTGGATTTGGCACCATTCCTGTATCCTGTGTGTCTGACTGCACGTTAGGTGGTTGGTCGACACCCAAGTTGTTCTGGCCACTGTGGCTGTCCACGGCATTCTCATTCTCCGTTTGAGAAATCACTGCGTTCTAAAAGAAGGATGGAAGAGACGAGTTCGACACAATAACGTATCTGTTAAGATTGAAAATTCATTCTTGACAAATCAGTCTCACCACCAGGACCACTTAGTAGCTTTCCTGGAGCTTTTGACCATCTCCACAGCAGATGGAGATATTCACAATTCCATTTTTCTGAGGGCTTTATAAGCTGCATTAACTGATTTCTTTGGCCACCTGGGGGCAGAGGAAACAAGCTGGGAAACATAACACTGACATACAGTATTATCACTTATTAACTTGATGTGTATATAAACATAGAGCAGATAGGTCCTTAAGGTGCTCAGAAAAATCTACAATTGCATGACAACTAAGCAAACTCCATTTTCTGAGGAAGATTGTGTAATGATTGAAAGCTCTGGGACAGCTATTACGTGGACCTTTTGACAGATGACAAAAATAATTAACAACATCTATCTCTTTCATACATATTTATACTTATGGAAAAAAAATGTGATTTGCATTCACAGTAAATCAGTAGTATAGCAGATTCATACTGAAGCCAAGTGTTCCACTTTTTAATACTGCTTCTTTTTTTTTCCCTCAAGTGGACTCAAAGCAGTTAGCAAACCGTGAATTTTCATGTTTTCCAACAACCACAAGCAGAGAAATTGTCCGCTTGTCCATTTTCTCTCAACATTAGAAACATTGTTTCGTGGGCCAGGGCGACATGTACCACAGCCCAAGCATCCAGCTTTCATCCCTCTGAAAGATATTTATGATGATTTACTCCAGGACTTCCTCAGGAAATGTTGACAACTTGAAACAAAATCCCTCCGTTGCCCTGAGCAATAAACAAACCAGAGATATGCGAGTCCTACTCACTTCAAAGATGAGGGGGGAAAAACTTCCTGGAGCATAATACTTATTTTATCTATGGACTTAAAGAGAGCAATGGAAAGTACAGAAGGCCACCGCAAAACTAAATATAAGAGAATATAACTAGTGCTGCGAATTAATTAGATATAACAAAGAGAAATTCAGTTAACTTATCTTGATATAGTTTCACTGACAGCCTCAGTACATAAATTGCTTTATGTGTGACCAGGTCAGGCTAAGTTAAGTAGTGCTGGGAAAAGAAAAAGCTGACTTGGCACACTGCCCATCCATACACAAAGGAACATTAATAAACCTATTTATGACCGGCCGGAGGACTTTCACTGCTACTATTCTGTGCCACTCCGTGTACGTAGCACGAGTCAAATAAACACTTCAAGTGCTTAATCTTCCTCACATACACTTTGTCAGGATGTCAGGTATTGTGTGAATGTTTTTCATGTGATGGAGAGAAAAGATGTGGGGAAAATGGATGAATGTGCTCGAGGAAAACACGCTATCGCAGTGTGAAATACTTACAATAACTCCTTTATCAAAGTGTGTTTTAATAGTGGTATAGTAGATTCATATAGTGTATCCTTACGAATCTACTACAGATGTAAGTGTGTTTAAAAAAATACTTTGACAACTTGTGGACAATTATTCACTTTCTTGCTGAGGGTTAAACAAGAAGAGTGGAGATGAAATGTGGAGACAGAACCAGGAGAGGGTTAGTTTAGCTTGGCATAAAGACAGGAAGTGGAGAAACAGCTAGCCTCACTCTGTCCAAATGCAAATTGCCCCCCCCCCCCCCGTTTCCAGTCTTTATGCTAAACTAAACTAACCATGTCTTCCTGATTCTAGCTCTGTAGTTAACATATAGACCTGTGGATGGCATTGATCTTCTCATCTAACTTTTAGCATAGTATTATCAACTCAGTGTATTTAACAAAAAACGCTCCTGTAGTAACAATCTAGACAGAAATGACTTGATAAAGTTTTTCTGCGGTGCATGGGTGTTTTTGTTCCACGCACACGTGATCACTGCCTCACAGTTTCTTGCTTACATTGAGCTGCTTGTTGTTTTCATTCCTGACGCTCTCAAAAGTGTATTTTTCTGAGCGTCTCTGGCGCATTTTGAAGAGACGGGAGCCCCGGTTTGAGGCGAGAGACAGCTCCTCCAGCATGATGTCCTTAGGCACGCTCATTTTCTTCCCAAGATCCATCTCTATATCTGGACACAAGGAAACAAAAGACTGAGGAGCTTGTGTGTATTCACTACATACTTGTACACTCATCACACTTCCGACGAGACAAATTTCTTTGCCTTTTTCTTATACACCCACCTATCAAACATCATTGGGGAAAAAAAACCCTGCTGCAAAAAAAAGCCCTGTGTATGAATTGCTGACTCTGTATTCCTGCCAATATGATGAATAAGGAATCATCTTCCCTCTTAATCCACTCATGTCCGTTGCTTGTTTTGTGGTGTGCGCTGCGTGCTAGCTACTGGATGCTGATCATGGATATGTCACAGGCCTGTATCCAAGTGTGAGACACATAATTTGCCAGAATATCTTTCAGCTGTCAGTAGCCTTCAGACCCTCCCTATCCCAGTGAGCCACACAGTTGTCCTCGCCCTGAAATAGCGTGTTCAAAGGACAACGACAAAGGGATTAGTTACTTTGGCCCATAAAAGTATTCATTTGCTTATTTATAGTCAGGGTCATAGAAGGGAGGGTTGGCAACTGCTGCACTGGCAAATGGCGGGCTCGTACCTTCTACACAGTGAGTGTGGCAGGGTGAAGTAGTATTTACAGTTAAGTTAAAATGTGTGGGATTTCAATGTGTACTGTAAGTTATGGTGTTAACTCCATCTCAGTGTTGATATATGAGATCAAAAGAGAAGGTAGAGGGGTGAAAGGAGCAGGATGTGATGAGGAGGAGATAACGTGAGATGAAAAGAGAAGCAAAGAAAGTGTGCAACAAGAGAAAGAGAGAGAGAAACTGAGAGGTCAAAGGGATGAGGAAACAAGGAAGTGGAGAGGAAATGATACGGCTATACCTTCCTGGGCTTGAACCTCCTTGCAGATTGCTGCCGCCTGCATTTTCCTCTCCTGGGTCGTCATGGTAGAGAACTGTGACATGGCTGCCCCTGGGGGGACGGGGGTGAGGCAGAAAGTCTCAGGAGGCAGCGCACATCAGTACAACCTGTTCAAACGTACAACGAGACACAAAAGCAAGGCAACACCATCGATTGGGCAACATCAAGCATCCACACCACGCACAAAGACCCACCGAAGCAGATACAATTTATTGGGGCAGTGAAAAGGGCAAAGTTAGCACATCCCTTTAAATAACCTTGGGCTGTTAAACGCCAAGCACATGCTCTTCAGACATGGCAACCAGCTGTGTCAGGGGTCTGGGAATCAATATGTTTGAAATTACCCAAGTGGGCTGAAAGGACACAGATAGAGAACATGGTGCTGTCACAGCAAACACGTGAGACAGTGGATGAAATAGCCCAGCGGAAAGTTTACACCAAGGTGTCAAGTGAACACAACACAAATGTTTCCTTCCAGTCGAAAATATCCAACCCCCCACCCCACCCCCCCAAAGTTTCTTGATGGAACAAATTTCATCACATTTGGAAGTCATTTGTTTCAAAGGCAAGTTTGCAAAATTGACTTTTACCTTCACAAATCAATGTTAGAATAGAAGAGAAATACTCTGTTATTAAAATCAGGATATTCTCACATAAAAACTTCAAGCAATAAGACAAAAAGCAGGTGCATTCATCAAAAGCATATTCATGAAAAATTATTTTAAAATTCAGAAGTGAATTTTAACTGCAACACAAGGCAAGCTGTGTGACTGACAGGAAAATGTGGAGGGAACAACTGTAGGTGGTAGTGAGAATCATGCTTGATTCAAAGTGCAAGTGTCACATTAGAACTGGACAGCACACCTGTGGAGAAGCCCGAAGTGATGGCTTACCTGTCCTGAAGGACCCTCAGGGGGGGAGTCTCAATTTTTGCCTCAGAGTAGGAAGTCAGAAAGGTGAGAGGCGAGAGGGTCAGACTGGGTAGTGCGACCCTCGTGGGTGCTCGTGCTCCCGGCACTGGGGCTTGTCGTGGGGAGGGTGGGGAGAGGGGGCTGCAGCCTGACCCGACTGACTGAGTGACCGAATGAGTGGGTGGGTGGATGTCAGTTTGTCTGTTGTCATTGGTATTTAGTTCACAAGCAGAGGGGTGACTAAATTTAGAGCGCTGCCACTGCTGCTCCCTTGCCCACCATCTATCTCTCTCTGTAGTGTTATTACAGTAGCCTATAGGTTATGAGTAATTCCCAACCAGGGGCACTTATACTTAGGGGTAAGTTACTTCTATAAATAGATAGCTACAATTAACTACAGTTGAAACAGGTTAATGGATAAATGCTAAATGATATCAGCTCAAAGTGAAACAAGTAAAAATATCAGATGAATTATTTCAATAGTTCAAAGTAGTAGATAAAAAGCACAATGGTAGCACAAATGCAAATTTAATCAAACCGAAATAAACGTGAGTTTAAATGTCCAAATTTATCTAGTTTTAAATCAATTCAAATGAACCATTATGGAACATGAGGGGTGGTATTGTCGTGGGGCACTTGAGTTCAACTGACAGGGCTGTGGGGGTAAGTCTGACAAACCCGCTGGTCTATATGAATCCAGCTTGGCCCACTATGTTCTGTATTCACCATGACCGCCTGAGCTTTATCCGTGGCAAAACAGAGGTTGATATAACTTTGACTGTGGCGGTGACTCACAGTACAAAGGGCGATAATCTGTTGCAATCTTGCAATTTTGCAAACGCACATAGATTGAAAAGCAGTAAAGGGATGAAAACACTCTCAGAAAACACTGACAAAGCTTTAACATCCAAAAATATAGTTGTCTCAGCTGCATTTGTCCACTATCAGCGCTCTAGACTTGCAGTGCACAGCCAATAGTAAATATATTCACTGACATCCAGCATGGGAACATGGCCCCCCCTCAGGGCCTGCAGACCAATCAGATACAATTTGTTTTAAATGCTATCATGTGATATAGGAAAGACCAAAATGTAATAGGGTGCACTCACCTTATAATCCAGTCACTATGTTTTAATTGACCTTTAATTTAATTTACCTCCTATATATTTTTTAACTTGACAAAAGAGACAAATAAAAGGAGGCAGGAGGAGTGTCTGCACACTGTCTGTTGGATGTTAAAGGCAGCATGTTCACTGGTGTGTTGTAATGCCTGGCATATAGAAAACTATGCCAGGGGCCCCATACACAAGATGGAATATTTTAAAGCTATATATGTTGCATCGTTCATATTCCAATTCAGGCTCCACCATTTTAATGGCGTTTGAATCCTGCAAAGTGTTTTCCAAATCTAAAATTACTGGGGAAATAATTTCTGTTTATCATCTCCCTCTGTGTCCTTATCTCTCATTCTCTAATGGTTCAGCCACAGTAGGGACCCACTGTTATTACGTAACTGGTGGTCACCATGGGAACATTTACCCCCCACCCTACCCCCAACCGCTTCCAACCCCCTCCGCTGGATACAGAGGGAGTGACTATTGAAGACAACACATCATACAAGAAGCTTCATGGGATGGTACAGCAAGCAACAAATGGCCCAGAGCAAAGTATTTCATGCTTGGAATAAAGAGCAAAGAGCACAGACACACAGTGCAAGTTGTGAAATAGTGCTATTCTGCTGCATTTATTTTTGAAAAATGCTTCATGTGAAACTATATCTGAATTAGGTTTGAACAGATATTGATAACTGGTATTGTACTATAACCATAATAAGCGCTGTTTGAATGAAAGCAATACAGTGAAAGGATCACAAATACACTACAGCATGTCAGGATGCTCAGTGCGTCAGTTGAGAAACAACACAATGCTGTGTGATAAATCTTATTTATGTTTATGAGATTGCTTGGCGAGAATCACATTAGGACATTATGTACACACTGTGGAAACACCAACCTAGTGTTAATTTATAGAGATGATTGCAAGTCTATTGCAAAAGGCCAAACCAAACATAAGCCACAAACCCATTACATACTAAGCAGTTCTCATAAACTAAAACAAAATCTTCTAATTAGGATTCATCAATGTTCCTTTATTCTACTTTCACTCCCAACTAAAATGCAACTGTCCTTCTACTTACCGCATCTCATTTTTGTTATATACAGTGGGCTGCAATGGAACAATTCACTTGTCTTTCCACGTGGCCAACTAATAAAGTGTTGGAAACAGAAACGGCCATTTTGGGCTTCTCATCTTCCCCCTCTCTCCCTTTCTCCGAGTAGTTAGTGGCCACATGCTAATGCACTAATTAAAATGCACCAGGTAAATAAGTGAATTAATCTCACTTATTAGAGCTTACATAAAAACATGTCCGCCCACAACATGCTGAGTTATAGCACTAACCTTTCCCCAAGTTTTAAGCCTCACTCCTAATGCGTCACTAATTGCATTCTGACTGTGAAATTATTTCTTGCTCTGAAAACACCACACATGAGCCCATCGTCAAGTTTCATGGACTGAAAATCAAACAAACATAGCAAAAAAAAAAAAGAAAAGGTGCATATTCACTGCAAGAACCAGCATGCTAAATACATACACCATGGCAGAAAATGAAACTACGATTGACAGCAAATCCACAAGCTCAAAACAATTAAAGAGACAATCTTTGCTTGCAATTTACTATATGATGGGTGGGTCACCGTTTTTCTTTCTCTCTTGGCATCCTCTCATATCTGCTTTCTGAGGACACCATAATTACTTACAGTATTTTGTATATTTTGAAAGGTTAACTGAACGGTCAGCTGTCACCATCATATCCAGATATACTGTTTCTATATCATCACTAAAAACCTTCCACTTTTTCAGCACAACATGTTCATTTACACTCAGTATATTCATTCCTAACAACATACTCAGGCCCACTTCAGTGTATTCACCAAGCTAGATAGCTGTCACTTAAATGTTACTGAAATCATTTTTGAAGTCTCCATACATTGTAAGAGTAATCATCTCTCTTCACATTTGCTTATCTCATGCAAATATTTCATTCTTATACTAAAGATTTAAAGAAATTAAAGTAGAAAACTTTTTTTTTTTTTTTTTTTAAATGTAGTAGCTGTAGCTATACTCGAATGTTTTATGCTGACCAAGGTTTAGTTGTATCCTACCGTCTCCAACTCCAAGTGTTGCTGGTGTACACAGACTTGTAAGTTTGCTTTCCCAAGGGCCTCTTATGCTCAGAGGGAGACACAGAGTACCCCAGGTTTGCATCCGTCACAAACCTCTGAGGCTGCCACTGTCTGGGCAGGGACCTGTAACCAGCATGACCAGCGGGAGGGGAGACAGCACTCTTTGTTGGTGACACAAATGATGGCAGGGGAGCTCGGCTCTGGCTGCGGCTTTGGCTCTGGCTCCAAGTCTGGCTGCCTGCTTTCTGCGGTGCTTGGTAAGACACCCTGGCCTTCCACTCTACTGGCGGCTCAGGCAGCATTTTGCGCTGGGCTGCCAAGCGGATGTTTGAGGCCAGGGTTTGGTGGAGATTCTGGAAAGCAAAGGCTTCATCCACCAGGCCCAGGGGATGCCGGGAGGCAGCCTCCCAGGGCGAAGGGGGTTTGTGGCCCTTCTCCAACCGGGACGTCTGCCTTGCTGGGGGAGTTGTGGAGGCCCGAGTCGGAGGCTTGGGGGAGGAAGAAGTCGAAGCTGACTTCTGGCCTGTGGATGGCACTCTGGCTGGTGGGGAAAGCGAGTAGCTCCTGCCAAGTGCCTGTAAAGAAAGATCCAGACATGTTTATTTTAGTAAGGGTGCATTTTAGTTTGGCTTACTGGCCCTCCAGCCAAATCAAATCAGCTTGGAAAATGATGGAAAGTATGATAGCTCTTTATCAACACATTCCTTTTAAGTGCTACAATTATTCTAATATCGTATTTCATGTTTGAAAATGTACTCTGATTTACTCTTTGTGTAAAAATATATAAACTGCTCAAGCTGTTAAAGGCTCTATGACACTATTATTATTAAACCTATTCTGGACATCTATTCTACAGTAAGCCTCCTCAACCCAGTGCTTTAGCATTTGTCCAAACAGAGTGGACTGTTTCTCAGAACAACTGGTTTATGAGAGTGCATGGGCTTACCAAATTAAGCCACATTCAGCTTGTCTTCATTGGATCTGATCCGCTAGACAGCAACACTTTCAAAGTCTAATAGTAAGATGGTGAAACTGCTGAATGCATAATAGTAAAATCTCCACCAGGATGCTTAGAAAGCCAAGGGTTATGTCGGGTGAAAAGGCACCTCTGTGCCGCTCATTGCCTCTGACAATACATCCTGTTTGATATGGTGGACACGCAGAAAAGGCAGTGCTGCCATCATCTGGTGAAAGATGTGTAAGATCAGCAGATGGCAAGTGATGACAAAAATGAAGGAACAGAAGAGAAGAGAGTGCAGTCATAAAAAGAAGAGAGAACTGTAGCTGAAGGGGGAATAAATTCTCTGCAGACTCAGGTATCTGGTTAGGCCTAAAATGCCTGTGGCAGTGTTATCCTGGATTAAGGCAGACACAAGAATGGATGAGTAGATTAGTAGACAATCTGAGGTCATGTTTCCATTCTACTAAAGGAGTTTGACCATATATTTGAGAATGGAAGGTACACTATGATCTGATCTATAATTTGAACATCTGCACTGGTTAAGGTAAGGTTTGCAGATACATTTTACATTGCGACTAAAACATTTATGTGTGGTCTCTGAATCTTGAGTAAAAGTCTTGGTTGTTGTCTCCATTTCATTTTACATTCATGGTTTTAGTTTATTCATAAATAACACAAATATTTCAATGTAATTTTGTCTTCATAGTTCATTAATAAACAAATATGGTTGAGATAAAGACGCATGGATGTGTGTCATAGACAACGCTAGCCATGTGAGTAGGACTCTTATTCCTCCTGATATAGCTGCAGAAATTTGCCAACTTAACACACGATTTGATATTAAAAGTCCCACTTAACAAACAACTGCCCTCTCTGAAAATGCATGACACAACATGGATATACGTTTCAGCAGGGGCCCACTCGCTTGAGCTCCAGAATTAACCAGTGAGGTCTTCAGTATTCAGTGAAATCACCAGTCTAATAATACCTACATACATACATGCATCATCAGGTAGTCATTTTGCAGGAATGTGCTTCTCAAGCATTCATCTCAATTGCTGAAGAAGTAGGTGATTCTGGTAATGAGGTGTCTCTGGCTGATCTTAACAAGCTCTTAATAAACTGTATTTTGTTTTATTGTTGAAAACAGATTCATTTTGAATTACAGCTGCAAAAATATAGAGAGTATAAGTGTTAGTCGTATGTAATGTTAGCAAATACGGAATAATTGTGTCACTTCTTATAGCACAGGTGGAAAAGTTGTGAAATTCAGCAAGATGAAATGAAAAGAGACTAGAAATAGAAGAAACCCAAAAAGCATGCTCAAAGGATAAAAGAAAAGAAATCCAAACAAGGATAAAAGACATTTTAATGGCACTGCAGTGAATCATACAGAAAGTGCACTATGAAGAGAAACACACAAAAGGAAAAGGAAAAAGAAAAGAACACAAGGAACAAAGCAGCCCTGTACCAAAAATATATTTGTGAACATTATTGGGCTGGTTAGCCTTTCAACAATTCTTCTTTTGTATAGTATTTATCAGCTATTCATATAAAACAAAAGCAGGAGACGATGCATGGAAGAGTGAGGCAAGGAGAGTGAGCAATACTACATTACACTACACTTTTCTGTTATCAGAAAAACATACTATGGGGGTCTGAGAGATAGTAGCTTTCACTTGAGGCTTAAGTTGAAATTTAAGCCTACTATCTCTGGAGCTCAGCGCTCCCTCTCATGAGGCAGTTTAAATATAGTATCAAACATGATGCAACAGCTGGTAAAAAGCTTAAAATAAAACTAACCCACTTAAGTAGGTGCTACAGAGAAGACACTGGAGAAAAGCACTGAAGAAAAATGTTTACTAATCAAGCATTGGAGATTTAGCCACGCCAGTGTTAGCTGTCACTTTTTGTAAAAAGTACTGCCGCATTTTCTCCAGCTGTTACTTGAAACTCCACAGAGTTGTTACATAATCTCTGTACTTTGTACTGACATCACTGACATTGCAAATTTAGCCCGCTGCTTGGTATCATTACACCCTACAGCCCCCACCCTTCTCCCTCACTACTTTATTTTCTTTCTACACTTCATCTATTTATTGTATTTTAGTTGTTTTTTTTGTTTTTGTTTATCAAATAATAGTCTGCATATTTTGCATTTTCTTCTTTTCAAAAATCAACTTCCTGTTGTCACTGTCAAGTACCATTCACTTCTGATTACTTTTTTCTCTTTCTTTTTTCTTCCATTTCACACTGAGAATCATGCTCCCCTACATTCTTATATTGCCACCACTTTAAATTCTTTTACATAAATGACATTGATTTATATTGATTTTCCATAGTGAATTTATAATATATATATAAATTTATAGAGAAACATCAATAGGCATTATTTTAATCAATTATTTTGGCTCCCATTGTGTCTGATAAGATATACTTACATCCTGTTTATTTTCATATGTTCTTAATTTGTTTGTGATGCCATTTGTATTAGCTCTTGAAACCATCAAGCTCTGTCCTATGACAATAGCAAGAGCAGGTGGAGGTGAAGATAGTCATTACAGAAGCTATTGTATGTGCTCAAAATATTCCACTTGCCAGTGGACTGCAAGAGCACCAACCCTGCGATTCGCACCAAAACCAAGCATGTCATGATTACTACTACTAGAATCACTCTTTATCAACTGCTGTAGGCTTCCAAACCTGAGCTGAGCTCTTTTTAGCTGTAAATTTAGGCTTAGGAGCAGCTACAACATTGCCACCTGATGCAGATTCCGGCCTTGCAGCCACAGGGAAACCAGGAGCAACATAGCTACTGGGAGGCTGTGGCTGGTAAGGTACAGAGGGAGCTGCCAGGTAGGGAGGGCTGCTGGCTGGTTGGTAAGGAACCTGTGGTGCTTGTTGGTAGGGAGGGTTTGCAGACTGAGTAGCTTGGGGGTGATAGGCAGGTGGGGCAGGTTGTTGATACTGTTGATTATATGCTTGTTGGTATGGACCAGCAGGAGGTTGCTGATAAGTACTGGGGGGAACATAAACATTAGCTGGGGTTTGCTGGTAGTGGCCATCGTGCATCATTGGTTGCATGGGCATCCCATAGGTCTGCTGGGGGTATGGAGCATTAAATGGTCCAGCTGGCTGCATGGGAGCCATTTGCTCATATCTAATCGGTTGGTTTTCAACTGGTGGGTTAGGAGGTGGACACTCAGGCTTGGGGGCAGCGGGCTTGGGAACCTCTGCTGCTGGGCCAAAGGTAAAGAGGGAAGAATTAAGTTGATAGGGTTGATGCTTCATCACATCTATAACATTGAGGGGTTTAGGGGCAGGCATTTGTTTCTCTTTGCCTTTTTTCTTGGCTTTGGATGAAGGACTACTTGGGGAGGGCTGCTTTGTTGCTGCTGGGGGATAAGAAGGGGACTGAATAGGATTATATGCCCGTGAAGGTGGAGCACGTACATTGGGAGTATATTTCCACTCAGTTGGTAAAGAAGCAGCTGGCGATGTTGACCGGCTTGCCTTGTTTGCTTGCACAGTCTCAGAGTCCACAACAAACTTCTCCATACGAGACTGCCTCTTGGCGAACATATCAGCTCCTTTCCCTTTGACAGCTGGCATTTCAAAAGATGAACCTACAGATGATGGGTTTAAGACAGTGGCCATTGGGTTGATGGGTGATGAAGCTCTTTGACCAATGTTAAAAGAGTGCATTCGCTGTGGTGGAGATGGTGGAATGCGGATTTGTGGGATATTTTGTGATGGATGCCAAGGTTTTGGAGAAGGACGATTGTTAACCATTGATGTGGAAACATTTACAGGTGTTTGCTGTGACTCTGGTGTCCAAACATTCACAGGTGTCTGAGGCTGTGTCTGAGCTGGAGCCCAGGCAGTACTCATTGGTGGCTGTGGTGGAGTCTTTGAAGTGGATGGTTGCCAGTTTGGTTGCGGTGTGGACTGGGGTGGAACTGGTTGAGCCCAAGGTGGTTGATGTTGGGCCTGATTTTGCTCTTGCGCCCAAGAATTCATGGCATGCTGACCATGTTCTGGAGGTTGCTGGGTCCATGATGGTGGGGACTGTGTCTGGGTAGGTACTGGTGCCCATGGATTCAAATTGGCTTGAGGTTGCGCTTCAGGTTGTGGTTGGGCTGCTTGCATCCAAGGTGGCTGAGCTTGGGCTTGAGCTTGTGATGGAGCCCATGCATTAATTGAAGGTTGCTGCTGCTGTTGAGGCTGACCTGATACCCAAGGTGGTTGAGGTTGACTTGATGCTTGGGCCTGTGGCCATGCTTGTTGTGGAGCCTGTTGCTGTGGTTGGTGAACCCATGGCGGCTGTGGCTGGGATTCTGGCTGAACCTGCTGAGCCCAGGGAGGTTGTGCTTGGGGTTTTTGTTGGGGTTGTTGCACCCATGGTGGTTGAGGCTGACTGTCTGTTTGTGATGGCTGTGCCCATGGAGCCTGGGGCTGCTGCTGCATTGGTTCTTGAGATTGACCCCAAGTTGGTTGCATTTGCTGCGGGTGTGGCTGCTCATGAGAGTGTGTCCAGGGTGGCTGAGCCTGTGGCTGAGGCTGTGGTTGCTCTAGAGGCTGGGCCCAGGGAGGCTGAGCATGTGTCTGGGTTTGTCCTTGCTCTTGAGGCTGACTCCAGGATGGCTGAATTTGAGGGGTCCAAGTATTTGTGGGGGGTTGAGGCTGTGCTTGGGTCTGAGTAGTTTGACGTGTCACCCAAGGTGGCTGTGGTGGGGACTGACTTGGAGGTGGTTCCGGGGGTTGCACTTGAGCTGGATGCCAGGAATTGGAAGATTGCTGTTGTGATTGTGATCGGGCTGGAGCCCACGTAGTCACGGGCACAGGAGCAGGCTCAGGCTGCAGGGTAGAATTCATAGGACCATTTTCTTCCTGAGCCGTCACTTGTTGAGGCTGTTGTTGAGATTCAGGCTCTTGGAGAGTCCATGTGTGCTGCTCCTCTGTGGTAGTGCTGGCAGGAGCCTCCTGGGGGGCAGGAGGGGGAGAAGGCTCAGGAGCAGGTGCAGAGGTTGGCTCTAGTTCTGGAGCAGGGGTAGTTTCTGCGGTGGGGGCTACAGCAGGTGTGGACACACTATTTTCAGCATGCTGAGCCGTGTCCTGGTTGGTCATTTCTATCTGTGGGGACCAAGGAGGAGAGCTGGGGTTGATCACAGGCTTTGGAGCCACTGGTGGAGGAGTCTTATGTTTAACTCTTGGAGACTGGAGGAAATTACAAGCCTCAGCCCCAAGGCTAAGGTAGTCTTCCTCAGGTCCTGACTCAAAACCCAACTTCTTATCACTCCTGTTGAGGAGGTTCAGTAATGCTGGGTTAGGTGATACTTTGGGTGCTTCCTTAAACGTAAACATGGGCTTGCCTACATTTCTTCTCCTTGCATCAGTCAAAAGGCCAGACTTAATTGCAGGGGTAGAGATGCGCTCGTCACGAGAAGCTATTTGCTCTCCTTGGCCTGCAGAATCTTGATTGGTCCCACTCATTGCAGGAGAATAATGGGTTGCCGCCATGTTTTCAACTGAGAAAGGCTTTGCTGTGCGATTGCTGAAAGAACTCTGCATTTCATTGGTTTCATGTTGGACTGTGCCATTTATGTTTGTAGAATATTGCTGTATTTGCTGTTGCTCTTGATTATATTCATGCTGCTGCTGATACATTTGCTGTTGTTGATAATGCTGCTGTTCATACTGCTGTTGCTGATACTGCTGTTGGTATTGCTGCTGCTGCTGCTGCTGCTGTTGGTAGGTTTGTTCTTGCTGTTGGTAGGTCTGCTGTTGCTGTTGTGTGTAGCTCTGTTGTTGCTGTTGATAACTCTGTTGTTGCTCGTAGTACTGCTGTTCTTGGTACTGCTGGTATTGCTGTTGGCTTTGCTGGTGTATATTTACATCCATGTAAGCCTGGCCCTCTGTTGTGGACTGCAGGTAGGAGTGCTTCTTTTCATTCTCCTGCACTGCCTCCACAGGAATCCCCTGGCGCCTAAGCTCCTCATGTTCAGCAGCAATCTCGTCCATCCTCTGACGCCGTTGGGCAAACATTAGGGCACCCTTGCCCTTAGTTTCAGGCAAACACTCCATCTCAGCTTGGTTGTTCAGGTTCCTCTCAATCTCAAGGAGACCCTTGTCCCAGTTGATAGTCAGCACACCTTTGCTACTATGGGCATTAGTGAGGAAATGCTTATCTATTTCAGAATCGCTAGGAGCCACAAGGGTAAATTCAACAGTGTGGGTTTCTTGTTTGTCGTCGTCGTTTTCCTCGTCCTCTTCGTCGCTGTACTCCGGTTCGTCTTCTCCTGTGCCGTAGCTCACAAGTGTGTATTTCTTGGCCCTCTGCCGATGTTTCTTGAACATCAACACCCCCTTGTTGTTGGGGTTGGGCGGAGCAGCCGTGAGGAGGAGAGCAATACGTTTACATTTGGACTTGGCCTCCTTCACCTGCTTCTCGGACAGACTCTCGCTACGCCTGAGTCCTGTGTAGAGAAGGAAAAGAGAGAATTCTGTGTTTACAAACAAGGGTCCTAGACAGGGAAATCACAACAAATGCTTTACTTGGAAGGATTTCATTCCGAAACTATAGGTATTAATAATTTACAGGGGAGTTAAGACCACCACAAAACACTGTTAAACATTTAATCTGTTTGGAGTAAGTTTTTGAAAAAAACCCCAGCTTGAAACAGCTTGCTTTTCCGCTTCAATCAATAACAACTTGTGCTTTTCAGATCTTTGATCACTGACTTAAGGACAACAAGGCAGCCCTTGCACACTGTATCTACATTGATCATGTAATTGGAGTTGACAAAATTATTTTAAATCATAAATGTGGAAAGCAAATTATTAAATATAATATGCCCATTCTGAATATCAGTTGAAGATTAAAATGATGTTTTATCATATAAATCCCATTTGGTTCAGCACTCATTTGAAGAGTAAAAGTAGATCTTGCACAGACAACATGGTGAAAAAATTTAATTTCAAAAACATTAAGCAAATAATTTCAGTGTGTAACATTATACTGATATCAACCTTCTAAAAAATAAGTCTTAAAAATATATCCAACATGTACAGTAAAAACAGAAGTTGAATTGTAAACAGACTAATAAGTGATTAATGCTGTATGTTCTGTAGTTGATCTGATCTGAACACAACAAATAAAAAACCATTAAATGATTCCTTCACATGAGAAATAATGCATTCCATATATTCTTAGTCCACTCATATTATATCCTATATACTTTTTCTCATTTGTGATTGTATTACTCCAAAAGCTCATTTGTTTGAACATAAATCATCAAACCGTAAAGCAGTTATGAAAATCTCTGACCCATGTCTAATATCCTCATTTGCACACAGACAATGCACTACATTAAATCAGTTGTTAGTTCCCATAAAGTAGCCTGGAATAGCAACTGAGGAAGATTAAAGATAGCCTGCATGTAATAAATTCACCAGGACCAGAGCGTCTTTACCAGTCCTTATCTGTATGTTCACCAACTGTCCACTTAAAACCTTCTGTTCTTCTGAAATCTATCCCATTTGTTGATACTTAAACCCATTCAATAACAGACATCATGCTACAAACACTCTCTCAAACCATCCAGCAATTCAACGCTGTAATAAAATAACAAGTAGCCTTACTCTTTTGTATTCCTGCAAGACTAACCTGAAGGTGGAGGAGGCAGCGGGAGTGAGCAATGGACTCACTTTTTTAGCTCAGTTAAAGCACTCAGTTTGAAAGGATCAGGTAACGGGCTAGGGGAGCACATGCTGGTGTCTGTCAAAGGGCCACTTCTGCAGGCATCATCAGCGTGCTGGTGTTATATTTATGTCTTCTACACAGCTCAGAGGAATGCCTCAGTATCCATATTCATCATCAAGCCTCTTCAAATGGGTAGGTAAAAGATGTTTTATAAAGTGTAGCATCTTCTTACATATGATCAATTCAACCTACTTTTATCTCTTTCCTTTTTGATTCTTTATATTTAGCTTTTGTTGTTTGTCACCATCCTATCTGCGCTCTGCGTCCCTACCACCACTTTGATACTGTTGTAATTCTGGTTAGACCCGGATGTATCTGCTTCCATTCAGAGGAATGAGCACCCTCCTCCAAATGCAGTGAGAGAGACATCCTATTTTGAGACGTACACACACTGGACTGTCAGGATTTGGAATGCACACATGTTGTTGACAAATGCAATTTAGTTACGTATTAGCTTGCAGATTCTTAAATAATAGATCCTTATTACCCACACACTCAAAAGCACAGGGAAAAAGAACCCTAAAACTGAAGATGTAAGTGGTCCATAGATACTTACTGGCGTGCTTTGCCCGATGCTTGTTAGGTTTGTCTTGATCCCCCTCTGAATCAGATTCCCGATCTTCTCCTGGTGTCGCCTCCTCTGAGGGAATTCCAAATGAGACTGTAAAAGACCCAGGAACTCCCTCGCAGTGCCCTCCTCCTTCTTCTCCTTCACTTTGGGATCCAACACTTCCACTGACCCTGGGGCCACCCACACTCAAGATGCCCCTCCCTGCTCCTGAAGCTGATGGCTGCTGCAAAATGACCTCCACCTGCCCCAGCATTGAAGGGGAGCTGAGCACCACCCCATGCTGGCTGAGCGGCTCTCTGACAGAGCATGGTACACAGTGAGATATGGTGGTGGTATGGACAGTCTCAACAGCCTCTCTGTTTAAGAGTTCCCCCTCAACCCCACGAGCACTCCCAAGAGATGTGCAGCCCACGTCGTCCAACGTTTGCTCAGACAGGGACACCTGGAGCTCGACCATGTCCCCAGGGGGGAAGCAGCGCTGTACTTCTTTTTCCTTAAAAACAGACTCCCGGGCTCTGTGATCATCAGATGAGGGAGCATGTAGCTGGGTGTAAAGCAGTTGGGGTCTCTTGGGAAACTGTCTGTCACTGTCCAACTCCGCATAGTAGGCCTCATTCTGGGACTCAGATATGTAGAGTTCCCTGGGGCTTCGGGACCTGTGCTTTGGGGAGAATATGTGGAGGGTGGTGCTCTCTAAAGCATCACCAGGGGAATACCTCTCACCACAGTATGCCTCTTCTGATTCATAGTCTTCAGGGGGAATGGAGCAGTGTCTGTCAGAGAAGAGGAGAACAGCAAAAGGTGATTCTTAGTTAGAGCTATTATCTAATATCGATCATTAAAATTAATAGGAGATAATGTCCTTTCTTATATCATGTATTCCTTAAAAGGAGTACTGGTGAAATAGTTTGGACTTATGCATTTAAAAGAATCTGATTTTATGTAAATAAAATACATTTCTTTCTATTTTTCCTTCACTATAAGAAATCAGTAATTATTGTTTGTAATTAAATTATCAGCACAATTTAAATAAGCAATACATCATCACTGAGGATTGGAGGCATAAAGATGTTGACAAAGTAAAGCCTGTCTTCCACTGCTGAAGTTGTCAGTGTAATAAAGTAGATTAATCTTCAAGCAGCAAGTTAAATGAAAGGGTCAGGTCTCTGAAGTGGAAAGTAATCACATTTCAACATCGCTCTACCTAATTTCTATTTTCAAGGTCAGGAGAGAATAGCATGGATGCCAGGATGTCATTATCTGTGACTGCTATGATTGAATTTAAGTCAATTACAGTAGATCTCAGTGACTAATCCTTTTGTCCAACTGTGAACACATCATAATACATTTTGACAGCTCAACAAGTTGAGGTCATCTGCTCTCCATGTCTGAGGAGACAGGATCCATGCTGTCATAGAAACAGTTTTAATAAAACTCCTGTACTGTGCTTACAGTCCTGTGATAGCCACAAAGAATACTACGTTAAATCAGAAAATGACAATACTGACACCAAGAAAATGATAACGGTGAATTGGAAAGATACAAAACCAAACAACCATAACTCCAAAGTGGGTGCAGAGACTGAAGCAGGTCTATATAATGGAACAAATGACTGCAAGTGACTGAAGTCTACAATTGAAAATGGACAGTTTTACACAAAGATCCACATATGTGTTTAACTAAGTGATATGGGTTGTTGTAACAATATTGTGTTGTTATAATGGAGTGTGCATTGTTATATTCCTCTCTATCTGACACTGTTATGCTGCAAATGCCTACCTTTTAGAAATGTGTGTCCCTCTACTTATTTATTTAAATTATTCTTTTATTTATTTATTTAATTTATTCTATTTTATTTTTAGGGTATGGGATCCTATATCAGGCCATGCATTGTTCTGTAAAATAATGAAACAATTAAATAAAAAAGTTCCAAAGAAAAAAAAAAATCAGAAAAGAACTAGATTCAAGAACTAGGTTCCACTTTAATATGCCTACTGAAACTGTTTATCCCTCTGCAGGTTAAACATGGGCACGTGCAGTAATATTTGAGGACATGTCACCCTGATAAACACACTGGCAGTGCCCACTGAGTAATGGCTGGGCAGCTGCATGTCAAGTCAGACACACAAATCTGTAACACTGGCAATGCCAGTTGGAAGGTCAGCACAACTCTGCAAAAGGTTGCAGGTCATAAAACAGGCTTTCTAAATGCTAATACAGTCATGCTATAATGATTTTGCATTGATGTTGTGAACACAAAGGATCTATAGCATGGCTCAGTTGTCATGATTCATAGATATTGTAGTCTTGTACAGATATTTTCCAATGTGATCTGCTTGTGTAATGTTTTCTGCAATTCATAGATTTTCCTTGGGTACCACTTTGCTCTCATGAATTTAATGGCTGGGATGTGGCTCTACCTTTTGAGGAGCAGCTGCAGGCAGTCGATCGATGTGTCGATGAGGGCAAAGGCTCGTAAAAGTGTGAGATCAGCACATGGCTCTCCGTTGAGTGACACCACTTCATCGCCTTCCTGCACTCCAGCCAGGAAGGCACGGCCACCTTCTTCTACCTGTGGATGACAGCGTCACAGTAAGAAGACAGAAAACTAATCACACGCTGGTTCAGTGGCTATTACCACCATTCATCCACAGCAGATGAGAAGCATCAATTAATAGTATCGATAGCAGGTGATGACCCCAAAATGCAAATGTGCTCCTTGAGATTAAGATGTTGAACAGTTGCACAGTGTAAAATTGTAATCTAACCTTCACATACAGCCCACCTATGTGTGCTGCTGTTTAGAGAAAGTGAAAATAAATGTTCTTTAAAACATTGTCAGTTTGTACTGAGGTCAGAAGACAGAAACCTCTGCCCCAGGTCAGCAAAATAAATCCATTTGGATCTGGGAAAGCAAAAGGACAATAGTATTTTAACAGTATTTTTAGATTATCCAAAGGAGTGAAGATGCATTATGTATTCTCATGAGAACAAAATGAGAAAAACATAAACAGTGATTCATGTTTAGCACTAAGCTCAGTGCAATGTGGACAGATAAAACAAGGCTTCCTAAGAATGCTAAATGGGCAACATGTGACCTGTATTAAACTCAAGCCAGACATGCATGATAATGTGCGTAGAGGCCATAATTCCCTGTGACAGTCTACATGACGTCCATCCTTAGTGAATCATATGAAAACATGTTTTTAGCTTGGATCATTATTTTAGAGATATTAACTCTAAAATATGAGAACGTGGGAGATGAGGTTGTAGCCTTTTATCCAAATTAATTCAAAAAATTTGGAAAATAACTCTAAAATCACACGATCAACAAGTCACTGTAGAGTCAAGCAACACCACTCCAATGTGCAATTAGTGTCACTGACAGGGAAGACAAAGGCTAGATGTACAATCATAAAAGTGGCAATTCTACCTTATATTTTAACCATGCAGCTGCATATCATAGCTGTAGGCCAGCTCTGTTCAGATCCATTTAAAGGGCATCTCTTTACACAGTTAAACTAATGACTGATGGTTTTGTTCTCCTGTAATTGGTTCCCGAGGCCTATAAAATGGTTCATTAATAAGAGGATTTAATAAGGAGAAATACCCCATAAATATTGCACAAAAGGCCACTTATACTGGCGAGGGGATAAATGATTACTTCAGCTCCATGCAATTAAAGGATATGCTCTCTGGAAATATGTCATGATATTTTGCAAGTGCTACAAACAAATAGCTTTAGGTGGGTTTGGAATGTCTGCAATGCTTTGCTGATGTCTTGAGATTGGTTGTCACTTCAAAATGAACAAATACTAGTGGGTGTTTTAACATGTGCTCCGTTACATCTCCAGTGTAATTCCTGTTGCATGTAATCCATCTCTCTCTCCCCCATGATTCTTGTCTGTCAACAGTGAAATAAAGACAAAATGCCATAAAAATGATAATCCACAACCACACCACTCACTTCATTCTCCATAATGAAGTCATGTATCTTAATCTAGGTCCCGGTTAATTCCTCTAAAGGATTAATTTGCACATTTACACGGTAATGTTTATGATACTTCAGAGTCAATACAGGTTAACCTTTGGTGACACTGAGCTGAGTAAATGATCGCGCCGCTCTGCATCGATCATACTAATGTCCCCTCGCTACCGTGGCAGCTCTCTCTGCAGGATGAACTACACCATCACAAAACCAAAACAGTCTCCCTGGGTTCTTATATTAAAGTTACCCAGAAGGGCCTCCTGGCAAGAAGCAGCCCCATAAATTGTGGAGCAGCTCACAGCTCAGGCACTTTAAAAATGAAAACAACCAAGGTTATCCCTCTCGCTATTTTCTAACAAGAAAGTGTAAGTGATATCTTTGTCCTATACTCGTTTACTATTTACTAGTTTTACCCAAACGGAAAAGCTATATTTTAAAGATCAAAAAACAAGTTGTTAGTGATCCAACCCAGGTTTGTTGTAGTAATGTCAGGATAAATAATGCTATAATTTTACAAAAAAATCTAGACTTTATAATAAACATACTTTACATTTTGGAAACACTGATTGCTGTCCTTTTGTAACAGCCACCTCCATGAACATGCATCCAACGCTAGAAATCTTGCAGTGAAACAACCTTGTCACTAGATGGCAATGTACACACACACATATATATACACACACACACACACACACACACACACACACACCCTTTACTGCTGAAGGAGGGGGACGAGAATCCACGCATGGGTACACTGCAGTTTATGTCCAAAAATATATGATTGCGTGAATGTATTCCAAATGCAGAGCATGGATTCAGAAATGTACTTACTTTTGGTGCATCTTTTGTTTCATCATTTGTAATTCAGGGAAAGATTTAGACCGCACCTCTTTGGATTCAACAAAAAGCCAGACTCTACCGTAAGCAAGAACCAGTGCAATAAAATGAGACAATATATACAAAAGTATTTTATGAGTTACTTTATAGAGCTGGTATGTTTCAGGTAAAACCCTATCTGAATCCATCACTGAGTTTCTAAGAGTTAACAGTGCACAAACAGGCCCTATAAGGCAGCCTGTGAGCCTGACTATGGGGACTTGCACCTCACTACAGGGATGACGGGTTGTCTGGAAAGCCACAGCAACCACTCATGCTCCAAAAAAGGAAGGGAAACATTTGTCGTCTTCTCTCCTCGCAATACAAAGATACACAGGGAGTCATTGCAATGTTCAAAAGGAGGTGAATACCACCTAGTATCTCAATCTTGTTGGTCATAAACTGCTTGTAAAGAGAGACACGGTTTGCATTAATTGGGCTGGAAAGAGCAACTAATAAATGCTACTGTAGGTGTCAGACGGGAGAGCATAAACAGTGTTGGACAGTTTTTTCAAATAAAGTGCTTTCTAAAAATACCTGAATTGCCGTGAATATCAGAATTTACATCATATGGGGCCACAATTAGACAACATTATATGGTTGTGTTATCCTGAGTTGCCCATTTTCAAATTATGTGTTTAATAGGTTTAAACACAACGGAAAATCACAGGAAATACGGGGCTGCATAATGTGATCACATAGCTCCCGGCAGTTCCTGTCTTTCACAGCTTTAAGCAATTATGTTTTAACAATATTTTCCAGCTGCTTTACAGGTAGCACTTACACCATGTGGGGAGGATAGTTACATTTAATCTCTTCATTCACCCATCTATTCTATTTCTGTCTTATAAGCAGAATATTTTCCATCGGAGGGCCAGAAATTAAACTTATTGAAAACATATTGCATTCTATTTTACTGAATTGTATTGTAATTATTGGAGTGTTTATTCAAGGGCTCCCGATCCCTTTAGCTTTACCCAAATGTTTCTTAATTTTGGTTTTCTAACGTAGATTTATTTTGGAAGGCAGCCTACATGGACAATATGTTGATAGTATTGATAATATGAGTTATTTTGATAAGAAATGACTGACAGTACAGATGTTTACTTTGACAATCTTAACAGAAGAAATAATCTTCATGTGAATACAGTTATGGATAAGTTGCTGTCCAAAGAAAACCATGTATCTCCAAGTTTGGCAATGTGGAATTTTTAAGATAAATTGAAGGATAAAGTGTTCCTTTAAAAGTTTGTGAGAAGTCTTCTACTTCTTAAGTTAAATAAACAGTTTTAAAACCCATTGGGTTAGTTGAAATATATGGTCACTAAGCTCATCTAGACTTATCTCATGAGAAGATGATATATGGGGACATGTGGTGACCTAGTTCCAGATCAGTGACAAATGCCATACATATACAGTATATACAAATCATGAGGTCACTATAACAAGCACCTGTGCCTTCAGGTAAGGGGGAGAAACATGACTCATACATGTTTAAATGTGTTAAAAAGATGGTTTACCTCATTGTTCTACAATTTGACACATATAAAAACACTATAACAACACTATTAATACAGATGTCTAGTATTTTCTTATCTGGTGTGTCCCCTTGGCCTCACTTTTGGGTATCAATGGCAAAGAGCATTCACAGCCAGGAACACTGTAACTCACTACTATATTATCAGAATATAGTCCTGTTGTAGCATTGGCCTTAATTTGTTTAGATGATGTGAAATGTAAAAGGGGAAAAACTGGCACAGTCATCATCTGAGATCATTGCTCTCTCCCCGGACCAGGATGTAGATGTTTTGCTGAAAAACACAAATGCCAAAACTCCAGTAATGGAAGGAACTGTGGAGCGCTTTGTTTACTCCAGGACAACGGCACTGAATGAACGAGGCAATGGCATTTTCCTGATTGCTTGGCAGCTTAATAAGGTTCCTATGGTGCACTATTAGGGCTGAAACATCAGCAACAAGAGCCCTCTTTGCTCTGTAAAGGGCAAAATAATCCAGGCAAAGAGGACTTCTAATTCAGGCTATGAATACAACTTAATCAAATTTAAATATCATTTGGATTAGTTCATTTTAGCTGTAATTAATTTTAATGTGCTGAATCCAGCTAGTCCCTAAAGTTAGATTTCAGAAGATTACATTTGCTTTGCCATTCAGTGTTCCATAACTGATCTGATGCATGTTGACACTCCACATACCAAGATGACATACCTTAGTGATTAGCAGGCCAAAACGTCTGCTGCTCAGGTTGGGATGATTACAGTAATTTCTATTTCTGAATACCTGTACAGTATTAATACATATTACATCACAAAGTTGTTGTTTTTTTTAAAAAAAAACTTTTGCTAAGACGTCCAAAAAGTGCACAAACATTGTTATCACAGATCAGATGTAAATTGCTCCATGTTTTTCTAAAGGTGCGTTGGTGTATTTGTGGGTCAGGACTTGCGAAATGTTGTATTGTGCAGTTTCTGTAGCTTTAAAAATAAAGTGACCTCATCAACTTTGTACTCAGGCCATGACTCCAACTAAGAAGAAAAATAAGGCTTCCCTTATATGGAAAGAACCTTTTAAGAGTGGATACCCCGTGCCCTTACACTGTACTGCCTGTCAGTGCACTGAACAATCACTTTCTCTCAAGAAACAAAACATTGTTTTCACTACATTCAACAAAAGCTTTTAAGAAAAAAAAAACACACATTTTATCAGACACAGGAGAACCTCTAGCTTAAGAGTTTGTCATGACCTTGGTATGTTTGCTTTGTTCGACTTTTAACTAACAGACGTTGCTCTCTGTCCTTCCCACAAGAAGAGTTTGGAGGTATGTTTAGAGTTATGCCTTCCAGATGAGGTTGACTAAAACCCCCAGATGTCCTAGACTGAGGCATATGCATCATATGTAGCTACTTCACTTTGATAGGCAAACACTTAAATCCTGTGTATTCACAAGGCTCTTATGTAAAAAATGAGAACAACATTTATGTCTAAAGTTAGATAGTAAAGTTTCAAGAGAAAGCTTAAACAAGCATTGAAGTAGGAGGCATTCTCCCATGTGGGGTAAAGGACAGAGGACTTTTACAGTTGTTTTGCTTACTGAACCTCACTGATGCTGCTACTTTTTGGCACAGCATTTTGTAAGGGTTAAGTGGACTGTATTTGTTTGGATGAAGACAGGCTTGTTAGATTTGCCGTGAATCTATGGGAATTAGTTGGTGGAAAGTATTTGATTGGAACTTGAAGTTGTATGTGACCTACATGTGTGATTTTATCTTTATGTCCCTTTGTTTGTATATTTCAATTTAACTTATGGAAACAATTTTAACAGAGTCCTAATATTTTTTCTTATTTTGTACTTTTATTCTGAAATAAGCCACTCACTAAATGCCAGAACTCAATGATAAAGATTTCTTTCAGCCTAGACGTTTCTGAGTGTCTTTTTACTCTAATCTAAAGAGACCCTCATGCTGGGAAGTGTAGAAATAATATATACAGTTATACAAAAATTACAATTAAAGTCACAAATGAACTTCAGAATTGCAGTTTCAAATGTTTGAAACAGGTTAAGTGTCTGTCATTAAGATGAGCTATTTATGCTTTCAGGGTGCTTTCTTCTGCTGGAGCTTTGATGTCACAGGAATGCTGCTTAACAAAAACATTTACATCTTCACTACATGGAGGACAAGCTGATGAGGGATCTGTGCAGCTTAAGTACTTGTGAACATGCGTTACTATACCATATATAGAATCTCTACCGCTCTTCAAAATAAAGAAACCTGGCTTTACCTTTCTCAGTGCACATACACATCACAATGAAACATCTTGAAACTCACTTTGAGAAAAGTAAGAGAAGGATCACACTTAAGATCAAATGCATGCCTTTAAAAATGATTGTGAACCTAACATGACTTATCTTTTGAAAACCTGAAATAAAACTTTACAATCGGAGCATAACAAAAGCTAGTTGTTTAGAGGTTTGCACAAATGCTCATTCCCTGCAGTCATAGATTATTGACTTCAGTGCCTTAGCTTCTGCAGCACTGCTGACGTTATGGACAGTATAGATGTCAAGTAGAATGTCAAAAGGACTTGCCAAATCTGGTCATGATGTGTGATATAAATTACAGTTACACATCTTTGCATGCGTCATGACAACATGGGCAAAAGTATTAAGAGTAAACATGAAAAGTATATGTAAAAAAAAAAAAAAAACAGAGGAACACCATGATCAATGTTATCAATGTACCATCCATGTTCCTCTTAAACCATGTACGTAAATGCATCATAACATAAATGGTTTCATCACCAGTGGGAAGATGAACTCCTCTACTGCACCTATGGTTTATTACCATACTATCAGGTTAAACAAATGCCATGTAGCTAAAGTGTTACAGAACTTAAATTTGCCTATGACCTCCCCCCTGTAACCACCTGCATCTTCTTTTAAAGTGGTTAGTTTCAACTAAACCTCCAAGAGTGTTATATTTGTGTGCATTGCTTTTCCTACATAACCCACATACCTTTTACTCTTCAGGTTAGTTACTCATCTGAAGAACGTTTTGCCTTCTTGCTATAATCTTTGTGAGTGATAACAGATCACACTGCCCTCGGCTTCACACTCTCTCTTGGCCTTGACCATATAAGGGTCCCGAGGAATCTCCACCAAAACACAGCCAACGCACACAAAAATGCAGTGACACGCAGTGCTCCGAATAAATTTTCTCCCACCAGGGACTGTTCAACTTAAGAAAAAAATAGATTTTTTTTTCAGTGTATGACTCAACAAAACTATCAAAACTGATATGGCTCTTGTAATGCAAACTGGAGAATTCATAAGATCTCCAATATCCAACAATAACACAAGTAAAACTTTCGTTTTGCAGGGAGAGCCCAAGATTCTCAGGTGATTCAACAATAACAAAAAATAACAACTTGATATTAGGAAATAGAGCACAGAACAGATAGATAGATAGATAGATAGATAGATAGATAGATAGATAGATAGATAGATAGATAGATAGATACCTGGGAAATTAGGAAAGGTCTGTAGGTGTCACCCTCTCCTTCTCTCAGGGTGAATCCCCAGGGTGCACCCCCACGCAGTGTTACGCAGATGTAATCCCCGGTGCCCATGCTGCGCACAGCTCCTCAGCCAAACCTCCACAGCGCGGTCATCGAGCTGACAGCCAGACCTCCAGCACTTAACAAAAAACCACCTCCACCGAACCGCTGTATAATCCCCATCATCTGAGCGCTCCCTGAGTCCAGCCCGCTTTGGAAACGTCACGGCGCACAGGCCCGCCTGCAGGCGTTGCACGCAACTGGTGGTTTGTCCTGGAGAGCTCTTAAACTTGTACGCTGCACTCCGCCAAACACCCCCGGGTATAGCATCCTAATAAACTTGGCCAATAAAAGCCACAGAAGCCTAGATAAATACTACAAATGACAAAAATAGCATCACAAATTTAATATAGACTTCCCCAGCAACATGAGAATATTACTGTGTATTCTTGCACAGGTAAAAGTGTGATACCGTGATAATTTAAACACTATTGCAGCAGGAAGGCATGGTACACTCATCTCATCCTATCTATAAATCTGTCTGATTTGGCTTTAGTGTTTGTTGTGTTTTTTCACCAAAGATATTACTTCAAAATTAGGGATATAGCCAATTTTTTTTAGAAACTGAGGGCTAAAGTCAAAGGTGTTGACGTGATTTTGACTTTTTTTTTTTTTCAAAACATTGACAGGAACATCTCTGTCAGTCTCTCTTTTCCACTGCCAAGGCATTCTGTGGAATTATTAAAATAAAGAGAGTGTTCTCTTTGTTTGATTTGTTACAACGCACACCACCCCTGTCAGCCATTGTTTTAGTTGTATTAGCATAGTGGTTTGGAATTAGCAGGGGAAAATGCATCATATTTAGCCTGAGGAACTTTTTATTCTAATATAAGTCATATAAATTTACCTGCAATAGTAAAAGTACTAAACAAAATATATCTAGCATCGGTCAAAAAATTGACTTTCTACCTCAAAATCATTTTTTTCTCTATAGAATCTGTATGCGCCTGTTTCCACCCTTGAAAACCAAGGGAGGAAATGGGTAAACACTGAAATAATCATATGACTCCTATGTTATCCCTGTTTGCTGGAATTGTTGGTAATACAACTATCCCATGTTACAACCATACCTAGTCTCCTCTTTCATAAAGATGTTAGAAAAATCACACAAATGTTATTAATGTGTTTTTGGGACTATATCTCAGTAGTATCAGCATCCCTATTTATATTATATAGCCTACATTATATAGGTTTTGTAGCCCTATAACTTCAACCATCCATTGCCTAATCAATGCATTTAAGGAAATCTGTAATCATTTTATTCTGATGTCCTTATCCATATTAAATCTAGTCTCTCTTGGATGTGTTTCTGTGTTAACAGAGAGTGAAGGCGGTTCAGTATCTAGGTAATGATGAAACGCATGTCCACATCCCCTATGCTGACGTGTATGCGGGTTCCCTCTGTTTCACGCATGCGTACTGGGTCAGACACGACTTAAAGTCTGGTAAAGTTAACTAAAACCACATCGACCAAAACCAGGAATTCAGACAACAACTCTTCAAAATATTAGCATACTGTAACGTTTTTGATCACATTCTTTGGCGTATGAAACGTTAAGAAATATTTTCTGAAGGTGTGAAAGGATACATTTTAGAAACGGGTATTATTTTTGCTTCGTTGAATATCGTCTATGAAAGTTTATTCGCCATTACGGATTTTATTTTGAAATATACAACCGGAAACTCCGTGTGTTTGTCTTCTATTCGACAATCGAGCTTTTCGTCGCGTAACCAACATAGCGACCGGTGCTTTGGTGGAGTTTGACGTGGCACTCTGCTTTCACTGAGGGAAATAGACAGAGGAGAGGACTCTACCCAATATTCAGGTAAATACCACCACGACAGTATTTACACATATAGACCATACAAACGTGTAACTCTTACCTCAGATAACCTTGTATTTCAAAGCATTTATGTTTGAAATGAATGCGATTCTGGTGCAAAGGAAAACTTTGTAGTAATTTCCGCGTAGCTAGCAAGATGTTCTCTATCAATGTTTGAGCTAATCAACACTGAACCCTGTGCTGTCATGTCACTGAGCGCTTTCGATAAGGTACTAAGCTACATAGGTCATAGGTTAAATATTGTACTACAAAGATGTGTACTACATTTAGCTGGATGTGACATGAAGAAATGCAGGGATGCTCAGACTTTTAGCCTTCATAATGGTCTTTGACGTGGCAATCCTCAGAAGTGGCAGATACGGTTAACTATTGAACTGAACTATTAACCACTGTATCTTATCTATCTTTATGCGTTTTTGTCGGGGTAAAACGTGTTAAATTGACTTATCATGTAGTAATAATGGGCTTTCATTGAGTTGTCAGTACGCAGCTGTTAATTTTGTTGACCCTGCTGTGCCGAAGTTCATCAACATGTCATAAAAGATTTGACTCATTGAAAAAAAGTCTACAGGCCCATAACTTTTATAAGTCGTTATGTATAGTCATTATTGTGTCCTAGATGACAACATAATCTATAGTCATAGTCATAATCTGACAGTCTGGGCTAAAACTTAGCCAAGTGCAAACTTACAGTTGGCTACACGTATTTTTTAAATGGCTGACAGCAAAACAGAAACAACTCATACTGAAGATAATACCAAAGACAGGCCTGCCTTATCTCTAAATAAGGAACGTCAAAGGTCCATGTAACAGGAGTGTTGATGATTGCATGAGGTCAAACATCAGTTGTTGTTGGTGTGGCCTGTAAACATACAGGATTTATTAAAGTCATACATGTATGAGTAACATCAATAGGAGTACCTGATGCAAACTACCTAAGAATGGTTTCTATATGGTTTGTGAAAATTTTACAGTATAATACCAGCAGTTAATAATAAGGTCCTTATTTAATTTTCTATTTATCAAAATTGAGCAGAAACACTAAAGTTCCTGATTCATGCTTCTTTTCAACTTCACAGGTTGTCAAAACTCATTTGTCTTGGCATGAGAAGAAAGTGACAGTCATTCCATCAAAATGAGTCAACAGGGTTATGTTGCAGCACCCCCATACTCCCAGGCCCAGCCAGGGATGGGGGGCTACCAAGGTGGATTTGGGAGTGGTCCTGCGCAGCCCCTCTATGGGCACTATGGGGGGCAACCTCAGACATTCACAGCTCCACCAACAGGTAAAGTACTTTTGCTCTTGTATTTGGATCGTTTCCTAAATAACATGGTTGTTTGGCTTTCATTGAACAAGCCTGATCTTGCCACCGGACGGTGTGCATTTCAGCTCATTCATTCTTGAATGACATCAATTGTAGCAAGTGATGCTCTTTCAGCAATAGGAGCTCACAATTCCCTAGCTCTCTGAGATGAAATTTGCTGTTTTTTGGTGGACATGAATGTTTTCAAATATCAGGTCTCAAATGCATGTTTTGCAGAATATATGTAATAGCTCATAACATGTCTTAGTTTGCAGCTGAAGGTGTTTTGTATTGTATTGTTCATTATGTTTTATGTGTAAGTGAGTGCATTTGTTCGTCTGGCCTTTAAATGATTCATCTGCCATACCACTGAGATAGCACGCATGTTAAGTACCTGTAGCAGGGGCAAGGGCACTGTAAATTTATTGACTTAATTTTAAATGCCACTGCACACTGGCACAAGCTCTATATGCAGTGCAAACACATTTTTCAAGTCCATAAAAGTCCCTGGACAGCACTGGAACCAGGTTTCTTTTTGGATCAACCATTTCAGGCAAATTACATCCTAAGATTTGTGTAGCATACATTTAAAACAGAGGCCTTAGTCTGCACATGTCCATATTGATTCAACTCAGTTGAGCAAATTCTGACCTTCTAAAGAACCCTGAGCTCACTTACATTCTTACAGAAAAAGGTTTGGATCTAGAATGGATTTCCCTCAGACACAGTGAAGACTGTACACTGTACACATGGTGTCATTTACTCACTGCAGGTATGATGAAATCACCAGTTTCCTCTGCCGCCGGTATGCCTCCACCTCCAGTGTCCAGTCAGTACAATCCAAATATCCAGCAAAATGGCGCTCATCCACAAAGGTAACAATTTTCACCAAATAGCAGCTGCTTGGAACAGCTACTCTTCTCTGAAATCAACACAAATACAGTAGTTTATGAATGTGTAAAGGAAGTATTGCAGATCATAGTTACTTTCATAAAGAAAACAGTAGATACATTTATTGATGATCTACTACGACAGGCCATTAAATTGTGTTTTATCTTTTTTACTGCAAGAAATTGTCTGAACTCATTTCAAAACAGCAAGGATTAGAGAGTCTATTAAAACTTTGCTATGTTAGCAAAATGTTAAAAGCATCTTCAAGCATAAAGTAGTTTGTCAATATGAGGCCACACTATACCTTCTGTATACTACTAACTGTTCTTATACTTCAAGAAAAGTTTAATTGAGGGCAACTGGACTTGGTTTTAGATACTTAAAGACATTTCATCTCTCATCTGGTTCGGAACTGAGTCAAGTATCTAAAATCGAGTCTAGTTGCCCTCTGTTCGGTTGTTCTTGGATAAGCATGACATAGATGAGTGAGAATGTTTACAGACATCCTGTTCTATACTCGTCAGGTACCCTGCTCCACCAGCTGTATCTGCTGCGTATGGACAACCTCCACAGTCCCCATACAACAGTATGGCCTCACCTGGCCCGCCTGCAGCACAACAGCTCACCACTCAGATGAGTGCTATGAACTTGGGCGGCTATGGTAAGTTTCTTTATTATAAATTTACACCTACTGCTGATCTTACAGCAGGGTGTGGCATACATAAAAATAAACATGCATTCACTGTTTGGTGAAATATTGCTGGCTTTTCATGTTATCTGTCAATGCCTACATAACTGGTACGTCAGGGTTTAAATGATAGTCTTTCCTGTGATTGGACAGAACAGAAGAACCAGACTATCATAAATCATTAATGTATTGTGGCAACTTTCTTCCTTGTGTAGCCCCAGGGCCCATGCAGAGCCCTCCTCTTCCAACAAGCTCTGTAGCCCAGCAGCCTTTCCAGGCGCCTCCTCCTCCAGCAATGGGCCAGCCACAGATGCCTCCGGGCCCACAGTCACCCCACATGCCCCAACAAATGTCCCCTCTGATGTCTCCACCACAGTCACCTCCAGCAAGCATGCCAATGGCAGGTCCACCACTGGCAGGCCCACAGATGGCAGGCCCACAGATGGCAGGCCCACAGATGGCAGGCCCACAGATGACAGGCCCACAGATGACAGGCCCACAGATGACAGGCCCACAGATGGGAGGCCCACCGATGGCAGGCATGGGTAGACCCTTCCCTGGGCCGCCTCCTCCAGGCCCTGGAGGTTTCCAGCAGCCTGGTCCTGGAGCTGTTGGTCCACCAGGATACCCACAGCAAGCCGGTAACTCTGACTCTGTAAACAAAAACACTGACTTATACCAGGAAACAGAAGTCTCCCTAAAGGGATATTGCCGCTTTTTTGACAGTCGCATTGTATTAGTTACTTACGTACTGGTAGAGCTGTTGATACATGGTCATTAGCGCAGTGTAATGGATTCTGTGTGTGAGGAATATCCTGCTTGACAGACAGAACAATATCAAACAGAGGCAGTTAACTAACCATTTTAAACTACACCACAGGGGTAAAAAAACTAAGTATTTACAATAGAAAATTTAATCTTCTCATGTAGTGTGTCTTTGATGCTTAATTCTTTTTTCAGGTTGCTCTGTGTCGTAACTGTTTTGTTTGATAAATATTTCTATAATACACAAAGGACAAGAAAGGAGAATACATTTTTGTACTTTTGAGAAACATCAAAACAATATGTTCTCATTGCTGGTTTTGAAGCAATCAGAACACGGTCCTACATTTTACACTGCAGCCAATAAATATCCTCTAATTACCAGTATGTCCTGTTTTAATGTACAGGTCAGTTTGGGGGACCCATGGCTGGGCCCCAGCCAGGCATGCCAGGGGCCTTCCCCGGAGCACCAGCTGCGATGGCTGGCCCTCCACAGAAGAAACTAGACCCTGACTCTATCCCAAGCACTGTGAGTTGACAACTAATCCTCCTGGGACTGCATACCTTCACATACCAACATACCATATATGTCATACTGCATTTTCTGAACCAGCAGCTAATTAATTCCTCAAAATGTGTCTGACAAAGACATGTACAGTACATCTTCCCCTTTGTTAACATTACGGAGTATTTTCAGTGACTTTATTAATTATATTTTGGGTAATGGAAAAAATATGAAGCAAAAGATCTATGGTTGGTGATTTTATTTTGTCTTTTCATTTAGGCATATGACCAAGAAATTATTCATTATTATATTTATTTGTTATGTAGTCATGCTGTCTGTATTAATGAAATTATATATATATATAAAAAAAAGAAGGTATTTACCCAACAATTCTAAATAATTGTCAGATTGTACTGTAATGCATAATTTGTCTGCTTTAGACCCAAGTCATTGAGGATGACCAAGTACAACGAGGAGGACAGGTCTTCAGCACAAACATCAGGGGACAGGTTCCACCTCTGGTCACCACGGACTTCACAGCACAGGACCAAGGTAAACCAAAATAACACTGTAATCCGCACTGCATATTTGTAGTAGATGTTAATCTGTAGGAACTGTAGGTGAAAATCCATTCATTTCCATAAAGAATTTCTACATGTCTATAAAGCCTGTGTATTTGTTGAAGTTGAGAACCTAAAGTTCAGTAGTTTTTATGTTGTTTGTAGTGTATACTTTGTAAGTTATAGTCTTTGGTCAAAAGGTAGTTATTTCCTTAGGGATTATTAATATAAACTATTTATTATCATGATAAATTAAACATGCAGAATTACAGTCCACACTGCTTTTTCAGAGAGGAGGAATACAAATGTGCTCTTTCATAACATCAAGGTCATTGACTCTTCTTTTTGCTTATTCCAGGCAATGCCAGTCCCAGGTTTATACGATGCACCACCTACTCCCTACCCTGCACTGCCGATTTGGCCAAACAGTGCCAAGTGCCCCTGGCTTCCATCATTAAACCCTTTGCCAGTTTGCCAAAGAATGAGGTAAGTCATGGTTTCACATGTGACTTAAAGGCAGTTTCCCCATCTAAAATCAAATGCTCAATTACATCAACAATACATAATCACCTGCTAAGATCAGCAAAAAAAAAGAGAGAAAGACTGTTCTGGCTTCTAGCAGCTTAGCGGTGAAAAAACTCCAACTTTTGCATGGAATAAAATGCTAATATATGCATTTATATATATGTTTAAAAGAAAAATCATACAATACCAACAATCATCCTGGGTGCCTGATTTCTATATATGGGAAACACTGCATGTAGAACCATGCAGCATTTCTGTCCCCAGGGTATGTTGTATTTTGGAAATTTTCTACACTGTCATCCCAATAATGACTTATGAAACTTACTAGAACACTTATGGTGGAGTGTTTTTTATGCAGTCTGAACTTTATGACATTGTTCCAATAGCATTTTGGAGAATTGCTGCATTGTACAGAGTAGTTGTTAAGGCAGCTCTTGGGAAGCTCGAGATACATAGTCTAGTTTTGTTTAAGATTTCCTACTGTGGCACTTAACCTGTAACTACAGATTTTCGCATTTGCTTTCTAGTTTAAAAATACTCATAAAAAAGACACGGCATTTTAGCACTCTACAGTATAAGAATAGGCAAACACAGAATTGTAGTTCTTCTGTGATATATTTCTAGTACTAAAAGTTAATTTGTCCTGTGAATGACCTCCTTTTGGATCATGTGTGGTCCAAGAATCCTGTCTTAGATATTTCCCCCCTCCACTCGCCTTGTCCCAGGCACCAATTGGCCTTTTTAGGCAATGTTAGCTTTCTCTCATCTGGCTTTAGGCTAATTAGCTAGATGTCAGATCTGCAGGGACCACTAAGGAAGAAAGGAGGTTTATATAAAGGCAATCAAACATAAATTTACTATACTCTCAGATTTGATTCCATTCAGTGCAGCATGGAGCATATTCTCACCAGAAATATATGAAAATAGTAAAACTAAATCAATGCTCTGAGTTTAGACATAACTCATGCTGTTGTGCTTGGATGTTGAATTTATTGTTTTATCATCCAACAGCTTTTGTTCGCTGCACTGGGTAAACAGCCCTAAGATACTGTAAACACTTGACCTCTCCACCTTTAAGTCCTCCGTCTAATAATAAACCTACTTGCAGCCTTGTTGAGTTCATTTGAAGCAAACATTTTCAATTCATATTATGTCAGGGAATAGAGGGAGCTTTTTAAATAATTAGTGTTACATAGTGTTAGGCTGGTGTACGGCACTCAGTGCTGTGGTATATATTAAACAGCTTCACTGATGCTACAGACAGAGCAGAGTTTACAAAGATATACAGTATATGCAAGAGTATGATCCAAGTATGGTAAATGTTGCATCGCTGAAAACATGGGAAACATCACAGTGAATGTAGACACTTGAAGCAGTCTATAAAAGAGAAATAACCCATGACCCATACATTGTATATTAGATGTGCTTTTCAGTAGACACTTAAGAATTTTGTTTGGTTAACAATTTCCTTTAAAGGAACTGTATTTTTTTAATAAAAGGGCCTGAATTAGTTTGGGAACAGTTGTTAAAAAAGTCTTCTGTGTCTGTCTGTGTAGACTCCTTTGTATGTTGTGAACCATGGTGAGACAGGCCCCATCCGCTGCAATCGATGCAAGGCCTACATGTGTCCTTACATGCAGTTTATTGATGGTGGTCGTCGCTACCAGTGTGGTTTCTGCAACTGTGTCAACGAAGGTACAGTACTATGCAAAGAAAAATGCTAAAAACATTTTAAGCAGCCAGAAAAAGAAACATCAACTTTTGAAATAAGAATAGGGAAGTTATTTAATTGAAATAACAAGAAAACAGGTAAACAACTCTGAATATGTTGTGCACAGTTATTCATTAAATTTAATGTCTTTGTCTTACCCCAGTGCCAGTCTTCTATTTCCAACATCTTGACCACATGGGCCGGAGGGTGGACTTCTATGAGAGGCCTGAGCTGTCCTTGGGATCCTATGAGTTTGCAGCTACCATGGATTACTGCAAGGTACAGGAGGACAACTCATGATCTGTCGACTGCTATTCAATACACATTATGCAGAGTGCATTAAGATGATCAATAGACATAAGCACTTAAATTCAGGGATTGTTTGCAAGCATAAAGCAGAGTTTGTGCTCTGATAATGCAAAAGAGTTGTCATTTAAATGGATGGTTCTCACATACTGTACATCTGTCTGAACAGATTTGCATCTACAGGACTGTATTACTGATTTTTCTGAAGGAACTTTTGGACACCACTTTACATTATTCAACACATGTTGATAATATCAAAGCCGATGGCAGGACAGAATGTGTTCAGCTCAGTTCCTAACCCTAACACTAAAAGAAAGGGGGGAAAAAAACAGTGATGCTAATGAACTGTGTGTCCCCATGGAGGCTGTGGCTGTTGCAAACAACATTAGAGGGTCAGAGTACGTTGGCAAAGCTGAGTCACTCCACTGGCCTACTTTTGCTCTGTTTATTAAGACTTATAAACACCCTCTGCAGGCCAGCCATTAAACAAAAGCCTTCAAGGTGAGTGTCTTGTCATGGGTTGTAACTGTGGAAACATAACAATGTCTTACAGACAACCCCCTTCTGCACACACTCTATTGCCATTACCTTCCATTCAGGAATTCATACCTGCCCAGTCTCCTCACAGCTTCTCCCAAGTTATGAGCAAGCCCAAATGGAAATATCTCTGGTATTCGAGAGCTAATAACAGAAACTTAAGGTTGAAGGCGTGAAGGTGGAGATTACAGAATGCAGGGCTGAAAAGAGGAATAATTTCTTTGCTCATGACTCGTTTATTCAAGAGCTTAAATTTGCACAGGAAGAATTTTTTCTCATTTCATTTTGAAATAATGTATTTTATGCTGCATGCCTCTCGGGCCATGACACCCTAGAAATATATTTAAAATAGCAGCTGATTCATTACACCTGTTGCCTTTTTCTTCCATAGAACAACAAACCTCCGAATCCTCCTGCCTACATCTTTATGATTGACGTGTCCTACAACAACATTAAAAGCGGCCTGGTCAAACTGATATGTGATGAGCTGAAGACTCTGCTGGAGAAGCTGCCCAGGTACACAGGATAACTCCGAAAACCACACACATTCACTCACACAGTAAAGGAGGGAATGTAACACGTTTTATCTGCTACAATAGGCGTTATATATTTGTGGAGCCCACTAATATATATCCAGGGTGGATTGCATAACTTCCACCATAACCACTTTTCCACACACACCATATCCTCAACAAATTGTACCATAATCTGTTTGAAGTGCAAACTAAATGCTGCTAATACTCTTTTCATCCTACATATACCTTGCCAAAAATGGACTTCCCTCAAGTCCGAAACATCAAGCCAACTATTTGTTCTCATCAGCTGAATATTCTTGCATGACGTTTTGCAGATGGTGGGTATCGGTTAAGGAGGGTGCCAAGCTTTCCAAAAACGGAAAATATTATAGTGCAGGCATCCAAAACAAAAACAAAACTATTTGTGGTAACCATTGTTCCGGTAGTGAGTTTTTCTTTGATTCATCATGAAGGAGAGGATGATTTACTCCACCTGGTAACTCCTAAAATAACTTCTTCTCTCTGCTAATTAGTGCCAGCAACAATATAGCCATATTTGTCTGCTGCCATTACATCATCCTTAAAACACGTAGGAGAAGTGTACTCAAGATAAGCCCCCTCTCCAGCTGTGTTTGAATCTTTGCTTTTGTTTTTCCAGGCACTAAATTAAAAGACACTGGACACCCTGCATTTTATACGGTTCATGTAATTCTGCAGTATTTTCCAAATTCACTGAAAATCAAGTTTGAGTCTGGTTTAAGTAAACGCAGATGTAGATCAAGTCTTGCAGTGACTTTTTTTTTTTTTTTTTATCATCACTGATATTTTTTAATCACTGTCTGGTATGAGAAAGAACAAAATTAAATCCACTCTGAATTTTTTATTTCCAATAATAGCACCTGTGACTAATGTTCATGTAAGAGCCGTGGGGTCACAGTTAACCAATGGCATATTTTCTAAGCCACAATACATGGTACTGAGTATGTCTGCGTGATTTAAAAAGAAAGACCTACAAAGTGCAGTTGGCAGTGTCAGTAAAGAATGCTTTTAAATTACTATGATGTTGAAGGCTTTTGATGTATGTTCAGCGTAGCTACCAGTCCCACACCGAAATCCAGAATGTTCTGGTAAATGTCAGGGAGCCTTTTTGTCTTTATTTCTTCAAGTAGCACTTATCTATTAAAGCCAAAAGACATTTTGCAAACAGTGTAAATCCAGAGGCATAGTATAGATAAGATATAGTAAGCTGCAATAGTGAGAGAAACAGAGGAAAAAATGAAAATAGCAGGCATGACTCAAAGGTAAATGGGCTTTCTTTAACAACTAAGAACTACTTGGATTTTGTAGCCCTTTCTCTCTCTCTCTCACACACACACACACACACGCACACACACACACACACACACACAAATAAATAGGGAAGTTATTATGGTTGTTAAAAAAAAAAAATGTAGCAGAGAGGCAGTGGGATCTCAGCAGTGAATGTGGTACAAACACAGCTTTGACACATTGGACAACATTGAGTCTACACACTGCACACACGCAGCCATTGTAAATAACATTTCAACTGACTTAGTAGAAACATCCTGTTCACAGATGCTTGTTGTCTCTCCCTTACCCAGAGAGGAAGGTGTGGAGAGCTCGGTGATTAAGGTCGGCTTTGTCACCTACAACAAGATCCTCCACTTCTACAATGTGAAGAGCGCTTTGGCCCAGCCCCAGATGATGGTGGTTTCAGATACGGCTGAGATGTTCGTCCCGCTGCTTGACGGCTTCCTCGTCAACTACCATGACTCAAGGGCTGTGATCTACAAGTAAGATGCAGCTCATTATTAGTTAGTGGAAGAGCTGTTTATCTTGGATGCTCCATCATGTAGGGAGAGAGAGAATTAGGCATGTTGTCCCCAGGAGTTCTCTGGAGTTTAATCCAGTTTATTTTTATATCCCTTAATGGGATACTGTTTCATTTGACATTGAGATTAACATGGCTTCAGTCTAATATTTTAAAGGGGAATCTTTTAGAAGTAAAAACTAGTGCATGAGAAAGACAAAATACTGAATCAATATTGAAGTCTTTACTTGAATACTGTACATTTCAATCAGACATTGTCATGTGAAGGCCGTCAAAAAGGCAGCGAAGACAATGTCACATCTCTCTGGTACAGCTAAATACAGTGATGAATCTACTGCTGCTAAAGTGATTGTTAGAGACCCTCAGCAGGCCATAATCCTGTCCCTTTCTCTGCAGCCTCCTGGACCAGATCCCTGACATGTTTGCAGACACCAACGAGAGTGAAACGGTCTTTGCCCCTGTCATCCAGGCCGGCGTGGAGGCATTTAAGGTTAGCCACAGGGTGACATCTGTCGACATGAAGTGGAAGATTAGGGGCCTACAGCAACCCCATTGAACCATGGGTGGCTGCTATAGGTTTAGATTTAGAGTAATGTCTGTGTCTATAAAGATCAAATATCCTTAGCTCAGTGGGAGGCTTCATATTTGATAAGCCACATTTGATTAGCAGCAGTGTTTCCAAAATCTAACATCCTGGTTTCTTTTAATCTTTTATCATTTTTATCACTGTGGTTCCCAAAAAAATGTAGAAAGTCCAAAACAGATAAAGTTGTGTTTTTCTAAAAAGGTCAACCAATTTAAATCTAAACAAAAGAAGAATTGCACCGCTACCCACAAGGTTGTTTCAAGTTTGTCAAAATATTTCAGATGCATTGCTCACGCCAAATTTGGCATTGACATCTGAACTCATTCAAGCTGTCAACTCAGTGAAGCAATAAGTTTCTTTTTCCTGATATTTTTGTGTTTACTTTAAAGTCCAATAAACTGTTAAACTTTCACAGTGATATGAGGTCAGTGTTTTGGCACACAGTGAAGGAAAAGTTCACACACTGGTTTTAATTGGAAGCAGTTGTAATATTACACAATAGCAAATAGTCAGTGAATTGTTTATTTTTTTAGGCCTGTTGGTGTTTATATTTTATTGCTTACATCTTTATCTTTTCTTTATCAGTTTATTTGGCAACACGGGAGAGCTCTGTAAATACAGATTATTATTGTTAGAATAATTTGATCCTTTGCAGGATTTGAATGTTTGCACCTCCTGACCTAATGATTTCACTGTAATGCCACAAAGAAGACGTCAGGAAGGAACACACCCCACACCTTGGTCTGACCTTCTTTTTGAGATCCTTCATCATTTCTCTCTTTCATTGTTCTGTCATCTCCAGGCAGCAGAGTGTAGTGGAAAGCTCTTCATTTTCCATTCCTCCATGCCCACCGCCGAGGCTCCTGGCAAACTGAAAAACAGGGATGACAAAAAGCTGGTCAACACTGAGAAAGAGAAAGTGAGTAGCTTTTTGTGTTGAGTGAGTTCTAGCAGTTGTAGATTGAGTAAACACAGGGGGTAGGCCTGGACAAGATCTCCTTTTTAAATAGCATCTAAAATGCATTTTTTTTTCCTGTGAGGAGGGTTTGTATTAAATTGAAACTGAACTCATCTGCATGCGTGTGGTAGGATGTGGTGGATACTATTAATTTTGAGAATGCTTGGACAGGGGACTGCTAACTTACCCAGTTGAATTCCCTGTTTTTCCATAGACCCTGTTCCAGCCTCAGAAAGGAGTGTATGAGCAACTGTCAAAGGACTGTGTGGCACAGGGCTGCTGTGTGGATCTCTTCCTCTTCCCTAGCCAGTACATTGACATGGCAACCATGGCTGATGTGCCCTCGCACACTGGAGGCTCTGTCTACAAGTACAACAACTTCCAGGTACAACATTTGGCAGGCATACCCGTTTAGTGTAGGCCATTTCAAAATACACACAGTGTGTTGCAAGCAGATGCATTCAAGATACAATATGGACAACGGGACAAACATGCTTTTTATTTCTTGTAATTACACTAGAAAGCTATAATTTAACAAATTGGCAAAGCTATGTGCAGCTTAATAAAAGCTAGTTGTTTTCACATAATAATTTTGGCACAGTACCCACAGTCTAATATAGAACTGTCCCGAAGGAATGGTGCAGCAAGCATGGGAAATTGCTCCAAACTGTACAAACACACCACATGCTAAGGCAGTACAATACAGTTTAACACACACACAGCCTAAACCTACACTGAAATACTTCATAAATAACACTACAATGTAGGCATTAAACATAAAACACTATGTGTCACTTGGAGCTACAGAATTTTAACACTTTATAAAAACTAAATAACCTCATTTAATGTTCAATTATTTCTCCGACTTTTGCACAAACTGACATTTCAGTAAACTCTCCCTCTTAGTATTAGATTAAATTATTTGTGTTAAGGTACATTTATGAGCCCCAGTCGACATGCTTGTCATTGGCATGAGATCAAATAGTGACAATACCGCCATCTGCTGGTTATAGCTTATGCACATACGATATTTGCTGCTCACTCAAGTGTACTTCTTGCAGGTGGAGACAGATGGGGAACATTTCCTGAGAGACCTAAGGAAAGATGTGCAGAAGAGCATTGGATTTGATGCCATCATGCGTGTTCGTACCAGTACAGGTAAGGAATAGTAGAACATTTTCCATCTGCTGTTTAACTACTCAAGATTACCCCCCTGTGCTATAAGGAGTGACCTCACAGTACTTTACATTTTTGTGCGTCTTCAGGCTTCAGAGCCACAGACTTCTTTGGTGCCATCCATATGAACAACACCACAGATATAGAGATGGCAGCTGTGGATTGTGACAAGGCTGTGACCGTCGAGTTCAAGCATGACGACACGCTCAATGAGGAGTCTGGGGCACTCATGCAGGTATGTGTCTTTTAAAAATGTAAAATGTAAAAAAAAATCTAAATTGCGGAGTCAGGAGTTCAATCCCCAAGGTCTGGTTTTAACTTCTTCTCACCTCTTTTCCCAGTGTGCCTTGCTGTACACCACCATCAATGGCCAGCGACGCCTGCGTATCCACAACCTCAGTCTGAACTGCAGCTCGCAGTTGTCAGAGCTGTACAAGAGCTGTGAGACTGACTCACTCATCAACTTCTTTGCCAAAACAGGTGACTGTCCTTTTTACATTTGACTGGACTAAAATTCACTGAGATAGTCCCTCCCACACTTACGGCCTTGTTCTGTCTTCCATTCCAAGTTTGCACTGAAAGCCCAGATTGTTACACTATTGCCAAATGCAGAAAAGATGCATTTTTCCTCCCATGGTCTGTGAACAGTCAATCTTATACACTCAGCTCACTTTATTTAGGACTGTAACGTAGTGCAGCCATAGCCTGCTGATGTACTGCAGTATCATCCTGACCTTTGTTGAATATACCCCATGCATCACTTGATAATCTACTAATTCTGACTGACTTATGAGTAAAAGAAGAATGTGTTGTGGAAATAAGAACCACATGTTTCATATGAAGTGCAGATGACACTGAGCCCCTCTCTAATCTGCACATAGCAAACCTTAAGCACAGTTGTATTACTGATCTTCAGTTGCTAACTGGTCCTGCTACTCTTCAGCTCCCTTGTGCGCCCGTTCTTCCATTGCGTAATTTCTTTTTTTTTTTTTTTTTTTTTTTTAAATCATGTGTTCTTCTCCTCCCCCTCTTCTCTTTTAACTAACCTTTTCTCATGGCTGCTCAGCTTACCGTGCCATATTGAACCAGCCTCTAAAGAATGTGAGGGAGATCCTGGTCAACCAGACAGCCCACATGTTGGCCTGCTACAGGAAGAACTGTGCCAGCCCCTCCGCTGCCAGCCAGGTCAGAGCAGGACAGCACCTGCAATGAATTTTGTTGAAGTCAGGCTTTGATTTCAAGATAGACACAATAAATTTGGGATTGTCGATTGATGTGTCTGTAACGAAAGATTTGATAATACATCTATTATATTATGTATCTCTCAGTAACAGTAACATTTTTCTGCGTGTGTCCATATGAAGCTGATCCTGCCCGATGCCATGAAGGTGTTCCCAGTCTACATGAACAGCCTGATGAAAACCGCTCCCTTGGTGGGCAGCACGGAGCTCTCCACAGACGACAGAGCCCATCAAAGGCTGTCGGTCATGGCCATGGGGGTGGAGGACACACAGCTGCTGCTCTACCCACGCCTCATCCCACTGGTGAGGGTCATTATCACACATAGCGTGCTGTAACCTTTATGACAAACTCCCCATCTATTCATACTTTCTTTTCTCAGTTATACCGTTGAGATGCATCCACTCAAACATTTGTGTCCTCCTGAATATCCTCTTTAAATCCACAGCAGTAAAGTTTGGTCATTACGAGAGATGGATGCATTACAGAGGGATTTTGAATAACAAATTTGAATTCACAATCAGGATTAATCTTGATTATTTTATATGTTTGGTGTATATAAGAGAAGGTGTGTATTTAGATTGTGGTAAGTGCTCTGTGATCTCTATCATTTCAGTGGGACTGTTGTAATATAATAAAGCGATGTTTTTTTTCCTAGCACAACATGGACGTTAGCAGTGAGGTTCTGCCTGCTCCAGTGCGCTGCTCAGAGGAGCGTCTTGCAGACTCTGGCATGTTCCTGTTGGAGAACGGCCACTCCATGTTTTTGTGGCTGGGCCAAGCAACCCCACCGGACCTCATCCAGAGCATCTTCAACATGCCCTCCCTCGCACACCTGCAAGGACACATGGTCAGAATTCATTTAATAGCACTAAGATCTCAACACATTTATAAACCAAACAAAACTCTATCTGTATTTAGAGATATCAGATGAGACGTTTTCTTACCTCTGTGGTGCCTGGAGGCATTACAGTATGGTGAGAGAATGTCTGGATGTTTAGTTGGGCAATATGCCTCGGAATTACAAGTCCAGTTTTGAGAAAGAGATACTTCATATCTCAGAGAGAGAAAGATTGAATTCATAATAAAAATCTCAGTCAGACCATGATTGGATCCAATATGTATCATTTGATACATCCAAAGAGTACAACAGCACCACATGTGCAGCCAGCAAAGTATACTATACTGATTGAGTCGACAGTAATTAAACACATGTAAACCTCATACCAAGTTCAAAGAGAGATATTTATTTTCAAGATAAAACAAACACTTCAACATGTGGTTCTGGTGCATACAGGGAGGAGGAGGCAGACAATCAAGTGCCAGTATTTCAAGGAAAAGTTTTACCTTCACAAAATATTTGTGTATCTCAACTTTATAAGCTTCAAGCTAACTTGCTTTCCATCCTCAAATTTATACATTGTGATGTACCAATGTTCAAAGCATGATAAAGGTGTTGAACCAGTGCCACTGACCTTCATTTTAGACTTAACTGACCTTCTAATTGTGTTTTTCAGTCTGTGCTGCCAGAGCTGGACAGCCCAATGTCAAAGAAGATCCGCTCCATCATCAGTGGCCTGCTTGAAAAGAGGCCGAACTCCATGAAGGTAAAGCCAGTTAAAACAACACAATTCCCGAATCTAACATTGTTGACAAAAGAGCATTTTTTTTTTGCTTAAAATGCAATCAACATGCTTTTTCTCCCCTCACAATTTTTAGATAAAGATTTAATTGCTCAGTACAAGACATAATCCTATGAGTGAAGAAGTTGAAGCCAACTTTCATAAAGCTTTTAATGACCTCTGCCTCCCCCTAGTGGCGTTAGTATAGAAATACAGAAATAGCCCCACAAATGCAACATGAACCTTTTTATCGCCATTTTCCACATGAGGCAGCTATGCAAAGCACAATTTGTAGTACTCTGAATGGATGGATAGGCTACATGTCTGTTGGGTGTCTTGCTGAATGGACCCAGGCTTTGCTGTCAACTAATATTTAATAGTTAGAAAGGGTCAAATGAACAGGACAAATAGTTAAGATAGAAAAAAATAATTACCATGCAGTTCAAACCTTTCAATTGAAATAAAGATTGTAATTAGTTTTTACACTAACATGGATTTGAAACATTTTCATATGAAAAATTTGAACCTCATTTAGTTCAAGTATTTAGATCTATAAAAGCTCAGTGTGCATTTGGGACGCTGCTAGTAACTACATTTTAACTGGAACTTTCTTTTCCTGTTCCGCTCAGCTCCTAATCATGAAGCAAAGGGACAAACCAGAGATGATGTTCCGTCAGTTCCTAGTGGAGGATAAAGGTCTGCATGGTGGTGCCTCCTACATGGACTTCCTTTGCTACGTTCACCGAGAGATCAGGCAGCTGCTCACTTAACCCCAAATGCTTGTCCTCAATGTTCCCATCCAGACTGGCCTGGGAGAAACACGGCATCTAACCATGCACAAATCTCACTGGCTCCGCTTCAGTAGGTCCTATTTGAATCTTAAGGACGATCCATAGAAAGAAACTTTTAAGTGTTTCACAAAGACAGAAGAGGGAACGAGGAACCAGGGAGAACCTTTTGAGATTCAGCCTCCAGCTGCCTTTCCACAGCTGCCTTTCATACATGCCTTTGTCATCCTTTAGTATACACACAGTATGATCTTCAAATAACCACTTGTCACTTGAGGAACATCCAAGTAGATCTGGAGGAATGAAATGGACAACACATCCAGCATTTCCCGCACAGATACTTTGTGTGATGGACTGTGGAGATGGGAATGACATCAGTGCCTGAGGCTGAAATGCATTTTGGCATAAAGCCCGTCGGCATAAGCAATACAGAATATATCTCCACTGTGTTTGCAGTTGATTGAAGCGCTTTTTCATTTCACTTTGTAGATTTACAGGGTCTGGATAAGACAAGGGGTTATTTGTGGGCCATACTGTAGATGTTAACTTTTAAACTCAATAGAAACTCACCAGTGTTTATTACTCTCCCACAAAGACTAAATATGTAAAGGAGTCTCAGTAACTAATTTTAAAGTTTTTTAAGCAAAGTCTTAAAGAAATTTTACAATATTCAAATTGCTTACAGAGGTTTCTACATTTTAATCTTACTATTGCTGTCCTAGTGGAAAATTTATGAAAATAAACATTTAAGCAGTGTACCCCCAGTAGCAGGTTACTCATAATTTAGCAGAAACAACGCCAAAATAAATCCCACTCGTTTGCCAGGACTGAAAATTGTTCCCGTTATTACAACATGTGTAAATCAAATCATTCGATTCACGCATGGCCTGACCAAAAATCAGATTCTTTAACCATTTATGGCAGAGATTTGATTTTCACAATGTGCAGTGACGCAGGAAACATTCTTGTTTTGGTGAGAATACACCGACATGAATGCAGCTGTTGCTCTACATAGAGTAAGGACCAACTACACTTTTCTACATGAGATGAGTCAGAATTGGTACTAAAAAACGGTTGTTTAAGGGATACTTATTTACATTTGTAATGAGAAAGAGGAATGGACTGCGAATTATGCCGAGAAGCATTAAAGGGAAGAAGTTACTGGGACCAAATATTAAGCTCCCCCCCCCCCCCCAAACTGTCATGTTAGACATTATGATTTATCCTTGGAGTGATTCATTTTATTATTATTAATATTATTATTATTAGCAAACAACCTGCAACAATGTCTTATTTTATGAAAAACAGTGCCAGCAGACTTTCAGAGCAAATGAACCTCTGTGAGGACTAAAGCTAAAAAAAAGAAAAAAAAAAGAAAAAAGAAAAAATCTGGCTCACTGTTTAACCACCCAAATTCACTCAAATCTTGTTACATTAATAACTATAATCTGCAAAGTTGTCTTTCATTATAATATGTAACATTTCAGTCATGAGTTTCAGTACAGCATCATACTGTATTGCCTTGCTTGTTTTTATAGAGGAAAACGCTTCTGTGTAATTCATGTTCATTTGATAAATATTGTACGATCTTGTGTGTGTGGCCCATGAAGTCTTTTTGTACATGAAATGCGCAGCTTGTGTTTTCAAAAATATTCCTATCTGCCTTAAGTTGACATAATAGTTGTGAAAAAATATGTTAAAATGTATATGTCCTCGAGGTCTATGGCTGATTTCAAATTTATTTGGTTTGTATGCAAACTTATCTCAGGTAATTTGAGTACCTTACTATTTTGAAGTTGGAAGCAGTGATTTGGATTGAACTGGAAAGATGGATGGTTGTTGTGTTGAAGAATGGTGGATATTCATGGGCTTGGTGTGCCATGTACATTTATTCCAAACCCTAAACAAACCTTTGTCTAATTAAACCCTTGACTCAAATGATTGCTTCTGACTTTTTTAAAAACTTTTATCTGACAGCTACAGGAAATTTATCACCTGTGTTAAATAATAAGTCATATGAATGTTTTTTCTGACATCAACACAGACATAACCTTTGATCTCTCTATAAGAAAATATATTCAACTTAAAATCCACAGTGATGCAATTATACATCAGCAAGCCACAAACTGCTGATTGGTGGTCATACTCCCATTAGTGAGAAATCTATTGCACAAGATACTACTTTGGATGACTGATCTACAGTTACACTAAAAGCCAAATTATTCAAGCACATGAAGCCCGTCCTAAATGAACAACAATAAAATTATTTTTTGCATAGGCACTTTCCTCTTTAATGACTTCATAAACGGCAAATGTGCACAAAATTAGATCACAACCTCTGTGGATGTAGAATTAAATTTCTTTTTTTGTTCTTTAATCGAGTCCAGATGGCAAGAAGCATGTTTGTGTTTGGTGTGTTTTATGCTCTTGTAACCACAAGGGGGCACCAGACAACTGTTCTTATACTTTTTGATTCACAACATGCTCTGCTTTTTCTGCATAAGAAATGATTTTGGACTTGGATGAACACAAATTGATCAATAAAAAAACATTTCTAGTATATAGTGGGTCTGTCTGAACAACCATTTAGACAAATCTCATTATGCATTACATTTCAAACTAATTTAACATGCACCATTATCAGAAATGTACAGCAAAGGAAAAAGAGCAGCTGGGTAATAGTAGTATTGTGATATCTAAAGTAGCAGATTCACACTTCATTACGCCTATTCATATTGAAACATTCAGTTCGCATTGTGAAGTTTTTCGACGTCAATAGCAGAATTTGTTCGCTGAAAGTCAATACCGTCACCATCACAGTACGACAAAACATTCTCCCTCTAAGGTCACAGAAATTTGGAAGTTTGTGGTGCACATTTTATTTTCTCATCCTTATAAGAGCTCACTAACTTTGAAGATTTGGATAGTATTTACAGAAAAATGTAAAAAAATGCCTTATTATTTTCAGAAAGTAGCAAGTCTCTGCGTCGGGGGGGGGGTTGAAATGTGAGTAATGTCATAGGGATTTGTTTTCCCAATTAATGCAGTTACTTTTTCATAAACATACAGAGAATAAAAACCAAACAATGTACAGTTTTACAAACACTAAAGGCACACAAACACAAATCAAGGGGGAAAAAATGGCAGGTTTGATGTTTTCTTGAGAGAAATATACACATTATCTTCAGTGACATGAGTAAAAAGACAACTGAGAAGAAGCGCCATTTTTTTTTTTTTTTTTTACTAAATTAATGGATGACCAACATGCCTCACTGAGGAGATTTTTTTTTATGTTTGTGACTGCAGATTCTGGTAAAACAGTGTAGTGACATGCTGTATGAACACTTTGAATGAAAAACATAATAAACTGTCAAATTCTTCACACTGCATATTGTCCAATTGTCAAGTATGTCAGTTTTGCGACTGGTTTGATGGATACTTCCTGTATCCAACATCCAACACACATGAAACACTCACTAACTTACTTACATAATGTCCAGACACTTCACTCAGAGATCCAGTGGTTTTCCAACGAGTGAGAGGCAGTCAGTAAGTGAGACTTCTAGCCAGCATGCCTTTCCTCACATGTGGGGCCAATCAATGCTTTAATCAGAGCCAGCAGGAACCGATCAGGCTCAATAGGTGTGGGCAGCTGAACCTCAGCCCATGGGACGAGGAGGAGGGAAACAGCAGGAACAGCAGGAGTATCATACAAAGTTTGTATCAACAAGCAAACCCCACTGCCCATCCTTAAAAAACAGTGAATTACATGACGAAATCTAAAGACCTGAAATTCACCCCAGAGCGAATTTTCATTTTAATACTGTACAACTGACAATCTTTTGTACAATGACCATAATATCATATAAATAACCTCAAACACTGCTCTTAGTGTAAACTAAACAGTGCTTAAAAAACTAAATAAAAACATTGATAGATGGTTTACTTTACAGGGAATATACATACATAGGGTTAAATGAAATACACTGAAAGCAGCATTTATTTTATGACAAAGATATCATCTAATGTTATACTCATGGTAAATATAGCTACCTGTGTGCTTCTGTAGACAAACCATCGATATTATGGTCCAAATTTGACATCAATACAATCCTTGTGTTGTCTCATTCTAGTTGGCAAGTAAACATGAACAAAGTTGAAAAGTTTCTCATAGAGTTTTTATCTATCGCTTTATCTATAGTATATACAATTTAAAATGGTACAATGTGTATGTGTTTTTTTTTTCTCTAAATGCTTCCTTCAAAGAGCAAAAAGACAGACCACAATGGTAAACTACGCCGGGGTAAGAACACTCTGGAATCAAGAGCTGAGAGCAGAGACGAATATTAAGTTACCTCAAATATTTTATTCAGGGTTTTTTTTTTTTATCATTATTTTGATGCTCTAAAAAGTCACAGTGATTTCACTTGGCAGTAAATAAAACAACTCAAGGCTGCAACAGCGGAAGAGGAAACCCTTTTATCAGAAGTCTCCTATTCCCAGTGTGTTTATAATGTTGGAGGGCTAACACAGGTTGCAGAACAAAGTGTCGATCAGATAGAAAGACACTCCAGAGACAGATGGTGGAAATAAGCACTTAAGTTGAGATGTCTTCATTTTGAAAATTCAACCACAGCTGCAAAAACTATTTTTCTCTCCTTTCTATTCATTGTAATGTTGTAAATTTCTCCAACTTATTCAATAAAAACCATTGAAAAGGCAACTGATTCCAGAGTGTTCACACCATATTGCCTACTCTTACTTGTGGCCCACAGTAATGAACAATAATTTATCTATGGGCAAAAGTCTGCATAGCACACTGTACACAGCATGACTCCAAGTCGGTTATTGGGCCAAGCTAAAGATGATGTTCTTTTCCAAAGCCTCCACACTCGGCCCGAAGTTAAAGAACATTTTCAAAGAGGTGCATTGATCGCATGATGTTTTCATCCTGCAGACACAAAGACACAATGTAATGAGAGAGTGCGAGTGTGTGCCAACAGCAGTGGGAGCAGATGTGTCGGGGTATCCAGCTTACATTTTGGCAGCAGTCGATGAACTCGTCTATGGTAACCACTCCATCTTTATTCTTATCCATCTTCTGTTGGAGACAGAGGAGAGAAAGATGATAAATAAAGGAGGTCTGCAAAAGCCTCTTTATTGCACAGAGCCGTTTCTGCTGCCAGCTCCAGACTTGCCTGAAAGAATACTTCTACATGCTGACGAGGCGTCTCCTCTTTGAGGACGGGGTATGTGCATTTTCCCATCATGTCGTAGATGGCCTTCATGATGTCCAGCATTTCCTGTGACACGCAGAAAAGGGTCAGTTCACCCAAATTACAGAAAAAAACTCTCCTCACTTACCCCTTTAGGATTTGAAGAATGACATTTGAAAAACAAAGAGAAACAATGGCCCTGTTACTCTAGGTGAATATTAACACTATCCACAGTGAGGTTTGTGGATTATCCATAGTAACAGGAACAAATGTCATTTTCAGTTTTCAGTCATACAACAGCAAGGCTACAGGGATAGTACAGTTTGTTGGTCGGCCCGCCACTTGAGTCCGGACTGAAATATCACAACAGCCATTGGATAGATTGCCATGACCTCAGAGGACGAATCCTGACTTTTCCTTGAGCGACACAATGAGCATGAAGTTCCCGGCTTTCAGTGAAATTTGTTGAACTTGGGCAAATATACAGTATATACCACCGGTGTGAAAGCTAGTTGGCTACTTGACTTGGTTGAAGCCTCTTACGAAACATGTTGCCTTCAAATCAGGGCTGCATATAAAAGGCGTATATTTGTGTTTGAAGGGACATACCTCTTTAGTTATATATCCGTCTTTATTGATATCATAAAGGTTGAAAGCCCAGTTGAGTTTTTCCTGGACGGTTCCTCGCAGAAGGATCGAGAGGCCCATAACAAAATCCTGCCGTGGAGACAAGAGGCACTGATATTTGTATAAAATATACACATTTATTAAATAGCATTTTGTAGACAACAAGTACTTGAAAACCTATGCAATAAACAAAAACAATAAGTAACAAAGATATTCACTGTGCTCACTAAATGTATGAGGCATTTCAGCTGATTTCATACAACATTTTTGCAGGGATATTATGTCAGGTATTAATTAGAGCCTAATGATGAAACAGCAAGAGTGCAGACACTATAAATCAAAAATACCTCACTATTCAAATTATTAGCTGTCTCATAATCTATGTCTGCCCTTGGGGAATACTCATACGTTTGAATTGAATGGACAGCACATTAGCTGCTGAAGCTTTGGTTTGGAGTAATGACAGCTTTTCTCTCCTAATAAGCAAAATTATGCCCCTTCATAAATATTAATCACGTGTTGATAGCATCGGAAGTAGACTTGCTTGGGCTAAATTAAAATTATTGGGGCTGCAGGTTACATAATGCTCCAGTGCAATGCCTTAGAGGCTTACAGTGCTGAAGCTTTAAACATGTTAAGTTCTTTTGTTGGGAGTTTTAAATGCCGGACAGAGTTTACTTCTTTTGAAATTGTTGAAATTTCCATTCTTGGTTATATGAGGGGCAATTTTTTTTTACCTTACTCTGTAAGAATGGAAAAAGCCACATCTAGCCTTATACCTGATACTCTGTCAAACTAATGATTCTAACCCTTTTGACAGAAAGAAATGAAAATACTTGGCTTACCTCAAAACTCACAGAGCCGTTGTGATCTGTGTCAAATGCATTGAACAGGAAATGTGCATATGTTGAAGCATCTATGAGGAAAACAAACTATAATCAGAATAATCTGCCATGATTAAGACTCAGTTCAGCAGTTACACCTACTGCAAACAAGACAATGGTTCAAAGGGAAGTTTGTAGCTTTTCTAAACAACCTCAAAGAAAATAATCCTCAGATTTTTTTTTTTTCCATAATGAGAGAAAAGAACAATAAGCTTAAAGCTAAGAGCTCTATCATTGTTTACTGTGTGGTGAGCCATTACATTTTATATTTATATTACTGCTGCCTTTTTTCTCTCTCTCAACAGATATATCAAAGCCTCCTAATGTTTTCTCTCCGTTTCCTTGGGTAGAATCTTTGCATAATGATGAGAACCAACAGTGAGCAACCCCTGGCACTATAGAGCTACTTTCTTCTTCTGTCTCTCACTGTCACTGCGTTGTTTTTGATGGAACTTTAACTTGAAATACTTTGGGAGCACAATTTTTGTAAACATGAATGAAAGACAATCAGTGTCAGTCCAGCACACAGAGTAGATAAGAGGCAGCTATAAGAGGCAACACAAGCTGGAAAAACAAAACAAAGCAGTGGGCACAACCTCCTTGTGGGAAGAACTGTGCGTAGATGTCTTTAAAGGTTTCTTCGTTGACGACTCCACTGGGGCATTCCTGCAAGACAAAAGGACATTCAGCATCTATATTAAAGCCCCCCCCCCTCCCCCCATATTAAAGTCTTCTCCTTAAATCTGAGTTTAAGACGTGTCAGTCATGGTCCAATATACAACTTGAACTGAAACTTGAAATGGGCACTGCGCATACATACTGAAAAGTTTTCAGCATAGAAGAAGACATCTTTTTACACCATTTTTTTTTAAATCCCTTTTTGGATGAGAAATCATGTAAGACAAATTATTTATTTATTTATACACTACATGTATTAAAACAGGTTTAGAAGCCAGCTTTCCACTGTGGCTGAACATTACCTTAGTAAAACAAGACAATATTGTTTTTGCTGACCTTCAGCGGTTGATCTTCCCGCCTTGCTTCAGTGATGTACAAGTGTACCCCTGGGATTGTCAAGTACACTATGACATCACCGTTGGGTAGGGCTGGATAAATTTTCAACTCGTCTCTCTCTTTTTTTTTTGAATGAGCCAACATTAACTCCTTAATCATTAAAATCCCAAGATCGATCTTTGCATTTGTGTCTTTTCTCAGTAAACGTGTACATCTGCACTACATATTGTGTGTTGGTTGTTACTTGCCGAACATGGTTATGTGTAAAATGTCTACTTTGTGGAAAAAAACATTCCACAAAAAAAGTTAAATTATGTTAAAAGTAACATAGATAGCAGCTGGTTATATTCGCCTCTTTGGATCCCGACTGTCTCATAAACCGTGACATGGATGATTACAGTCTTTTGGACCCGCTGCAGTTTAAGAAATCTGGAGATCGTATCTACGAGAGGGAGAGACTGAAAAAAGACCCTGCACGCTGATCTGAGCTCTGTTTGATATAACGAGATGTGAAGCTGTGGATGTTGACTAAACAGTGTGTGGGTTCTACTTTATTCAGTCTGTCCCTGCCGCTGAGCTAATGCTAGCCAGCCAGCTGCCTGCTGATATCAGGGCTGATGTCTTGCCAACACAAACAGTGCAGTTGAATCAGTGAGCAGACTTTCAGTTTCTGGCCTGTCTCTGCTCAAAGATCATTAAAGTGGAATCCACAATACATGTTTAACTGTATGGAATCGTGTTCTTTTTCTTTTTATCAAACATGCATAGCAATGACGCCCTTGCAAATAGTGCAGGTTTTTATTCTTGCTTGACTGTTTTGCACATGTAGGCCTAAAAAATACAATATTTGCCAGGGAAAATAAATTCTCAGTCGACAGTTTTATAACTGGGAAAGGTATTTACAGTTTAGCCCATAATGTGACTCAGTGACACAGTTTAATAATCAAGGAAAAGAAAGTGTTGCTCACTTGTTGAATGTAGAAGAAATTTAAGTTTCCTGGATACACTGACATGAGTAAAGATGCATGTAGATATCATCACCTTGTTTCACAGCAGTGCTTTCAGTTTCTCAGAGTATGGAATATAGAGACTCGTGCTCAGTTTGGTTGTATTAAAAACGTGAAGCATCCAAGCCTCAATAGAAATCTTGTTCACAGTCATCCAAAGTCACCCACTTGTGGTTGTCTGGTAGCATTCAGTGGAAAAGAGTGACTTCTCTTATGTAACACTTCCAAGGAGGATGCTTTGTGTCTTTTCAAAGAAAAGAGCCAGTCAAAGACATGGCAGATGACCTTGCTCAGAGCAGCGTGGTGACAAAGGCAGGTGGTTTTTACAGGTTCAGTTTGTTCTTGATGTGATGCTGTACACAACACACTCTGGCAGGATATTAAAATTGGAAATAGAGGAAATGCCCCGCCCATTTATAAACCAGGAGGCACATGTGTGTATGTGTGTGTCTGGGTTTTTTTTTAATAGAAGAAAATAACACATTGCAAGGGTAGAGGTTGTTGTAGGAGATCAAAGATAAGCAACAGACGGTACATGGGTGGATACAATAACATGAACACCTCTCTGATACAGTTTCATCAGGAATCAGACATCAATCAAAAAGGAGAAACAGCGAAAATATACCGTCTGTATTTACATATTCTATACCTTATCTGAAAATTGGATGTATAAAACAATTTGATTTAGGAACCATTGCATTTCTGTTTTCAGGAACTAAACTTGAGATGTGTTTGCTGCAGCCAGTGATTTGTTTCATTTCATTTTCTCCATACATTTCTCTCAGTTTGAGGGAGCAAATAAGAATCACAGGGCACACTGGGTTTCCCAATATAATAATTCTTGTGACCATCTCTGATCAGCCACTTTGGGAAGTGGAGCTGAAGGGGTGAGAAAATAAAGATGAAACCTTGTTGTCTTGCTTCAAACAGGCGCTTTGTGTTTGAAGCTAAGAGGATGCTGCATGGTTGTCTGTATGAGTCCCCTGACACTCATCTCCTGTTGTCTCACAGACCCAGTTGCATATCTTGTGGGGTGAGGTGAGGTCAAGAATTTTGGGGAAGTTAGGCAGACAGAATCAGAACAAGCTTGTCTCAAAATAATACTTTTGTGACCTGATTACATGAAGTCTGAAAGTCTGTGTAGTTTGTAATGCTGTTCACAATGGGCCAGTGTATAGATCCAAAGGATGTTGAGAAAACTATTCAAGCAATTTGCAATTTATATTTTCAAGATTTTGGGGGATGTTATTTTCAAAGTGTTTATCTCTCTTCAGTTAGATCAGTGATTCCCAACCTTTTCCAACTCATTTCCAATTTGGAAATCTCAAAAATGTTGGTCTGATGGAGAACAAATAATACATGTTTGTATGCCAAATGCCGAAGCTGCTTCTGGGAAACAGTTAGCTTAGCACTGCTGAAATACTGGAAGCAGCAGGAAACAGTTAGCCTGGTTCTTTCCTAAGCTAAAGCAAGACAAGTCTACAGCTATGCTAAGTCTGTCAAACTACACTCACAGCAGTACTTTGAGCTAAATGTTAATGTCAGCATGCTAACATGCTGAAGTTTAGCAGGTTGTTGTTTACCATGTCAGCATATTAGCATGCTAATATAGTAACTGGAGTTGCTCACAATATTAGTTTAGTTTGTTAGCATACTATCATTGGGTAATTGGCACTAAACACAAGTTCAGCTGAGTTTGATAGAAATGTCATTAGTTTGAGTATCTTAGTTTAAGTATCTGGTCATAAACAAAAGCATTGGACAAACTTTTCACCAGATGATGGTGCTAGAAGAAAGTGAAGGGAGTTCTGGGAAAAGATTAGCCTGCCCACAGCTCTAAAGCTCATGGATAAACACCACATCTAGTTTGTTTAATCTGTACACAAACAGAGGTGTAAAAACTACAAATTTTACAGGAGGCTATGTGCTAGAATGTTTCTTAGCCGGGCACAAAGATTCCTTCATCACCGCGGCATGCTAAACTAATCTAACCTTGTCCTGACAGAAGCTTTAAATCTAACAAACAGATGTGAGAGTGGCATCAATCTTGTCACCTTACACTCTGCTATGACTGACTTGTATTTCCTTGGAGTTCCAACTATTCTCTTATGTCTCTCAGTTCAATGAACAATTTCAAGTTATATTCTTACAAAGACTGCAGACATGTTCAGCACAGGGAGAATATCAAATATATCCACTCTAAAAGCAAAGTTGCTCCACAGCATCTTTGTACACTTGACACAGACAGTATTTCTTTGTTGTTTAGTAGAGCCTCTGTTAATTAGAGCATTGTTTATGTTCTACAACTTTGCATTGAACTGCGCTGTCAACAGTCAACCTTTTGTTGAAGCAGCGCAATGAAATGTCTTGTAATTAAGTGCTTAAAGTGAGTACAAGGGGATTTTTAAACACGCCATTTCACTCCACTTGTAGAGTCTGTGCACGCCTGTGTGTATGTCTGTACACAGATGGGCAATTACAGCTGTCAACACGACTAACATACTGATTAAGTGGGACAGTAATATACGAATGGCTGTGTTCCAAATCAGCTTCTTCTTCTAACCTTGCTAACTCATCCTCACAAATCTGAGGGAGAGTTAAAGGTCAGTAAAATTTCGTGATCGTTTTCTGTCTCATGACGACATTGGCGAAGGAGGCTGTTTTTCAATTGAGAATGAAGCCACGTACAAGACAGTGTCCCTGCAATTCAATTTAAAGTTCAGTAAAATAGTTACACTCAACTGATAAATGCCTTAAGGTTCCATCAGGATAAACTATTAGTTAAAAGTCAGGACTTCAGTCACACAGTTCTTTACATAGGTCATTAAACTCAAGCTTTTGGGAAAGATTTCTTCTCTGCATCAGTGAAACACTGATAGATGAACAAATTACTGATTTGGATATTTTAGATTTAAAATATAAACACTTTAGCTAGGCATCTAACATGGATGCTACTGAAATTTCTCTTCTTCTAGTAATAAGTCTCTCATTCATCATCACACACCACCTACATTTTTTTAAACACAAGGTTATAGTCAAGCTGCATATAGTTGTTTTCTATATCTTTGTCTCCCATTTTTTTATTGGATTTTTTCATATCTATACATTTGTTTATCTACCTAAATCAAAACTAAAGTAATGGACAAAGAGCAATTGGAATAATGTGGTAGGCCTATGTTGTGTAAATGAGGGTGTAGTTTTCTACTTTCCCTCGGATATTGTTCCATTTTGCACATTATTTGTGCTCATCAGACAGAGTGAGAGGTCAGAAAATGTATTTGTATTCATGTCATGATATGTTTGTAAAATTAGCTCTTCCATGAAAATAAAAATCGCAAATACAATCTGTGAAATGCAAAACCAGCCAGGCATGAAATTCCTTTCTGAGACTCGTGAAGTGATGCAGCAATAAGTAGTGCGGGGAATGAAATAAACCTGTGAACAGAGGCATCATCACTGATGGAATAGAAACTGAGAGATCTTAATCTAATGCCTGAGGCAATGCCCCGGACTGTGAACTGTGAAAGCCCAGAAGATTTAGCCAGACATGAGGATAATATTGTGTTATTTCCTGTATTCTGGGGTCAAGTAATCTGTGAGACAGTGGATTCTCTCATACTGTTAGATTGACCTTTGCTCAAATTCCACCTTAAGACCAAGACAGAGCCTCAGTGGTCTTGTTTTGGTCCCTGCTAGACATATTGCTGGATCTAAGTCAAAGCTCTACTTTAAGCACAAGTGAATGATTTGTAAAGTTTGATGTCAAGACAAATGAGGGTCATTCTGTCACCTGCATTATAGGCATTTGACTCCATTCGAAACCCCGGACACCAAGGACAAAGGGCCAGATTTCTCATCATGGGAACTATGCCAGTTTCAATTAGTCTGGCTGGCCTTAAAAGCTTTACCTTTATTCTGCCAATGTCACCAGGTTGAGGCAAAGCAGAGACAAGCTGTTTGACCCTTGCAGTTCAAAAACTGAGCTTCACTATGGATGCAGCATAGTGATGCACAGAAGCTTTTTAGTAGCTGCAATTTAAGTGCCATGACTCTTTGTCTTTGTCCAATTTGGACGTCTGCCTCAACAACATCTGTCTAATTTTATAGAAGGTGAGTAAATTAAAACTAAAAATTAAAGCAAGTGTATTCCCACTATTAAATAGACTAAGAATCTGCAGACACTAATGTCTCTGTGAGGCTGTACTTAGACACAGTGGTGCTTTGAGCTAAATGAAAAATCAGGGGAATCAACAAAGTTAGAAGAAAACCTCCACCAAACTTCATTGCAATCCATCAAATAGTTGTTGACGCATTTTCAAAATTTTGTGCCAAACATCTTGTAGATATTTCATTGGATAAGTGAAAAGTCTGACCTACAGAAAAAGCCACAGCAGTCATTAGGCTTCATCCTCTTGGGAGCATGAATGTCTGGAGGGAAAGTGGTGGACTCACCAACGAACTGATCGCTTCCCTAGAGCTGCGCCGCTAATGTGGCTAAAAATAAAATGTAAAATCTACAAAGTAAAAAAAAAAAAAAAAGCTTGCGTGTCTATAAACATATGAAATATCCGCTCCCTCAGCGTTACAGGAAGTCAGGCAAAGTGTGTGGCACAAATTAAAGGCCTCATTAATCCACTTCTTACCTCTTACGCTGTCTCAAGTGGAAGCAGACTAATGGGCAGGCTTTGCAGGGACTTGGCTGGAGCACAGTGCAGGCTCAACAGGAAACTGAAGCCTCATGGGAATTTCACTATCACAGGGCTCTCGCTATGCTCCTCTCTTTCATTGCCAGACAATTTGGGTTGAGTTAATTCTGGGTCATCTCATTACGCTTCACACTAGAGGTGACAATGAAGTCAGGTGGCTTTATGTGGGCTGCTCTCGAGGAGCATGAACTGGATAGCTCATCAGTAATCTTCCTGGATCGGTTCGAGGTATGACCTAATTATCCCTGGCACAATGAACAATGTACAGAAATTCCAATTTCCTGTGGTAAGCACAATTTGACTAGATAACATTTAGTGCAAGATGCAGATGATTCAGCAAAATTACATTTCTTAAATGCATGATTATCATTTTATTGCTACACAAGCAGAGTGGAGCTGAGTAGTGATGAGAACTAGAAGAAGTGGAGCTGTTTGCGGAGACTCGAGTAGAAAGACCACTGCCAACTACAGAGGGTTGTAAAAGAATAAATCAAATATAATCAAAGAAACACAAGGTTTGATGTTCAAGAGAGAGAGAGGTGTCCAGGAGAGAACAAAGCCCACTGAGCTGTACATTATATATGCTGCTGAGGTTGCATGGTGGCCCCGTCACTTACATTCTTGAAGCCGCGGTAAAGGATCTGTAGCTCCTTGCGGGAGAAACGTGTCTGGGCTTCAAGCTGCTCCAAGCCCTCAGGGCGATGGCGGACTGCAGATAGTTCAAGCTCATCTTCAACGCTGTCTGGAAAGGAGGAGGAAGAAGGTCAGATGTGAACAGATGCTAAGAGTCTTTGCTAATTAACATTTCTGGGGCTAGAATTTGAGACATCCCATTAGACCCCCAAATATCACCAAGAGCTAAGCCAATAAACCTGGACATTTGCAACTTCTCTATCCAAAATGCCACATTTTGGCATGACATGGCCACAAAGTCTGGGTAACCTTCATGATAACAAAGAAAATCCATTCAAGTGAATCAATTTTGAAGCCCTTTTCTCCTCATTATATCAGCTCCTTTTATTTCCAAATGCTACACAAAACCAAACAAAAATGTGAAAGGCCTCTTCTTCTACGCCAAATACGACAGCAGTGGTAATTAGTGTTATTGAGACCCCAGAACAAAGTCCTTGTGGTAGAGAGCCTCTTCATGAAGGAGTGCAGCTGAACCCTGTGAAACTTTTTAATGGGGCTGTAATGATGGCAGATGCTGTCTAGGCCCTGTCACAGACTGCACTGTCCTCGCAGCACAGCGTTTGACTTGCCTTGTTGGCGCAGGCCCTCTCATATACCTGAAGTGTGACACAGTGTCTGAATGCCTCATTAGCTCCAAGGGTCTTATTGTGGCCCACAGCCAAAAGACTACATATTATAAAAGACCACATTTAACCTGCTGCTGTGGAGCTGATGCTTTGTATTTGGCGGTGATGTTGGGCGATATGCCCTCCTCCTTTTGGGTTTCATTGTCGAGTTAGTCCAGAAGTGACATACTTACAGCTGTGCAAATAGTAGATTTGTGTTTATGTGTTTATTTTGCCTTGTTTAACTTCAGATATACAATGTGGGTGTTCCACACATGAATGTGATGAAAATATTCTGCAACATGCATATATAGTTTTTTAAGTTGTTACTTTAATGGAGGAAATAAAAACATTTTGACAAGCTATGGAAAAAAATGAACAAAAGAAATACTCTAATCTTTGGGTATCATCACATAATTTCACACATTCAAAAAGCATCTATTTACTTCTACATCTACAAGAGCAAAATGTTCGATGTGAAATGTAAAGCAAGTAAAAAGGATTTCTAAAAATGAATGTTTTAGCTGAACTTCAGCTCGTGCAATCATGTGTGACTAAATCCTATACTGAGTGTGTGCCCCCTTACCAAGAAAAGCCACAGAAAGGAAAAGCATCTTAGATAACAACCAAAGAAAAATCATCACAGAGAGAGAGACAGAGAGAGTGAGAGAGCCTTGGAAGAGCCACTTGCTTTGATTACTGGAGGATGGCTTTTTGGCTGTGGAGCATGGAAAGAGCCTCATGAGTCGAGCTCTCACCCCGCGCTTGTGGACAATCTGAGGGTAACCTGGGAAATACAGCATTAGCTCTTACCCACGCAACTGACAGCCTGAGTGCATTCTGGGAAAATTGGACATGCAAGAGGTGAGGGTGTATTAAAGTTCATATAGACAGAAGGATATCTCTCATAGCTGGTTCTTCAGGACAACAACACAGTACTTTCGCACTGTAAGATTAAAGCTTCACCAGGCAGCTCCAAATGCAGCAAGAGATGACTTCTTCAAATTGGCTGACTTCAAAATCCCACAAATGATATAAGTTAACTTAAGCACATACACAATTGGACAGGAATGAACTTGAGTTTACAAGAACTGTGAGCCACTGACATTTGGCTAACAACTAGCGTTACTATAGAGTCTTACTAAAGCCATGCTAGCGGATCTGTGAAGTTGTACACAGGCACAGCAGTGCTTTTAGCTAAATGCTAACATTAGCCTACTAGAGTAATAAGCTCACAATGACAATAAAGATGTTTAGCAGATAATGTTTATGGTCACCATCTGAGTTGTTAGCATGCTGCCTAAATATGGAATCACTGCAAGTCATGAAAAGTAGAGCACTGGGTCACATGACTTATTAACGAGTGTCTTCGCACATTGTAGGTCATCAGTGCAAAGGACATATGATATGGTGCCTTTGACCTCATGTCAGGGTGTAATTCAATATCACATCAGGTGTCTGCTCTTTTCACACATAGCCAAATATGCTGGTTGACAAACGAGTGTTTTCCTCACTGTAACACTGTAACACAGGTGTAACAAAAGTGGTGTATCCAAGGTGTGAACTGATGACCACAATACACAAATAACTCTCTAATGTTACATGTAGCACAGCTCTTGAGTATGAAAGTCTATAAGTTATTAGTTCACAGGCTTGCCTAAAAGCACACAAGTCCATTTCCCCTCCCGCTCCCGGCTACTCTGAAAGATTTAGTGTGAGGTTTGATGGCAGCCGTGGGCGTTCAGATGAGCCCTTGAGTGCTGAAAACCATTTGTCAATCACACCAGCACTTAATTAATTTCAAGGCTGCAATGCGCAGGTAAAAATAATAGCAGAGCTAGATCTCACGGCATGTTTGTAACTAGTAAACCTAACATCAAGATGGCCGATGGGAGTTATAAGAGGCCTCTGTATACCAGGGCTAAAAAGGGACAAAGTGGTTACAATTACATCATGGAATAGAGACTGTGAAAAGGGCGTCATAAATCTGTAACCTGGTCTGGCAAAATCATGGAGGTCCAGCTGAAAATTGGGTGTGAGGAGAAGAATGGCTCTGTGTACAACTACTGTGCCAGAGAAGAAGGATGCCTGGAAAAGGTTGCTTGTGGTGTGAGAGTGGGTTAGTTCTACAAGGTGATCAGTAGGAAAATCCTGAACCATGTGCAAAATCAATACAACTTAAAAACTTATCAACATCTAATTCTATTGATTCATATTGGCTATATGAATCAATATCAAATTAAAAAATAAAATTTAAATTCTTTACTTATATACAGCGGGGTCCAAAAGTCTGTGACCACTTTTGGACCCTACTGTATAGGCTCTGTTGTTTATTAAAGTGCACTGAGTGAGAAGTTTGAGTTCACAGAATCAGTCGGGCAAGAATCAAGGGTGCAAAAAGAAATAAATGGTGGGTACCATGGCAACAAATTATATCACATAAGTAAAATCAATGACTATCTGTGTTATTCTTTGGTGTGTTTTATCATTTTGGTCAGAAGTGATGAATGTGAAAGACTGCTCAGTTTGAGGTAGAACGCAGCTTGACCACACTGAGCCTAAAGCATGATTTCAAAGTCTTTCCAAATATTTTTTCAGCAACCTGGCAAAAGACCCCTGGCAGAGAAGTTTCAAAGTCAAAATCTGCTGTGGTCTCAGCCTTTTTCACCCTCGCAGTGTTTAGAGTTAAATACTGTGTAGACAAAGAGCAGATGGTTAAAAGCTCTTGGCACAGAACTGGCAAAGTGTACACAATGACCAACATCATGGTGCACAACAAATTTATGAGCTATAAAAGACACTGTTGACAGTCTCGCTGTCAGCTTTAGGCCAGTTCTCATCACCCTCTATAATGACACGATAACTTTGAGATTTAGAGGATGAAGGGACTCAGTGAAGCTCTCATCTGTTCTTGTTACCTGCCTGACACACACCTCCCTTCCTGAGTGGAGAGGAGACGTCTGAGTGCCCTCACTGAGGTTGAACTAGACAGATGTTGCTTTTGTTTCCAAGATATATTAGCCCTGACAGCAAGCTGGCTGTATTTGGAGGCATTACTGTACTACACTGAGACATCCTTTCTAGCTCAAGGACAGGCTTCAGTGGATTCCTCAGCACTTGAGCAGTGAGTTTGGGATGCAGTGCAAACTCTGTGACTGAAAGAGTGAAATCAGATGATCTGTACTATCACTAATATAACTGAAAGCTGAACCAACATGCAGGCAATAAAAAAAAAAAGAAAGAAAAAAAAAGATCTCTAAAGTGGAATAAAACAGCATGAGTGACACTGTGCTTAATCAGGCAGGAAAAGAGCATGCAGTCATGGTTGTCTGATTAATGTTTGCCCTTTTAGTTTATTGACAAAATGGATCTGACGCTTGAGTATGTGTATGATAATGTAGAGAGCAGCTTGTGCTGTGCCCCTGCACCCTTACCCACAAAGATCAAAGTTCACCGTTTTGCTGGCACTGCATCATTTGTTTCCAATTTATTAAAAACCATGAATGGGCGTTGTTGTCCTGAAGAATCAAGTATACAGTATGCAGCAAGAGGATTCTGTACCGTGTACACATTTTACATGTTACCGATTCAGTCAATACGTGCACACACATTCATATTGTCATGCCATACTTTTGCCTTCCTCGAAAAAAAAGAAAAAAAGAAAAGAAAAAGCTTCTTGAGTGACTGCTTCTATAATGGCAGGTTGTAGCTGACGAAACAGCTCATCAGAAATGTAATTCTTTGCCACCTCTGAGTAACAAAGCTGCCTTTGCCTTTTTTGCCCTGCAGCAAATACAAGAGAATGAAACTGAAGGCCCTCTGAGGGTTGTAAACAAAGAAAAATGCCTCAGCAAAAATATAAAATATATATAAAATCTGATATTACCATGGGACCTGCTGTGACTAGCTTTGAAGACTATAACAATGAAATGGTCTACTACACACTAGACCATATAATACACAGTATCTTATCTATCAATGAGCTGACGGATCCACAAATATACTCAAACCCTGAAAAATGAATATGAGAATATTTCTCTCCAATATGGACTGATCAATCACAGTTCAACTGTGTCACACCCTCACGATCTGTGATTCAAGAGTCATTTATCTCAAAGGTAAAGTCAAGCTAGAGGGCAAAACCTCACTGGCCCTGAATCAATTGGATCCATGAACTGAAAAAGAGTGGCTAATAAATATTTGATGAATCTATATCATGTACAAACTAAAATGTCTTCAGTTAACCACGGAGGGCTGCGTAAAATCTATAAATCTCAGGTCAATTCTTGTGCTGAAGCACACAGTTTGATGAACGGTGCTGCTGAGCTTGCTGCTTCTTTGTTGTGTTGTGAGGGTGTATGTACAGAAAGTGCTACACAGAGGCAAATGATGGCCTGGGGGACCACATGGGATGGATGAATTTAATAGAGTAAGTGCAAAAGCG